GTCAAAAAATTTCAGGTTTTAAGTAAAATAATTTTGTCTTCTATGAAAAACTATTTTGACTTTTTTTTCCGAAATTGCAATTTCAGGGCCCCAAAATAATTTTGCATGCAAGTATAATGGAACTATTAGATATCCCAATATAATTTATCAAAATATAAAATTAAAAATAATTTGCAATTGTAGCTATATATAAAAGTTTTTGATTATATAATCTAATCATAAAAGCACTACTAAGTAGACTTATAGAAAATAAAAATGTGCATCAACTGTAAACCTAGTTCTTTAAAATCAAGAGAATTATAAACTATTAAATTTTGAATGGCTATATGAATTAAAGTGTCTATAATTCTTTTAACTTTAATGATATAGAGCTAATATTTCTACAGTCAATGCACATTTTTATTATATATAAGTTTACTTAGTAACATACTGACGATTTAGTTTAAAATTAAAAAGTTTTATATGCAGCTATTATAATAGTTAATTTAAAATTTTATATTACCTACCTATTGGGTATCCGAAAGGTGCCCGATATTCGGCAAAACCAACACATTTATCGGGTACCCGATCCAGACCCGAAATTTGGTTTTTCGACCATCTTCTCGCTTTATAGATGTGAGCATGGATAGATTCATCATCCAAGGTTGATAAATATGCTCATCAATATTATTTTTCCACTTATCTATGTTTATAGGGCTCTCCTCTTCCTTGTCTTTCCTTTTTTTGGTGATAGTATTTTCCATGGTTAACACTGTAAGTGTGCAGAAAGATCGTGACTTGTGTGTGTGATTTTAATTTTAAATTTTTTTTCCAAAACATTGGCAAAATCCAATGAGCTATAGATTGTTTCTGTTAACAAATTTAATTTTTTTATTATTCTAGAATAGAATTTAAGTCCTAATGCACAAGAATCTTGATTAAAGTTTTCAAAAAATAGAACAAAGTTTTAATATAATAAAATATAAAGTAAAGTGTGAACTAAAAAACTTTTATAACATACGAAACAAAAATATTAAAGGACTATGATTATAAAACAATGATTGATTTATTGTTATTATGCTGATAATTAATACACGACACGCGTCATGACAAGAATCACTCACATGGGTGATCAAATTTTCACCATGTCCCCTGGACAATAATTAATAGTTCTTAAATTACTGTTACCTTCAAATTTTGTTATCTCCTGTGCGAATTTCAACATTATTGAGTTCAATTTTAGTTTTGTCAAAATTTTAGATTTAATATTATTATATCTTTAAGTTTTCTCTTTTCATCTCTACATTCTCTTATTTCTCTCTCCAATTCTCTCTTTTTTTATTCTCTTTTCATCTCTAAATTCTCTTATTTCTCTCTCCAATTCTCTCTTTTTTTATTCTCTTGTTGGATTTTAAAAAGAATTGATTACTAAAATTATTTTAATACTAGTAAATTTTACAAATTTCTACCAACTTGGTTGCCTTTTAATATTGTTTATTATGAATAATATCTATATTAAAAATAATACTACAGAGTCGAGTTTCCAGTTTGACTTTATTTATTTGTAAAAAGGTCAAATAATTAGTTATATACTCATTTTACATGATAAATATTTCCGATCTATAATTTTATTCACAAATTATATTAATTATATTAATTATATTTATATTAAACAAAGAAACTTTAAATTATTTATCTAATGAATAACAATAAGATTCATTTTCCTTGGTTGTAAATTTATTTATTCATATATTTTAATATTTTTAACATTAAACTATAAACTACTGACGGGAAATACTACAATAGCAATTGGCAATATTGTTTTGTCCTGCTAAATATTCTAACTTTGTGATTCATTTCGGATCTACAGTCTAATAATTTTTATAATACTGATCATCTCAGTTACAAATTTGTTATTTTTTTCTACCTTACTATAAGTAAAAAAAAGGGCATCGGATGAAAAATATTCAGAACGTAATTAAAGGATATATTACAATTATTGTTCCAAAATGGATGCAATCCATTCATAAGCTCAAACATGGAGTGGACAAGTGGAAATGAATTTAAATAGATAAACTTTATTCAAGATGTCCACTTTGGAAGTAATAGAATGATACCTTACGATAGATTTAAAAGAAAGAAATAGCAAGAGTTTGGATTTGGAACAATTGAAAAATCAATGATGGAAAAGATATAATCAACATAACATATATGAAAAATTTTGATATATAATGGATTATAATCAAAAATTAAATACAAGCAAAAGTTGGAATTATTTTTTCTATAACAGAATAGTATTCAGTAGATATTTGATCAAATTCATTCAAAAAAGTAGGTTTATTTAGCAAGTAGTAACCAAAGAAATTCAAATAATTTAAATAATTAAAACAATCAAAATTAAAAAGCTGAATACTTTTTTTGTAAACCAAGCGTCAATCAAAAAACAACTCCTCTTATCAAACACATTCACACAAAGCAATTTATAACGGTCAACTTAGTTTCTTAATTTTTCAAGTCTTTTAAAACAAATTAATGAAGACTAAATCTATTTCAGATATTAAGATTTAATGGTAAGTATTAATTCTATTTTTATATAATCTTACATTTATTATTTTAATTATATTAATTTCTCTCTATTCTCGTTTTAGCTGATCTGAACAGATGTTAATTTTTAAATTTGCTTAGAGTTATATATCATTAGTAATTTTTCTTACATTTTTATTATGAATTTAGTTAGCTTTTATATGGCACAGGACTACAGTAGTGAATTCTTCACGTATGAAATCAATTAGTAATTTTCTTTATATATAATGGGAAATAAATTATTATTCAAAGGAATAATATATTTACTATACTGTTAAATTTGGATTTCACAAATTTTTCTTAAAAAATATATATTCACATATACATTCACATATAAATATACATACATGCAAACATAAATATAAATTATTCAAATGAAACAAAAACCCAGTAATTAAGCAAAAAAAAAAAAAAAACCAAAACTTTTTTATTATTGATTAACGAGTAAATCACGAGGAGGGCAATAATGAGGAGAACAAGAGGCATTCGAACAAAAGTATTTATCACATTCTTTACATAAAAAAACACATACTGGACATCTCTTGCAAACAAAAAAATTACATATGTTACAAGAAACTCGAGGGCATGTATTACATACCAAAGATTTTCTATCACACCTTTTACATAAAATTGTTGTAAAAGTTGTTGTGGTAGATGTGGAAGAAGTGGTAGTGGTGGAGAGTTGAATTGAATTCAAAGATTTAGATAAAGATGTTGAAGGTGAATTTAATTCGGATGGTTGTGTAATTAATGAAATAGATGGTGAGGAAGAAATTAAATCTTTTGTTTGTAATGAAAGAGAAGAAGTTAATGAAGAATTTTGTGGAAATGCTGTTGAAGTTGAAGAAGTTAAAGTTTGTTGTGAAGATGCTGTTGAAGAAGTTTGTTGAGAGGAAGTTAATGGTAGTGAAATTGAAGAGGAATTTTGTGGCGAAGTTGAAATACAACAATAAAATTTAAAACAATCCAGACATCCATGAATTAGATCGCAACTCATACAAAAGGTTTTTGGAAGTTTGCATAAAGCACAATTTATCCAAAACTTGATATGTTCCTCACATCTTTCGCAAACATCTGGGGAAAAAAAAAAAGAAAGAATAAAATTATCAATAATAATAATGAATAATGAATAATGAATAATGGATAATGAATAATAATAATAATAATAATAATAATAATAATAAAAAAAGAATACTTTACCTATATCAAGTTCGACTTTGGTAGGTAAAGAATTTTTAAAAATATTTAAGATATCTTTATAATAATTAATTCCATTAAAATTATTAAATACATTTTGCTTAAAGATTAATCTTGGATCCATATCTTTACACCAGATGACATTTAATTTTTTTAATTTTAAATAAGCGGACCAAGATAAATCTTGACCTAAACCTCTTAAAGAAATTCTTTGACAACCGCGTAAACTGATTTCCTCTAGATTAGGTAGTAAATTTGATAATTTTAATATCGCGAAAGAAGTGATCAAGGTGAAATCTAAATTTATTGAATTCACGATATTCACTAAATTATTTTTTGTCAACATCTTAAGTAATTGATCTATACATTTATCATTGATGCGTGATAGTTTATATGGAGTTTTAGAAAATCTTCCAAATGATGATGTGGTTAATGATGATGGTGATAATGATATCCCTGAAGATGTTCTTGCTGATAATTGTGACCATTGTGACATTTGTGATGATGATGATGTTGTTGTTGTTGTTGTTATTGTTGACTGACTAAGAGTATTCAGAAAATCTAATTCAATCTGTTCTAATTCTTCTGGATTTGTAAATTCAATATGAAGCCAAAATGGAGGATGCTTTAAAACAAATGTTAGATCTTTACATGTTATCGATAGAGCGTAAAGTGAATAAATATCAATATAACTACAAATATCTATTAAGATTTCAAAAGGAAAGTGAATAATGTTTTGCATTTTTTTTTTATATATATATTTGTTTTCTCTTTCTTCTTGTTTATTCTTTTAATTTTTTTTTTTAATTTTTTTCTTATTTTCTTTGCTATTATTAAGCAAAAAATCAAAAAAAAATTTTATGGATGAGTAATTTTCTAAATTTGCTAAATTTAAAAGGGGTTATTATTGGGTTACCAAATTATTATTACCATATATAGCGTGATTAGCGCATTGATTAAAGTTATGTGCAATTCACGTGGATATGATTATTTTTTTTTCTCCTTTTTTTTCGATTTGTTTCGAGTTTCCTGAAAGGGAGAGTATCTTAGGATATCTCCGACGAATAACAAATGGGACAAAGAGAAGAATAATTGACAAAATTGAAACGAACTCAATTGTATAATTTTATTTCATTGTATTTCATTGTATTGCATTGTATTTATTGTATTTGGATTATTTATTTTATTTAATTTTATTTAAATTTTCTTTTATTCAAAATTTTGATTCATTTAGTTTACCACTCAAAAAATTATTATAGTTTTTAATTGTGATTTCTTTATTATTTTAACATTTTTCAAAGTTTGATAACAGATAATAATATAATAAGAATAATAAATAAATCATTTTGAATAAAAATGATAAAAATAATAATAAAAATAATAAAAAAAAATAATAATAATTGATTTTTTTTCATTCACAGTGCAGGAGAACAAAATCAGTTTCATTCATTTTCTGATGTCAATTTCAAACATTTTACCAATTTGCGATTAAAATTAATAGAATGATGAATAAAATATAATTGATGAATAATCAAATATGATAATGAATAAAAATATAATGATGAATAAAATATAATGGTGAATTAGCCATCGCATATATTTAGTAATGAGAGTAGTAAAGGAATACATAATCATATGCAAAAAATAAATTGTTTGCATACAAACATCTTTATTTATTTTTATTTTATTTTTTAATTTATTTTATATTTTATTTTTATTTTATATTTATTTTTTATCTTTTATTTTTATTTTATTTATTTACAAGAGAACAAATAATAATAATTCCTATTCAACATTTCTTTTTTTAAAATAACAAATCTTTTCAATATAATCAGGTGAGATGTTTTTCTCTTTCACAAGTTTCACGCAATCAAACATCAAACATCAGCAACAACAACAACAGCAATTGACAATATTATCAATATAAATACAAATATATTTAAATTGATTGCGGTTCGGTTTATACAATACAATAATAAATAAATATATATAACGCACATGTATATATGTGAATATTATTACATATTATTATCATTTATTCTTTTCACCAAATTTATCTTTATTGTCTTGTTCAACAGTTAAAAGCACTTCCTAATAATTATTAATAAGTTATTAGTAGTAATAATTTACTACTCTACTTACTAATATATTTGCTACTCTACTCTACTTACTAATCTACTTATTTACTATAATTATTATTATAATAAGAATTTATTGGTATAAGAGAAAATATTATTTCAAATTGATTAAATAGATCCTTATTAATTTTAGGAAAATTGAATTCTTTTTATTTGTTTAATTTGTACAATTTTGTATTTGTAGACTTATTTTAATTTCTTATTGATGTTATTATTATTTATGATTATTTATGATTATTGATGATTATTGATGAATGATATTGTTGATGATTGTTGTTGATTATTTGGGCTACGATGGCGTGGCGTTATCTCTGTTCTTATCCAAATCACAATTATAATCATAATTCAAACCCCCCCCCCCCACATTTCCCCACAATTATATAATGATAAATGCAATCTAAACGACTTTACTACCAATATTTTCACAATCCTAATTTAAGCATATCAATAATTTGCTGTATTATAAAAAAAAGTTAATAATGAATCAAAGATTACCTATTTCGATAATTTATAATTGAGTATTACTATAAGTTCTAAATTAGATTAATTTAATAATATAATATTCAAAAAATTTATCCAAGTTTATAGTCATATAGTATATAATAATGTATATGCGCGCTTATTATCATAACCAAATATAACCTTTATACCGTACCAAATTTAGTTCTGATAAATTTCTCTAAAATTTTTCTCATGAATTTCTCTCAGATAAAGTTTTTTTATTACTTGCTTCAAAAAGAAAGGATGATTCTGTTTTAACCTAAAAAGAATATAATTTTAAAAATTAACTTTTATATTTTGAATGACGTACTTTATTTATTATTTTATTTATTTTTGATTATTTTTTATTATTTATTATTAATTATTATTTTTTATTATTTTTTATTATTTTTTTATTATTTTTATTTATTTATTATTTTTTATTTTAATGTAAATATGAAAATAAATAAAATAATAAAAGAGAAAAATTTTAATGAAATTTTTCTGAAGACTGAATTAATTAATTATGTTTTAATCTGTTTCATAATTATTGTTCATAATTATTTACCCTTATTATTATTGACTTCATATTATTCATTCGCCGCCGCTTTATTGTCTGCTATAATCAATTGCTTATTCTTCATATTATTCATTACTTTCTACCATTATTTGCTTACTATTATTATATCGTTATCATTATTTATATTCTTGCATTAATATTGTTTCTCCTGAATTCTCTCTTCCATTATGTCCGAGTTTAACTAATTCTGGATTAAAAAAAAACGTACTATTCCATAATAAAATACTAACTACTTATATTTCAAATATTTAATTATCCGCTTCACGTGATACTAATATCACTACTATCTGTAATAGTAATACCTGTAATACTGCCTACAGTACTGTAAAATAATCGTTTGGCTGAATTTATAACAATTCAAATTAATAAGTTGGCCTGCATCACATATCATCATCATCATCAATTCAATAGTCAAAAGTCAAGTGATGTTTTATTTATGGTTTATAGTTTATTAGATAATAATAAATTTATAATGATAATAATAAATTAATGCTTAGATCTTTTAATCTAACTAAAATTTTCAAATTTTCACGACATATTCATGAAAAAATCTATCAATTAAGTCTTTTTTTTGAAAGTCATAAAAAATCAATTCAATATAATAAATAACAAATGTATATATATGTATTGTATAAGCCGATTGAATATATAAAAAAAAAGGTTTGATTTATTTCGTTAACATTAAAGATTAAAGAAGGATTTAAACAAGAATAAGCTACAATGATAAGTAGTAAAATTAAATGAAATTAAATAAAATTGAATAAAGTTACAGGAAGTTGTAATTATCAACGGCAGCATTAAAGTTGGCTAAAGTTAGAAAAAGATTGAGTCAAAAGCTTATATAAGCCATATAAGGCTCAGATATACTCATACATCAATTATAATCATCATATAAAACTCAATTATAAATATTCAATTATATATGTTCAATTTTATATGTTCAATTATATATACTCAAGAATATATACTCAATTATATATACTCAAGAATATACTCAAGGTTATACTGGTAAGTAACAATAAACAGATTTACAGATTTGATAAAAAAATTTTATTTAAGCCACCAAAGCGGCTCAGCAAAAACCAACTAATTAATTAATCAAACCACCACCACCTCCACCACCACCACACTCAACCACCACAACTATCATTTTACCAATATCACAATAACTTTTGCTGAAATTATAGATTTTTTTTTGCTAAGACACTTTCAAGAAAAAATTTTATGAACAAGCCACTTTTTTATTTATTTATTTATTCGTGAATTTTAAATTGAAATGTTATATCAATTTGGTAAAGCCGTTTTTATTTAATTTCTTTTTAAAATTATTTTTTAATTTTATTTTATTTATCATAAAAGTCATCAAAATTCGACTTATTGAATGGTTTTATTTTTTTTAAAAAAAGAGAATGAATCAAGCCTCATAACAAAATCGTGAAAAATTTCCTAATATATATATTATTTAGTAGTAATAGTAATGATTTTATTCGATCAAAAATCGAAATTAAGAATTTTTTAACTCGTTTTATTACTCGTTTTATTTCTGGTATATTGATCGTACGTTTAAATCGAAGATGAAATTCTGAGATTTGACATTTATTATCCAATGAGAAATTTTTTTTTTATCTGTCATTCATTCATTCATACTGTGCTGTGTATGGTATATTTGGACTAACTCATAATAATAATAGATTAAAAAAAAAATAACCTTTTTTTTCGACCTTTTTTTTTTTTTTTTTTAAAAAAAAAAAAAAAATTTCATTTAACCAAAATTCGGGAATCATTATTCCGAGTCTATTGAGTCTATTATAATTAAATAAGACAGGACAGTACATATATAATTATGAAATTGAATACATTATCATTGAATACATAATTGGATATAATTAAAATATGTAATTTAGTAATTTATGAAATGTCAATTTACATTGGATAAAAAGTTTGCAGCACTAATTAATTTTACATATAATAATTTATATAGTAATTCATTTTATGGTTTATTTGATATAATAGAGAATTAATTTTTATTTTTTTTTTTTTTTTGAAAGAAGACATACTTGTAAGAAAACCTGTTCAACCAATCAATTAATCAAAATAAATCAAAATCAATCAATGATGATAATAATAATAATAAAAATCTCAATTGTGAAACTAAATGCAAACACTTATTATTTCATTCAACAAGTTTACATCCTTCAGATAAATACAAATTTTTTTACCAAATCTAGTATATTTCATTCATAGACACCAAAAGTTTATATTTCCTCATGATTTTATCAACTTAATCTATTAAATTTCTGGTTTTTGTTCAAGTTTCAAGTTTTTTTTTTAAAAAAAAATCACATTTGGAGTTAAACGATGCGATAAATAATTAAATAAATATATCACATTATCAGTTATGGGTTGATTATAGTACAAGAGTGGTAACAGTTGTGGGGGAATAATTTTTGTTTTAAAATATTTCATATAATATGTGAAATTAATTAAATTAATTAATTGAAAAAGTTTATTTAAATCTTTAGATCTTATTATTATTAAGTATTGTAGATTTCAGGTTATTTAAGATAACAAAAAAACGATAAAAAAAATAGATCAAATTTAAATTTGAATATATAATAGTATATCTACAACATGTATATTATTTATACTTAATTTATGTTGACTTAATGAATATATCGTAACATATTTGAAATCTGGATCAAAATACCATTTGTGTACGCATTTACGCATGAATCTTATTTTGTATATATAAGACAGAAGATTCATTTTCTTTTCATACTTTCTTCTTCTCTTCATGTTTTCCTTCTTTCTCGTGTGTAAATTAAACAAATAGATAAATAAAATTATATGTCAGTTATATTCAGTTATACGTTAAAAAAACTTATTATTTGAATACTACGCGATGGTAACGTGATAAATGGTTTCAAGTATTCTTATATGTTATTTAATTATTATTATTATTATTATATTTTTTTTTCATTTATTGTTATTTATTTTTTTTTGATTTAATAATAAAAATTTAAAATTGAATTACCGTATTAATAATTATTAATAATCAACAAGTAGAATGAATGATACTTGCGAAAAATTCATACAATACATAATAGTAAATAATATACATAATAGTAAATAATGCACCCTAAATTTTAAATTGTATATTATGCATTATCTAAAAATGGAAATTAAAAAATACGTTAATTATTTTTTTTAAAGTCACACTGCATGGCATAAATCTAAATATTCCTTTTGATCTTCCTAGAAAAAAATTATCTAAAATCTAATTCCTTTTTATAATAAAAAATTACGATCGAAGAAAGAGTAGCAGCAATGAGAATTAACAAATAATAAATTATAATAATATAATAATAATAATAAATATAATGATAAATAATAAGTAGTAATAAATAATAATATTACCAAACAAATAAACAAAAAAAACAAACAAACAAACAGGTATAATAAATAGTGCTGTATATCAATGATATATATCTGATATGCTGCCTGCTTGCTCAAGCGATATACTTATATTATTATACTGTAATAACAAACATTATATTTTTTTTAAAACGCGTGTATAGGCACGAGCTTATTTTACGTCATCATTTTAGTTTATATATATATTGATATTTTATTTCGTCATCATGAGTTCTAACGTTTATGAAATATCACAAGATTTATAATTTTTTCTCGGTCATCACATACCAAACTTTGCACTTACATTTTACACTTACACTTTATACTTTACACTTGCACTTTATATTTACATTACATTCATTCAGAAAAAACTCTCGTAAAAAAATAATATATATGTGAAGAAATCCTGCAATTTTTATTTTATTTTAATGCAGATGTATATATATATCATTTATTTATTATTATTTTTATTATTCATAAAGAGAAAAAGTACGAAACAATTATTATTATTACTTCAACCATTGTTATCATTGTTTCAAGCATTGTTTCAACGTCTCTAACAAGAATTACAAAGATTCGTAATTATGTTTAAATTACATTCAGATTAAATGTCCATTCACATTATCATGTACGCGAAAATAATGATGATAATGATAATATGACAATGAATTTAAGAAATTTTAAGGAAATTAAGAAAAATAAATTTAAATAATTATTGAGCATGAATAAAACTTCTTTAGGAATTAAAATAAAAAATAAAAATTTTTAAAAAATAAATAAATAAATGAATAATAAATAAAACTATTTATGATCACGACGATACAAAGAATTCATTGGACAATTCGTTGGAAAACTTATATTGCGTGAGAAAAAAAAAATTGTTTCAAACCGAAGTGAAAAAAAAATAAAAATAAAATTTTCAATACTAACTTGATCTTAAAAAAAATAAAAACAATCATAATATTCGTAATATTATAAATATTTTTATTTATAAAATGAATGAAAAGTCCAGAAATGATTAAAATCAACCAGCCAACACGGAGATATATAAATTTAGTAATTTAGCATATACAAAATGAAATTACATTTATGAAGCATCATTGAAGATTCTTTCGCAGATTTTTCGCACATTAAAAAAAATCAAATAATAATAATAGCAATTGTTGTAATTTCTTATTTAACAATTCATTATTATTGTTATTAATACTAATATTAATAATATTAATAATATTTATTATTATTGTCATTACTAATATTATTAATTATTGTTATTACAACAAATTATTCTTGTTCTTTGGTTCAAATTTACATATTTTGTTTGGTTCAAAAGTTAAAATTATTATATAAATGAAAAAACTTTATGTATCCAATCGGAGAAAATCAATACATATGATGATGATGATGTACACATGTTGTTTAGTGAGGAGAGGAATTTAGAGTGAGTGGCGGATGAAAGAGAGCGAGAATATGTAATTGACTATTAAAAAGCGAGAGAGATCGAGTGAGTGAGTGATATGTAATATGCACGAAAAACACAAATAAGTATATTTGTTGAATGAAAATATAGTTAGAAAGAACATCCACTTTAAAAAAAATAAAAAATAAATATTGTTGTTTTAATGTATAATAATGTACAATGTAATATTTTAAGTAAATATTTACATATATCAAATGTAATATCACAGATATCAAATGTAATATTTTAATGTAATTAATGTAGTGTTATGCATGCATGCAAGTCGATAGATTTTGTGGTGGTAAAAGAATGTAAGTTACATTTGATATTATTTCATTTTTGGTTACTTATTATTTAAAATGATGATGATCTAATATATTTAAAATAAAAAAAAAGGGAAGAGAAAAAAAAATTCTGGTGTCGATTTTTTTAATAATGAATCTCTTTTCCTTTTTTTTTTAATGCAGATTATCATCAATACGATGACAATTAACTGTAAACGGACGGATAATAATTAACTGTAAACGGACGGATGTAATAATAACGGATAGTTTTTCATATATATATATATATGAAAATAACATTATTGTAAGAATGAAATTTTTAATGAAAATTGGTAAAGGTTTACTATTAAAGGTGAATCAAAAAGAGAGAAAGCTGCATTTTTGATAAACATTAACATAATATATTATATTATTTTGATATTATATAACAATTATAATATTTTTTCTAAACGGTAATACTTCCGGATTAAGAAATAATAGATTTACCCCCACAAGCAAGCTGTATACGACAATATTCAAAATCACGTAAATTCTCGTAAATACAAGTAAATACACGTGGTTTTATGGATATTCTGTCATTTTGTTGTTTTTTTGCTGTCTTACTTCCATCTCTCTGTTGTCTCTCTGTTACTTCTCTGTCCGGAAGAAGAAATTATTATTTTTGTAAATAATCTGTACAATATGTTGTTGTTTTTTTTTTGTTATTATTAGTATGCAAGTAAAATCTTTTTTTTTTTGACTGCATAAAAACTGTCAAAAATAATAATATAACAAATAAATAAATAGATTCTTTTTTTTTAAAATAATAATAATAATAATAATAATAATAATAAATGCGAACTGCGTACAATCTGAATGACAGAGAAAAAAAAATAATTATACAAAAGAAGTATTATCAAATTATTTCAAATTGTTTCCGATTATATTTATTGTAATTTTGTAATAAATAATAATAAAATCTGAAATACGTAACAGAACGTGTGTTTCAAAGTATATTATCATTATTATCGTTAATCCAAATTTGAATATTTTATTTATAAGATTGGTTCATTTCTAATTATCAACATGTTTAGAAATAATAATAATAATTTTTTAATTTATTAATATTAATTTTTCAATTTATTAATATTAAATTTTGTAATAAATAATAAATGAGATTTACATTATGAAAACTATTTTTTGTTGATAACTCAACGTAGAGATGTCCATTTGAATGAAACGCCTACCAAAATGTTCATCTCAGCGAATGTCAAGGTACGGAGCTATCTTCGTATTGTTCGATATTTTAAAGTAACTAAAATAATATAAATAAATGATTATCTTTTTTATCTTCAATTGTTCATTATCAGTTCCGTTATCTATTTGTTCTTCCTTTTCTCTTTCATTATTTCTGTACCACTTAATATTTACTAATCACTAAACTAATCATTACTTTTTCATTTCTGATTTTGATCATTTGATCAAGGTCATTTTTTTTTCATTTTTTCATTTTTTCATTTTTTTTTTTCATTTATTCCATTTTATATATGATTTACATGCATCAGGTGTAAATATGACTCTTTTTGTGTATGCGTGCACATCTTCGGTATTTATATTAAAACTGTATATCATCTAATTAATTAATTCAATTCCATTGTGAATATAAAAAAATTTGTGGCGTTTGAATAAAAAAAGATTTGGTGGCTTACAATAATAATATATGGAGATTCATTGATTGATGGTGATGATGATGAAGAAAATATTTTATTGTTTCATCTATTCATTTGTATAAAAAAATTAATGAACATATTTATATTGTATTGAATATATTATTGATATTGATTATTTTAGGTATATCGTATTGATATGTTATCATGCTATTAATAGTTTAATAAAATTCATTTTTAATTTTCTCTAAATTTCTTTATTTGGTAAATTATGATCTTGCATATGATCATGAAAACATGAATTTGAACGCGTTGATAAGCAATTTTTTTGATCATAAAAAACATGAAATAAACAAATTAACTTTAACCTCCACGTCAATTTGAATCAAATAATTTTTAATTGTAAAAATCAATTGAAAAAAAAAATAATTGCAAAATTCGATTGTAAAAGTCAATTTTAAATCAATTTCAATTTTCAATTACAAAATCAATTGCTTCAATTAAATAAATGCAAAATAAAATGGCTTAATTTTGATATATCTTTAAAGCCACCACTCATCTGACTACTACTATCACCTTCACCACCATCACCATCTTCTTTTTTTCTTCTTTATTTTATTTGGAAATAATTGTGGCATTTCATTCTTCCGCGACTTTTTTTTTCGCGTTAAAGTTTTTTTTTTAAAAAAAATTGTAATTAAATTAATTTTAAAACATTTTATACACTTTATAATGGCTTGCTTACAATCTATCAAAGCTATCGAAAATTTAATTCTAGTAATAATCGTGATTTAATCATGATCATATATTTGCATTTATACATTTATGTAGTTAACGATTGTAAAAAAAAAGGTGGCTAAAGAATTCAGCTAATTAAAAAAAATTTGCGCAAGCCAAATTGAGCCAAAATATTTAATTTATTTAATTGATTGTGGCAATGTGACAACGTTAAAAAAAAAAAAACGCCTCTCAGACATCACTACAAATAAACAGGAATCGTGGCACATGATATACTGCTAGATAATTTTTTTGATCTGATTTAAAGTCTTTTAATTCCTTAAGTTCAGGCTTGATGTTCTTTCCTGGGCTTTCTTTTATTTCTTTTTCGAAAAAGGCTTGACATTATCTAACATAATTTCACATAATTTAACTTCATCTAATTTCATTTCATATTAATGATCATAATTTAACGTTTTTTGATATTATTTTGATATTTGCTTGACATTATTATTTAACACTCATTGCTTGACATTGTTATGATATCTATTCAACACGTTGTTTGATATTGCTTGACTAATATTTATGGCTTTCTGAGGCTGTTGCTTCTTTTATTTGATTAAAACATATGAATTAAATAATTATTCCGTATATTTGTCATACAAATCTTAATAAGATATTATTACCAAAAAGATTACCATATTGTCACAATAACAGAAATAATAATATTTATATAAATTTATATAAATTTATATATATTGACGAAAATTTAAGGAGAAAAATCGTACAAGATTTTTTTTTGTTTCAGCTTTTTTTTTCTTCTTGTGCCAACCTTTATTTTTTATTGACTTTTTTGACTTTATTGACTTTTATTGACTTTTAGTGACTTTTGATATTCAGGATCCTATCTAAAAAAAACGATTTCAAACATTTAATTTATCTAAAATAGGATAAATTAAAAAAATTAAACAAAATATAGTGTTCTTGGTAGATTTTTTTTTATGTATCGGATGTGTTAATTATGATCATTATTTTTTTTACTGTATTATTGTTATCTATTATTAATGTTTTATTATTATGATTTACTATTTATTCTTTGGAGAAAAGTTCAAAGGACGATTCATTCGTTCATTATCTTTTTCTCTTTTATACAAGATCCAAAATATATCAACAACAACATCAGATATAAAAATGTCTTTATCAATGACAATAAAGGATAAATATAGGCTGTTATTTTTGTGTTATATTGTTATGGAGTAGTGTAACAAATACTAGCAAGAGCGTAGTAATAATATACCTAATATACACAACCAGTAATAAACTAGTATAATTATTTAACTAAAATTAACTTCATTAAATGTACTTAAAATAAAATATTGTAATTTAAAATTCATTATTCAATAATAAACTATAAGAAACCATAAGAAACCATAATTACGTATGTTTTCTAATTATAGTAAATCAAATGAAAACTATTGGCGGGACAACGGAAATTTATTATTTAAAAAACAAGAATTAAAAATACAAACTATCTACAGCACATTGAGAAATAATCACATTGGCAATTTATTAAATTGGTAATTATTACAATTATTACAATTAATACATTGGTGAATGATTTTATTTACCAGTTATATACAGTAAATGTGTGTGTGTATTTCTGTTAAATAACAAGACAATAATTAAACCTCCTCGAAGATAATAAAGATAATAAAGATAATAACGGTGATATAGATGATAAAAGATAATAAAGATAATAAAGATGATAAAGGATCAAAGGGACAAAGGATAAATATAGGAGATAAAATATATAAACATGTTGAAGAGGAGGAAAAAGGAGAAATAAAGAAATAAGGTGTATAGAATACTGTTGTGTTCACTCCATTATAAATGATTATAAGTGTTTATAAGTATATATAAGTGTATATAGGTGTATACATTGACACATATATACAGTACATATTAAGCATATATTAAATATATTAAGTATAAATTTAGTAATTAATTAATTAATTAATTAATCAACAAAGTTAATTCAAATAAAGTGAATAAAAAAAAACAATAGTAAAATAATTATATGGAAACTAATTTACCTTTTTAGGTTTTCACTACCAAATAATCGTCGTCTAATCTTCATCATAAACTGTCATAAACTGATACATTTCATCATCATCATAATAATCTCTGAGAAAATACTGAGTTAAGGTTATACATATAACAATTATATTTTTATTTTTATTTTTATTATTATTATGATTATTTACTTTTCCTCCTTAATAAATTTAATAAATCCCAATAAATCCCATGTTTATAAATCAGGTAATAAGAATTGTAATAAATGATGAATGAAAATAAGAAATTTTAATAAATCAGAGTGAAGGATAAGAGAGAGAGAAGATAAAAAAGGCAACAGCTTAATATTATTTATCTAAACAAATGACATATAATACAAATTTTTACATACATACATATATATATCTCTCTTATAAATATATCCCTCCCTTAAATAAATATATATCAATATATCATAAATGCTAAATGCTAATATATATAAATGCTAAATGCTAATATACATGAATGCTATACATAAAATGCCAATACACATAAATGCTATGCACATGTAATGAAAATACTAATAAAGTACATAAGTAACGATCATCCAAATAATATGAACCAAAGAATTAACAACAATAAAAAATAATAATAACAATAACGACAAGACAAAGATAACAACAAAAAAAAAAAAATATCCACCAAATAAAAAATGAATAAAAAATCCCAATACGAATCAAATTTCAACGGATTGAACAAAGAATGAATGCAATTAATTTACCAACAAACCAAGTGTTACTCAATAACACATAATAATAATAATAATAATAAAATAATGATAATAATAATACATCCAATCAAATCTATTATTGAATTATAATAATAATTGTTTTCATCCCAAATTTAGAAATTTTCAACTCACGTATCATTCGTTTTTTTTGTTTGCAAAGATAATTACAAATGAATACTGATAATAATAATATAAAATACTAATAAAAATATTAACGATATCAATAAAGAAAATAATAATATAAAATTAATAATATAATAAATGATAAATGCTCTAACAGCTGATGAGTAAATAATAAATCAAAATATTATTAACCAAAACATTCTTTGATAAAATAAAAATTATTAATCATTATATAATTTTTTCAAATGGATAAATTAAAATTATTTATTTCTTTCAATATTTTTTGAAACACTTATTTTTATTAAAAAAATCATTCCTTTTATGCCACTGAATTTGTAAATTGATTGAAATTGCAAAACAGGGGTGTACAGTATAAAGTGTAAGGGAAATGATATTACTTTCTTGGCAACGTTCCTTCATTTAATTTTATTTTTAATTTATTTTTAAATCATTTCTTGAGATATTGAATAGTGTATTGATATTGATTGTATGATTTTTTCTTCTATCAAGTATTCTCAACATTCCGTTTAACATTCTTTTAACATTCAATTTCGCATATTTCATATATTTCACATATTTCAAGCATGGGATTATTATTTTCCACCACTTTTGGATTAAAAATGAATTCCTAAATTTATTCAAGAACTCACTTTCTCTCCCTACTATATAGTATAAATGATAATATTGGAAAATTAAAAAAAAAAAAAAATTAATTTTAACTTTTCGAGATTTGATCTCTGATTAATAATATATATAAATTAATAAATTGGTTTATTTAATCTATTTCAAAGATACAAAAGTGTATCAAATTACGTATTTCATGCATATAATTACATTATATTGCATATGATTAACATATAATTAACAAAAATATTATAATAGTGAAAGTGTAATTTGTAATTTTGTGAGATATTATTAATTATATAATAAGTGAGTAGAATAATAATAAGTAGGACATAATAAGTTAAGTAGAATTTAATAATGAATAAGTAGTGCAAAACAGTTAGTGGAATACTTTTTTTTAGTAAAATTAGCTATTATTAGATATAATTAGTATTATTGACTGTTATTTAGCCAACTGATTGTTAACATGGTTATTAGAAGAATAATTTAATATTGAGAAACATATACCTTTCCAAAATGTATATTTTCCTAAATATACAGTATTATAATATTATTAATTTTCTCTACCAATAAATAATCAATAGATAATTATTAATTAATACAATAGCAAACAATAGTAACAACAACTTCTTTCATTGTTTTCATTTACTCATTATATCATGTTATATTATTATCAAATTATCAAATTATCTCGTGGTCTTCGCCTTCGCGTGAGGAGGGGATTGCGACGATCTTTGACGTAAGGCGGATGATATCCTTAGTGTGTGAAATAAACATAAATATATTTATTATCTATAATATATACAAATCAATATTCTCAACATTAAATGAAGTACCACAATTAACAATAACCAACAATAATAATAACCGAAATTTGATTAAAAATACAAATTCTTCAACCAATCAAAAAAAAAATATATAAGTAAAACATGTATATCTATTTAATATAAAAAAAAACATAATATATATACATATATAATAACTAAAAAAAGAAAATTAAATTATCCTATTTGCTTGCATTTTCACATTTTCACATTTTTTTTGTTGACTTGTTTCTTCTTTTTGACCAATTGATTTGTTGTAGTGAATTTTGTAGTGATATCATTTTATATTGAATTTATATTATTTATATTATATACATCTGGATATTTTGAGTATTAATTAATATTAAAATGTAAAAGGTTTTAATAATGCATATATTCTGAATATAAATATATGAATATATATATATGAAATATATAAGAAAATATATTTATGAATGAGAAAATTATAATACAATAAACTGATATATAAAATACTTAACTGAATTTGAACCTGAATAAATTTGAGTTGTAAATTTATATAATGTGCTCTTCGTCATATAAAGTATATATTTAGTTAATCAAATGTTGTTTATAAATAAATAAAAAAATTTTAAACCATTTACTTTACATGTTTAGTTCTTGTATTTTTAGTGTATTATATATTGTTTAATAATAATTAGATGTATATTATGAAATATATATTTAAAAAGTATAAATGTGTGTATATTTAGTAAGTAGTATTTGTTATTATTTTTTCGTTATAATAAGAACACGAACCGGGATTATTTTTTTATATTGTTTATCACTACAAGAAATATACAATATATATTATAAAGTAGTATAAATTTGATATATATTTTTATACTTTTTTTTATACATCTTTTTTTATACAGTATATGTATTGAGTTCATTGTGATAATTCTAGTAATTTCCGAGTTGATTTTTTTGTGGTACTTTTATAGGTAATAGTAGTATATAAAAAAATTTTGATACACTAAACGCATACAACAAAAAAAAAAAAAACTATAAATTAACACAGACAATCAAATTTTTCGATTTTCCTGGTTTCTTTAACTTTTTATTTTATAAAGTTGATTTTTTTTGTTAAAAAAAAAAAATTTTTCGTGTTATTATTCAAAGTTAAAAGAAACTTCTTTTTTTAGTATTCATCTTCGATTTTTTCGTTTAACGATAATATTTTTAAAAACTAAGACTTTTTAAATGACGATTTAAAGATTTTACTTTTTTTTTTTTTGTTTTGTTTATCACATCTTTTTTCTTTTTTTTTTCTTTGAAACTTTATCAACAAAAACCTAAAAAAAAAAAACTCTTTTTATAACTTAATTAAAATATGACACCTTTTTTACCTCCCAAATGTTTATGTAAAATATTTCAGAATTTAACAGATCAAGAAACATTATATTCTTGTTTATTCGTAAATCGATTATGGTGTGCCATATCCGTCGAATTTTTATGGTCGAAACCATTTCATTTCATCCATACCTGTCGGAAATCTCTTCCATCAATATCATTATCATCAGGATCAACATTTCGAAATAATAATAACAATAAATCGATATCTTCGGCGACGACTTCTTCAATAACGTCAACATCAATAACATCAACATCGTCGTCACCAAAGAATATCAGTAATATTTATTATAATAATAATATTCGAAGAGCTTCCACGACTACAAATAAATCATTAACATTTTCTTCTTCCACCTCCATAACTTCTTCTTCGGCTTCTTCTACTTTATGTTCAACGATAACATCGACAACCACGACACTACCATCATCATCATCTACTATTTCATCATCACCACTATCCACATCATCACAACCTTTATCATCCACACTCGTGTCATCATCATCAGATAAGATTTGCAATTGTTGTGAAGATACCCGAAAATTAAGAAGTTCAAAATTAATTGAAACATATATAAGTTGCTTAAGTAGTGATGAAAAGACATTATTGATGGAAAGTGGAATTGAATTATCTGATGATCTACTACAATCTCCATTATTCGATTATGCGGAATTCATAAAGTATTTGGATTTGGAGGAATTTTATATGGCTTTAAAAGATTGGATCGAATCATCGAATATACTTAATAATACTAACAATAATAATAATAATAATGGAGGAGGTGGTGTTAATAGTAATAATGGATGTGGAAATTTAAATGTAAATGGAGGAAATTTAGGAGGAAATGGTAATAACAACAATAACAATAATAACAATAGTAATAATAATAATAATACCACTTTAAATGTATTTTATCCACTATATCGAAGAAGAAATAGTGGTGTAAGTGCGAGAAAAAGTAGTTTAAGTAGTTGTGTAAATAGTAATTCAATTAATAATAATAATTATAACATTAATAATAATCATCATCACAATAGTCACAATAATCTCAATAATCTCAATAATCTTAATAATCTCAATAATCTCAATAATGGTGGTGAAGGAAGTTGTTATTCAAAAAGTACTGATTCATCATCATCATCATCATCATCAACTTCGACATCAACATCGACATTACTAAGAGGAGAAGGAACAGTAGAAGTAGTCGAAGTCGGAGGAGTTGGAGGATATAAAATATCTCCAAAATTAAAAAAGAAGAGCTCAATTAAAAAATTCAGATTATCAAATGTGGTTAAATTTATAACGAAGACGATAAATAATCATCGAAGAGGATATGGAAGTAATCACGATCATCAAGCTAGAAGAAATAGCGAATCAAGTTATTATAGTGTTGCTAGTAGTTTTGATACCACATGTACTTCTTCTTCTTCAACTCCTTCAAGTCCTACCAACGATCATCATCATAACCATTATTATCATCACTACCATTCTCATTCGTCATCATCGACGTCATCATCCACCATGCAACATCCTAAAGAAAGATTAATTACTGAATTTTTATGTCAATTAATAATGAGAAAATGTCCCGCCTTACGTCAATTATCAATTGATAGGATAGATTTAAATCGTTCCGAAATTTATTCTTCGAAAGATGAATTATTTCGTTGTTCAACATTACGAGCTCAATTATCGGATCGATTTCAAAATCGACTTATACCTGAACAATATTTGTTACTTCCCATTTACCCTGGAGCTACTCGAGCCTTAGAATCATTAAATGAATTAATAGTTACTACGCGTCAATCGAAAAGAAAATTATTTGATTTATTAGCTGAGATATCTCATCAATTAACCAGAATTTCCGTAACAATGGATTATCATTCTCATGGATGGAATCATAGTAATAACAGTAATAATAATAATTCTTTTAATAATTTCAACAATCATAATAACCACAACAATCACAACAATAATCATAATCATAATCATCATAGTAAATCACGTAATAAAGAAGATTTAGAATTAGAAGATGAATCGAAAAGTTTGGCAATATTAATTAATTCACAAAAAGCATTAAAACAATTTGATTTATATTGTTGCGAAATTGGATCATCAATAATAATGAATTCATTAAAATCCCAAACTCAATCATTAAAATCTATAACATTTAATGATATCAAATTTTGGAAATGGGATTCATCTTCTTTGGATTTTTTAGGTGATTGCTTGAAATTAGAAAAATTGATTTTTAATTCATGTCACGGGTTAACCGAAGAATTATTAAATTCCATGATTGATGTGAAATATCAAGGATTAAATACTATCATAATGGAAAATTCGATTACTCCGGTTAACATCTTGGGATCAGTAATAATTAATTCGATGGATAAAATTAGAACTATTAATCTTGGACATTGTAAATCGACATCATCATCATCATCTTCTTCTTCAACAATAACAACATTGAATGGTAATAATCCTCATAATAATAATAATTATTATTATAATCATCAAAAAGCTCACTCTCGATCGTCTTCGAATTCCTCAAAATTTTCTTTTCTAACACAAAAAACCAAAGACAAGAATAATAATAATAGTAAATATCAAGAGAATAATAATAATGAGAATGATTATAATGATCAAGATAATGAAAATGATAATCGATCAATTATTTCTCATTCATCATCAAACATTATAAAAACCGTAGCTACATATTGTTCACAACTTCGTAATTTTAGTTCTTATATTGATTCCGAAGATTTAAATCAATTATTTAATCTATTTACATCTTGTAAAAATCTTGAAACTGTTACAATCTACGGACCAATATCATCTGAAATCGAGACCACCAATTTATTATTAAGATTATCCCAACAAGAATTACCAAATTTAAGATCACTCTCAATACAAGCTGCATGGAAATTTACATCACTCGCATTAGATCAATTTTTGATAAATTCCAAACCATCATTAAAATATTTGGAGTTTCGAAATTCCAGATGTTTTAATGATAAACATTTGAAAGTGATCATAAAAAATTTAGGGAAAGAATTAAATATATTAAAGTTACATATCACCGAACCATTAAATGAAGAATTGGTGGGGGAAGCTAAAAGGGAAATCGAATTACGAGGACGAATAAGTCGAGAAAAAGAAATCAATGAACACGTGCTTGAAGCAAGACGAAACAATTTTTTCGACAGATTGGGAAATGAATTGGATGATGATGATGATGATGAAGAAGATGAGATGGAATTAAGAAGACTACATCGAATGAGAAAAGAAGATTTAAGAAATTCCGAAGTTAAAAGAATTTCATCACCATTAAGAAAACAACGTGGTTTTGGTAGTTTCGGGATTGGAAGTTTTGGTATTGGAAATTTTAGTTTTGGGAATTTTGGTCTTGGAAGTTTTGGTCTTGGTGGTGGTGGTGGTGATGGTGGTAATGAAATGCGACGTGATAGTGCACCAATAATGAGACGTGATAGTAATACAATGAAACGAGATTTACAACAACAACAATTACAACAAAATCTTCAACTTCAGAGACGTGATAGTGCACCAGTTATGATGATGAGAGGTGGTAATTTAGTAAGAATTGATAAATATTATGGGGAAAGACGTGATAGTCAAGGAAATACATATCGATTTGATAAACTTGGAAATTTTCTTCAAATTGATTCGGAAGGGAATGTAATTGTTGTTGTAGAAGGTAAAGATACTATTATTGGTTATAAATTTAATAATAATAATGGTGATAACAGAAATAATAATAGTAAAAGTAATAATGGTGTTCAAAGTAAGGAAATAAGTACTGAAACTATAAAACCTGATGATGATACCGTAAAGCGTGATGATGATATCTTAAAACGTGATGATGACGATAATGTAACACGTGATAATGATATCAAGAACAATGAAAATAGTAGTGATGGTAGTAAGAACAATAATAATAATGACAGTGGTGATGTGACCAAACACGAAATTATCAACAATGACAATAATAATAAGGATACGATCAAATGCAATAACAATGCTACAAATAATAACAATAATAACAACAGTAATGATGCAAATAATAATAATAATAGTAGCAATAATAATAATACTACAACGACAAATGATAAAATCAGACGTAATAGTAGTACCGTTGCGGTGAGAAAAGATAGTGATGGTAATATATTTCGACTTGATAATAACGGCAATCTCTTTAAAATTGATCGATCTGGTAATTTCTGTCGAATTGATCCGGAAGATAAAATTCATAGCCAATATATTGAAGCGATGAAAAGTGATATTAACAATAAAAATGGTGGTAACGTTGGTGATAGCGATGAAATTGGCAACGGAAACAGCAGTCGAAAAGATAGTAAAGATAGTAGTAATAATAGTACTATTTCCGTAAGACGAGATAGTGAAGGTAGTTTATATAAATTTGATAATAATGGCAATCACTTTAAAATCGATCGTTATGGTAATATATCTAAAGTTGGAACCGAAAATAATAAAGATAAGGGTGGAAATGCCGAAACTACTGTTAATGGAAGTAAAACTGTAAATACTTTCGGAAGTGTCGGAAGTGTTGTTGTTGGTGATAGTAATATTGGTGGTAGTATTAAAGGAATATTAATAAACAATAGTACTAATAGTAATACTGCCCGAAGACCACAACATATAATGATTACACCAAGTACTCTAAGTACTTCAAGTTCTCCAAGTACTCCAAGTACTCCAAGTACTTTAAGTACTTTAAGTGCTCCAATTACACCATTTACTCCAACAACACCAATCACACCGATGACACCGATTACGCCGATGACACCGATTACACCAATTACTCCAATTACACCTACTTCTTATTATTCTACTGTTGTTCAAAACAAATCTTACAAAGATATTCAAGATGGGCTTGTACAAGTGGAATATTGGGAACCTGTTACTAGGGTAAGGATTGAAAATTCTACTGAAAAAATAGTTAAAAAATATTGGAAAAGAAAAGATAGTAATAATAGTAATAGTAGCAGCAATAGTGATAATAGTAATAAGAATAATAGTAGTAAGAATAAGAATAGTAATATCAGAAATAGAGTTGATAGTAATAATAGTAATAATAGCAGTAATTGTGACAAGAGTAAAAATGGAAAGATTAATTGTGATGATAATTGTAGTTGTTATCAAAAAGTGGATAAAAGTAAAGGGAAATTAGTCTAGTAAAAAAAAATAATTTGTAGTAAATATTTTAGTTATAATTAGTTATTATTCTTTCAATAGTTTTAAATGATTGTTAATATTAAAGAAACAAAGATTCATATTGCGTGTGACTAAAAAGCAATATTTTACATTTAACATTTGAAAATTTTAGTTTTTATTCCTTTTTTTTTTTATATATTGATTTCTTGTATTTTTTTATTTATCTTATACTTTGAATCTTTAAAAATTATTCCTTTTGATTTTATTTTATTTTTTCCTTTCTTCCTTCCTTATTTGCAATATTATTATTTTTTTCTTTTCAAAACAATTTTAATCAAAGAATAAGGAAAAAGAATGAAGGCGTATTTATTTAATTTTTTTAAAAAAAACGCGGAAATTTATAAAGATCATAACAAAAATGAAAAAGAACAAAATATAAAAGAACAAAAGATGAAATCAATGGATTAAGATATGAATAGAAATGAAAAGAAAATGAAAAGATAGATGAATAGTTAATAATATATAATTGTTCACGGATCAAAGGATTTTCTCGACAAATAATAATAATTTATCTAAACTTTTATTTTTTATTTTTAATTTATATTAGTCACTCGACGATATTGATCTTTGTTTTCCTAAGAAAAGGTATAGCATTATATTATATATTTATTGTTACATCATTTGATTTATATTATTTATTATTTATTATTACATATTATTAATAGTTAATAAATATTTTTAATCTCTAGGTGACTTTTAAGTAATTTTTTAGTGACTTCTGCTGGCAGATAGATCACAATTATTATATATCTCTATATACATATGTATATATGACACGAATATATCTACGAATTTGTAAAATATTTATATATATATATTAAAAACATTTTTTTTGTACATTAATAATATTTTTAATAATTTTTAATTTTCAATAATTTTACTATTTTTTAATAATTTTTGTATTAATTTGTATTAATAACAGATGATAATAATTTGTAATTTTGTGTATATAATATTTCATAATTAATTAATTTTTTCTATAATTAATAATTAATTTTATTTAATCCAATTTTAATCCAATTTTTTAATCCAAATTTTAATTATTTTAATTATTATTCAATTATTTCAGTATATTACAAAAAAGGACAATTTACCTTTACCATGATTTTTTTTTAAGAACAATTTATAATTTTATTTTGTTTTAATTTTATTTTATTTTATGATTTCTTGATGAGAGATTGGATGAGAGGATTAATGTGATGAACATTTAAAAGAATTTTTTCTTTCAAAGAGAAACAATAATAAAGAATTTGAGAAGTAGTTTTTTTTTTTAAAAAAAAAAAAAAAAATCAAAAACTCTCTTCTTATGAACAAGATGATAAATATAAAAAAATTTTAATTTTATTTATATTTTTTTTGAAATTAATTACTATTTAAAGTATCACTCCATCTTCTCCTTCCCCCATTAAATAAATTCATTCATTCATTCGTTCGTCCATTCAATCAATCATAAATACTCAATTCTTGTAATCTCTGAACAGGTTCATCATCCAAGAATGATAGTTGTCTTTGATAATCATCTTCTTCAATTTTCACCACATCAAATAAAGAAAATAATTTATCCCAATATCCTAAATCTTTTAAATTAATTGGTTGAGATTTTTCAATGAACCAATCTTGTGCTCTTGAACGATGTTGGTTCTGTTTTTGATATTGTTTTTGTTTTTGATGATGTTTTTGTTTTTGCGGTGGTTGTTGTTTTTGCTGCTGATGTTGTTTTTGTAATTGTTGTTTTCTCATTGTATATTTAGAAATTGAAAAATTATTATATGATAGTAAAGGTGATGGTAACGATGATGGTAAAGATAGATATGAAAAAGGTGATGATGATGAAGAATCGAAAGAAGATGAAGAAGAATTGAAAGAAGATGAAGATAAAAGAGCGGTTAATTTCCATTCCATTAATAATACTTCTAAAAATGTCATCACATCTTCCATCGTATAGATTATTGTATCTTTTTTCTTTTTTCTTATCTCCTGTTCTATTTTCTCTTTTGTCTTATTAATAATATTATCTGAATTATTATTATTAAAATCATTAGAATTATCGGAATTATTAAAATTGGATTCTTTAATAATAATATTATTATTATCATTAACTACTTTTTGATCATCCTTTTTTATTGTAATAGTAGTAGTAGTTGTTGTTGTAGTTGTAGTTGGCATTTCTTCATTTTTAACAGTAATCCCACTTGATGCCTAAAAGAAAGAATTAAATTATCCAAAAGGTAAATTTAAATTAAAAAAAAAAAAAAAACAATAGTAAATAAAAACCTACCAATTGATTTGGATCCAAATAATTTCCAAATCTTGCGGCACGTTTCTTTCTTTTCTCTAATTCTTCAGCATCAATAATGATTGTATTATTTTGAGAGGACATACTACTTAATGATGATGATGATGGTGATGATGATGGTGATGATGGTGATGATGATGATGATAGATATTGACGTATTCCATTTCTATTTTTATTAAGATTGTTATTATTCTTATTCTTATTATTATTGGTTTTATTCCAAGTTTTATTATTCCAATTACTCCTGTTATCATTATTATTATTGTCTTCTATAAATTAAAATAAATAAATAAATTTTTTAATTCATTCACACATACAATGAATAGATATATTGAAATATTTGTAATTATAAAATTATATGTCATAGTGAATGCAAACCTCTTACTCCTCCTCGAAATCCTCCTCCACCATTACCACCTCTAGAATTACTATAATTACTACTAGAATTATTAGGATTATTAAAATTACTAGAATTTTGATTCTGTTGTTGATTATTAACACGTCTTTGAGCCATTACTACTATACTACTATTACTACTACTACTACTACTACTATTTTTTTTAAAAAAGTTGATAAGATGTTAAGAAAAAATTTGATGTTAATTTTTAACCTCAATTGCCACAATTTGTCACAGTTTGCCACAGTTTGCCACAATTTGCCACAGTTGCGCTACCTTATTTGTAAGGGTTGTGAGGTTGTAAAGGTTGCAAAGGTTGTAAAGGTTGTTCATTAAAAATTATCTCCTCACGGTTGTGAAAAAGATACACAATATATATACTAAAAATGATAAATTTCCCAAGTAATCAAAAAGTTAATTCGCTGGAATTACATTTACTTAAAATTTAAATGAAAGAAAATCATTTACATACCGGTGAAAAAGATATATCGTTATCGGTAGTGAGATATATTAGCAGCGGGAAAAACGTGGTCCTATTATGTGTTTGTATTACAGTTTATGTAGTTCATAAAAAGAATCACGAGACAAACGCGAAAATTACATGAAATTCAATTCATCATTGTAATATAACGATCAGATATGATTTAATTATGATAAAGTTTATTTTACGCAATTGTACTGTATATTTTTAATGGTAATAATAATAGACTATAATATACTGTATATTACTTATAAATTGATTAAAGTAACTGAAAAAATTGGTTATTATTTATTTATAATCAAATTTTTATTTTAAATCGCAAAATCTTTATTTTAAAACAAATAAAAAAAACTAAAACTACAGAAAAGATAAAAAAACTAAAACTACAGAAAAGATAAAAAAAAAACAAAAATATGAAAAAAGACAACAAAATGCAAAAATTGAGAAAACAAAATATATATATATATATATATATAAAAATATAAAACAAATGAAATAAAAGATAAAAATAAAAATCTATTATTAATTATCTAATAAATTAATAAATTTAATAAATTTAGATTTCCCATTTGCAAACTTTAACATATTTAACAAATCTTCGAATTTGTCTAATTAAATCGACGTTTATAATATGTCTAGTTTGTACGCTTAAATATTCTAATTTACTAATACTTTTAACTTCTTTTCCTCCACCACCGCCGCCATATATTTCGTTATCACTTCTATTTCTGCTACAACTTCGTATATTCTCAAATCTATTATTATTATTATTATTATTATTATGTTTCCCTCGTCCTCTATTCTTACCTTTTCCATTATTCTTTCCAAAACTTTCATTATTTATGATATAACGTTTATTCCAGAACCTATTATTATATTTTCTATTATCACGTTTCTTAAAACTTCTTTGATAAGAATCATTTTCATCGTCATCATAATCACGACGATCAACGCCACCATACCAAAATCTATTTAATAATACTTTAAAATGTTCATTACATACACAAGAACTCCATAATAATTCAAATTTTTTTAGTCGAGTAAAATATCCCAAGAATAATTCTAAATTTTCCGGAGTAAAAGTCCAACACGCGTGAATCCCCAATACTTCCAAATTATTATTTGCCAATTTAATTAAACTGATTTCTCTAAAAATATTATTTACGTTAGTTTCTTGATTTCTCGGTCCTAAAATTTTTAAATATTTTAAATTTATACATGAACTTAAGAAGTAAGGTAATTTGGAAATGGTATCGGAATCAATATGTAATCTTGCAATTGTTAAATTTGGACTATATAATGCGATTGTTTCAAGGATATTATATGTTGAAGGATAGTGATGATGACGATTATTATTAGGAAGTAAAGTAGAAGAAGAAAACGACAATGGTGATGATGATGATGATGATGAATTTATTGTACTATTGGTGTAATATGGAATATATGTTATTTCCAATTCTTCCAAACTTATATTCGCTCTATTTATAAATGATTCCACTATTACACCTGGAGCTGAGGTTATAACAATTTTTGTAATTTTTGAATTCGAAAAATTATCATCAATATTATTATTTCTATTATTATTCGTAATATGATTCGTAATATTATTTGTATTATTATTTGATAAATTAAGAGTGCAATTTGGTAAATAATAACAGGAATTTAAAACTAATTCATCTAATTGGGTAAGGGAAGTTAACTCTAATAGTGATCTCCAATCTTTGAAATCAACTTTGAAAAATGTCATTTTACGTAATGAATGTACTTGTGACATTAACGCTATTACGATATCATCTAATCCTAATCCACAGTATCCAAGTTCAAATTCTGTCAATTGTTTTTGGGATCTAATTAAAACCGTAATACCTTTCACTTGATCTTCTAAACTATCTAATCCATTTTTCGAATGATTATTAATTACAGGAGGATAATCCATCCAAATTTTTATCTTTTTTAATTTCTTTACAGTTTCCGAAAGTGTATAATATAATTCTGCATTACAAGGTGTCGTACAAGTAAATTTGGAAAGATTCGAAAGGTGATGATTGGTGTTGGGAGGTAAAGAGTGTAACCACGAATAAGGTTCAAAATGATTGTTACTAATGCTTAAGGATTTGAGACCAACTGATTGATTCCTCAATATCTTTCCAAGTATATTTGTGTTAAAGATCCTTGCTTTATTTGAACTAATGCTGGTATTATTAGAGGATGCTGCGGCAGCGGCTGCAGCAGATATGAATCTATTATACCCCAATCGTTGGGGTTTTGCTGCTGTTGTTTTTGTATAGCCAAGAATGCTAATTGAATGAGTCATTTTTATGGTGAGGTGACGAAGATATCGTGGAATTTTTAGAAAATTTTTTTTTACCTTGAGTACTTTCTACCTCTACCATTCCAAGAATTGCATTTGAGAATTCTTCAATATCTAAACGTTTTAAATATTGTAAATAATTAAAAGTTGGTGGTTTACTACTATTACACGTTTGTTGTCTGGTGGTTCGTTGTCTTTCTGTGGAAAATATATTTATCTTTTCTTGATATTGAATGCATGAGACATATATTTGAATCAGACAATTTGCTCTCTCATTCCAAGATCTCTTATTATGACCATTCTGATGATTTCTACGTAATTTCTCCAATAATTTAAAAGGTTGAAACCATAAATACGATATTGCAGTTTCACACCAAGAACTATTAACGAGAGCACAGGAATGTAAAGATAAGGAATCTTTTCGAAGTTCTAGGAATATTTTCTTTAAGACATCAGGAGGTAAAAATATTGTCATGATTTAAATTATGTTATATAAAAAAATATTTATTTTTCTATTCTTCTTTTTTTGAAATTTTGAGAAGAGGTAAAAAATGTGGAAAGGGGTCAAAAATCATTGCTTAAATACTGATTCACGTCACGAGCTCAGTGGAAGATTGTGTTTCCTAGTACAATCATTATCCATTCTTGAACGAATTTGAGAGAGAAATTAATTTGGTGACACAATGTCTTTCAAAAACTGGTTTAATGATGTTTATGGATGAAACTTTAATCTTTTCGCGTTCTTCTTGATAAAAATATTGTTAATAATAAATGTCAATGATTATTATAATAGAAATAAATGATGCAATAAATTAATAATTTTATCATTAATTAATTAATTGATGATTAAATTTTATTTAAAAAAATTTTAGAAATTTCTGCACAGTTAAGGTTCAATTTCTCGGAAATTGTTAATTGTTTAAACTCCTAATTCACGTGATCCAAAAACAATTATCACAATAATAACATCATCTTAGGTAATTGGTTTTATTTAATTGTATTTAAACTGTCCCGGAATAAAGTTTACCAGATAAAAAAAAATGATGATTTTTATTTCTTTTTTCTTTTCTGTAGGAAATATCTAAAATCTTAAATAAAGCTTTTATATTTATTTATATATTTTATATAAGCACATATAATACATATAATGAATATTATGAATATATAATGAGAATCAAAAAGGAAAAATTAGAAAAATTGGTGCTCCATTTGTTTATTTTTATTTTTATTTTATCTAAATTTAGTCTTTTAATATCACCTATTAAAGAAATTCCAATTGAAAAAAAAAGTCGATGCGAAAACATGAATATATATATATATATATAATTTATATATATTTATTAAATTATTTATTCTATTTACTTGTTTATTTGTTAATTGATTTGCTGGAATAATAAATAAATAAAAAGATCTTATAATCTTGAATATATTTTAAATTTTGAATCATTTCATGATATCAATAATTGTTGCAAATCATTGTAGTTTTTTCTTTTGATCAATCGTAAAATATAATCACATGATAATATGCAAAATTTAATTCTATAAATAATTTATTTTTTAGGTGCAAGTTGTGGATCACATTAAATAATGGGTAAAATGAATTGTATTATTTAAAAGAAAACCTTACCGTACAGGAAAATTATACGAGAGGACAAGTCTTATCAAATAACTTTATCGGTATGTAAATCTTTTCTTTCAATTTTTTAGTTTCGGCATCGAACCTTTTTTTTTGGTTTAAGCCTTGATTGATAAAGTGATAATGAATTTATTACATATTTTGGAAGTTGCTGTGAAAAAGGTGGCGTTGCATAATTTTGTCATGTTGGCGCATTTTACTCATACATTATATTTTCTCATCCCTACATATTTTTTTTTTGCTTATGCATTCAAAGGACAAGAACGGTAGCATCGGTATCTTTTTAATCATTTTAAAACCAGATTATGAAATTACGATTGACCATAAAAGGAACCAACCGTTAATAATAATGAAATTTTACTATTGGACGATCATAAGGTTATGCAATATGTATAATAATATATTATAATAATAATAATAATTTAATGAGTTAATGAATTTATTGATTTATGGTAAATAAAAAATTAAATCTAAAAAGAGCGAATAAATAATAATAATCGATGATTTTTAATAACTAGTATAATAATTTGATTATTAAATTATTTTAAAAAACTTTTGATCCTTTTGGCAAATTTAATAATTGATTCAAAAAAATTCATCATTTAATAAATTTTTAATTTGTTAATTTTCAATTTCACTTTAAATCCATTTAAAATTAATTCTAATTCTCAAGAGTAAATTTGTAGAATTTTCTGATAACGAAGGTGCTATTGTTGACTATGAGGTTGAAGATGAATTACGAGTAGGAAATGAATGAAATGAACCTAAAAATTCTAATAATAAATTTATTATATAATGAAACTAAATCATCACATGACACCAAATTAAGTTGATTTTTTATTTTTATTATTATTATTTCGCGTACAATAAATTAAAGTTATCTAATACTTTAAATCTTTTGTTTAAATTGTGTTGTATTATTTGAAAAATTTGAATTTTATAAAAATTTCGACCATCACCAACGTTAATTCCAATAATCCCAAATTTATAAAGGAAGAAATTAATTAATTCGTAATTCGGTAAAAACGGTAACAAAGTGAATTTAAACAATTTTGAAGTGTTATTATATAATTTAGGGTGATACGAAATATCCCAAAATTATTTAATGCTCAATATAATGTTAAAGCAAAGAATCGTTCTGGCAAAAATCGAATAAAAAAATATAATTACCAAATCCAATATCTAAATGTTTAATATGTTTAGAACATTTTGAAAGTTGTTCACAATATTTTCAATAAATAAAGAATTTTCAGCTGAATTTTCATATATTTTGAGTTCTTCTAAATATGAAAATGCTTTACGTGTTAATTCTAATTTTCTTCTTGTTTCCATTCTTCTTTTGTCTTTTTACATGCAGGACCAGCAATTCTTTTTCTTCTATCGAATTCAATAATTCATTTTCTACTTCATTTCTCCTTCCACTGATTTTTCTTCTCCTTCACCTTTCATCTCATTATTTTCCTTGTCTCATTGTCATCAATCAACAAACGAGTTAAACAAATCTTATTATCTTTGAAATGCTTCATTGGTATTTTTATAATTCCCATAAAATTACTCAATAAAATAATTTCCAATAATTTTATCCATATTTTTAAAATTTCTCTGTCGCGAATTTTTAATTCTTCGTTGACACCAATGTGTAATAAATTATCAAAGAATGACAATTTAATAATTGAAGATACCTTAGACAATTAAAAAGAGGTTATCATAATCCAAAGTTTCTTCAAGAATATTGTTGTTGTTATTGTTTAAATCAAATAAATCAATCAAAATTTGGTTTTTTTTTTAACACATCACATACGTTTAAATAATTTCAGTTTCCTCGAGTGAACTAGTAATTTTGGAAAACGAAACTCGCTATAATATCGAAACAACCAATTTACACCAACGTGGATTTATTAAAATACAAGAGTGAAGAGTTTCTATTATCAGGTTTTGCCGATTCTGCCAAGTAAGCGAAAATTTCTTTAAGGCAATCGGAATTTACTAAATTTATGAACATTGTTAATAGTTTATTTGTGAATACATGCTTTATAATAAAATTGATACATGACACGGGGTGACTAATATTGCCCTTAACCCTAAAATTAACTAAACACTTTGAATTTTTATGGATCGCTCAATAAAACTACCCCATGCCAGTGCGACAAAAAACAAAATCCTTTTTTATATTTATAATTTATATTTTACAACATTTACAATCCAATTTTATCTTTCAAAAATTTACCAATAGCATCAATACTTCCAACTTCAGCTTCAATTGAATCCAAAGAATGACCGGTTTCAGAATACATTTTACAACGAATTTCAAATTGATCATCTTTTCCTTTTGATTGTTGTTGTCCTTTAAGATAATACCACCATTGTAATCCATCAATATGAGGTACTCTTTTATCATTTTGACCTAATTGCAATAAAATTGGGGTTTTGACTTTATCAATATTGGCAATGGGAGAATTTTCATACATTTTAGTATAATCTGATGGTTTAACTATTGATGGTCTGGTTAAATCATAAGGTAATCCTAATTCTGAGAAACACCTATTTAAAAGAATGAAATAATTGAATTATTAAAATCTTTTTCTTTGAACACACACACATATATATCAACATTTACCAATCTGGGATATCGGTGACGGAAGACATTGCTAGATTACAAAAATAAATTATAATATAAATGAAATTGGTGAAGGCATGTTTTAAAAATAAGATAATAAAAGATAAGGAAAGAGAAAGAAGGATTATATATTTACCTCCAATATTCAATACTGGATTATTTAAAATGCATGCCTTGTAAAAATCCTATTACATGTTGTCATATGTTATGCTATTAGCATATTCTATTCTATTATCCAAAATTTATCATCTTTACTACTAGCTTTTAATACTTACAGGAAATTTTCCAACCAAATGTCCAGAAATAAATCCACCATGACTGCCACCTATCAATGCTATTGCATTAGGATCAGCATAATTCTTTTCAACAAAATATTTGACAGTGGTCTTTTTTAATAATAATAATAATAATATTTAATAATAATTAATAATAATTAATAATAATTAATAATATATAATAACTATAATAACTGATAATACAATACAAAAAATAAAAATATTTTAAAGTACCTGAACCTCCTCTATCTCTAAATGACCAATTTTTCCAATTAATGATTCAACATAATCTTGTCCAAATCCAATACTTCCAGAATAATTAACTTAAAGTAAAAATATTAAGTAAATAAATAATAAATAAAATTTATTTAATTCTTGAAAACATAATATTATTAATTCATAATTTCATAAACCAATTTTGGAACATAATAATAATACCTTCAATAAGAGAATATCCCAAATAAACCAAAGTTTGTATATACAACTTAATTTCTATAACAGATACACTATGTGGACCACCATGGGGAATAACTATAAGAGGAGGAAGTTTCTTAACAGAAGAAGTATTCTCAGTATTCTCAGTATTCTCAGTATTCTCAGTAGTTTTAGTGGTAGACTTATTTGGTTGATGTAAAATGATTTCCAAATTTGGTTTATCTTCAAAAGGTTGAATTATGGACCAAGTAGATTTGGAGAGAATATTTGATACTGAAAATAAATAAATATTTTGTAAATTATTATGTGAAATATAGATATAATAATAATAATAATGATAATAAATTCATTCAAACCATCTTCTACTACATTCGGTTGATCAATAACTGTCCAATTAATTTTTAGACCCTTTTCATTATTAAGCCCAGTTATGACACCAAGATTCTAGAAAAAATCCAAATAATTAATCTGAATAATTGTAAAATATATATATATTGAAAAAAATAACAAATATAATCAATACCAATTGATAAAATTTATTAGGAAATCCTTGAATAGCAATAACATAATTTTTCCAAACATTCAAAAGAGTCCAACTTCCTGTTAAAGTTAAATTTTGAATTATCTCATCACCACCACAACCATCACGACCTGTAGTTAAATTCAGAGCTAAAATGGTTCTTCGACTGCGCCAATAACTATGCATTAAAAGAAATTCATTTCCATCAATGACAACAAATGAATTTGAAGAAATTCTGTCGTTATATAAACCAGGAAAATTTTGATTAAAAGATTCAGAGGGGGATCGAACTATGGGTATGACTAAACGATTTTTTTTTGATGAAAAATCATACTATAATAATAAATTAGTTATGTAAATCAATTAATAATAATAAAAATAATTAATAAAAAAAAATAATAAAATCATACTTCATAAAGTTCCGAACACCAAGAATGAGGTCCTCCAGTAGGATTGGATAAATAGATCTAATAAAAGATATTGGTATTATTATTTATTTATAAATTTGAAATATATTTTACAATATTTACAAAAACAATAAAATTATAAAAAAAAAATCAAAGTTTAACCCACTAAATGATCTTTGTCCAAATTGAGACATGGTGACCTTGCATGACTGACTTGATTACTTATATGTACTACATATTAATATTATGAATGATGAAATTAATAATGATATAAAATAAGAAATCTAAAAAAAAAATTATAGAAATAATTAAAAAGAGAATAAATCATATAAATTATACCTAAATTACATCCATCAAGATCACACTGATATATTCCTGCACTATAATAAATAAAATATATTATTTAAATGTATACAGAATATATATAATAATTGCAATAATATTACATACAGTCTATTAATACAAGCAGCCAGACCGAATTGACGAGGTTCTTTATTATATCCAGTGAAAATTAATGTTTTATCCTCCGGACCGAGAATTATCTAAACACATAGAATAATGAATAATAGATATATGATAATAATGATGATAGAATAATGAATAATGGATGAATAGAATAATAATCACCTGTCCAGGATCAATATTATCAAATTCAGGTAAAACAATAATTTTACCCGCAACTTCAACATGAATAATTACGGGAATACATTTATTTGCAAGTCTTTCACCCCAACTTGGATTATAATCAAATTTCTGATAAATTAAAAAAAAATTAAAATCAAATTTAAATATATAAATGAAATCAAAATATGAAATATAAATGAAATAAAATTAACAAATAGCGGATAGAATGAACATATAAAATACCTTTTCATTAGATTCATCAGATGGTTTTCGTTCAGCAATATAAAAAATATCTTTCTCATCACTTGACCAACTCAAGGAACCAAAAAAATCTTAAGTATCAATCAATTATTATATGTAATAAATTATTATTAATAAATAAAAATTTTAGATAATTGTTTATTTATTTATTTTTTTACCATCAGAATAAAAATCTCCATGTGTATCAGTCACATCAAGAATATGTACCAAATTTCCTTTTTCCCAAATCTGTAAATGAAAATTGGTTGTTAATTTTCAGTAATTTCATTAATAATAAATATAATAATAATAAATATATAATAATAATAATAATAATAATAATAACAATAACAACAACAACAACAACAATAACAACAATAATAATAACAATAACAACAATAATAATAATAATAATAAATACCTCTACAAATCTTTTATTATCTGACACAGCTCGTAAACTTATTAATCTTTTTCCACTGGGAGAATGTTTTTTTAAAACCACATCTCCCAAATCAATTGGTAAGGATGAAGTACTAATGATAGTAGGTTTATCATCTTTATTCTCTACGTCATCCTTCTTTTGTATTGACACAACTAATTGTTTTGTAACTTTTCGTTTAATGTTTCGGGTAAAGTCACGTTGACTAAGTCCAGTTTCAATTACTGTTAAGAAATGGGTTAATGGATTAATGGATGAGAATTAATATCATCAATTCATTAATAATAAAATTAAAGAAAATAATAATAATAATATCAAAGAAATATTGACAATAGAGTATTTATTTAATCATCAATGATTATAATTATTATTATTTTTTTTTTTGGAAAATAATTACAAAGTAAAGAAGTGCTTGAAGTAGGCAAAATTTGTGCGGAAGAATAAGAAGGAATTTTTGCTAATGACTTGAATGTATTCACTGCAATTGATTCTGGATCTTTATTTTTATCTTTATTAGAAGAATTTTCAAAAGGAGAAGACATTTTTCACAACCATAACCATTGATAATCTCTTCAGAAAGATCTATTTATCCTAAAAGTGGAGCTTCAGCCACATGACAAAACAGATATCTAATTAAACAATCAAAAACGCGTCATTTATAAGTATTATAAGTATTTTAAGTATTTTAAGTATTTTAGGTATTTTAAGTATTTTAAGTATTTGTAAATTGTAATTAAAGTACTGCAATGAAACCTTCCTAATTAAGGTATTTGTTTCTTCGTTGAACAAAATTGATTTACCAAACAATTTCACATCTCTAAAATTAAATTTATGTACATTACATTTGTTCATTCAATTCTACAAGAAGAATATACAATAATCAAAACCAAATTTGGTACCTTTGTAACGCAATACTTAAATTACTTAAATTTTACAATTTTGTATTCTGTGGTGTTCACAATTATTGTATTACTACCTAAATAGGCAAAACAAAAAAAAAAATTCGAAAAACCATATTTAAAATAAAGTTTATAGGAAAAAAATATATTTTTAAATTTTCAAATGTTTGAATTGAATTGATGGAAATTTAAAAAAAAAATTAACAAAAAAAAATTAGAAAAAAATTAGAAAAAATTAAATATTTGAACCAATCCAATTAAATTTTTGACTTTGTAATAAATTTTATTTTATTTTATTTCTTCCAAACCGGGATATATAAGGTTATATATATGATTATATTAATTTTATTATAAATATTATAAATAATAAAAATAATAATGGGAGCAGGTTCTCTAGACACAATAAATTTAATGAATAAGAGAAATAATGAAGATAATTCATATTTCAGTGAAGGAGGCATAATTTACGGAATTTTAAGCACAACATCATTATTTTTAATGATAATTCTAGCAATTATTTATGGTAGATTAGAATATAATCGAGTATTTGTATATTTTTGTATATCAATGATTTCATTATATATTCCACACGTATTAGGAGCATGGATTTACGGAGCTAATTTAAATTATAATAATAACAATAATATGAATAATTATAGAGGGTCATCATCCACTTTAACATTTTGTTGGATTCAAACATTATGGGTAAATGTTTCGGGAATTGCAGCAGGAATTACGATGTTAATTTATTCATTTGAAATATATAAAAGTATCGTTCAACATCATGTGATTTATGGTGAATGGAAAAGATTAAAATATTATGCGATGATTTCTTTTCTGTTTCCTTTATTCGTGGGAATTGTACCGCCTTATTTGATTGCTGATAAAGATGGTGGAGTTGTGAGTATTCTTTTTTATTTATTTATTTTTATTTATTTTATTTTGATTTTTGATTTCAAGAAAAGAAGAAAAAATAAACAAGAATTGAAAATGAGAAAGATCTAATATATTATTTTGGAAAAATTAAAAGGCCCCGGGAGCATTTTTTTGTATACTTAATAAACCAAGTATACCATTGGTATTTGTTAGTATTGCGGGATGGAATACAGTATTAAGTTTATTTGGAATTTATTTTTCACGTAGGTTACTTATTTATTATTTTTATGATTAATTATTTTTATGATTAATTATTTCTATTATTAATTATTTCTATTATTAATTATTTCTACTATTAATTATTTCTATTAATTGATTATTATTTATATATTAATAGTACGAACACTTATAGTTGTAGCAAAATTATTCTTTGTTCATGGATTTTATGTCAATTTCAGATTTTCCACACCTGTAAATGAGAATAACCATAACATATCTTCAAGTGGATCATCATCATCTTCAATATCTCATAATTCTCTAAGTCATTCTAGAAGTCGATCGATTTCAAGTTCTAAAATACCTATTTACGTATTTTTTAGATTAACCTTATTTTTTATAATGTATTGTGGAATAACCGTAATAATTTATGGAAGATGTTTAATAATTGGTCTTAAACAAGAAGATGATTTGAATGTTAAAGAACCAAAATATATTGGATATATTACTGCATCATTGGGAATAGTAATATTTTTAATATTTGGAACTTCAATGGAAGCGGGAAGAGCTTATTGGGGATTTCTTTCAATTATATTAAATTGGTTTAATTGGGTTACTTGTTTTAAGAAAATTTTGCGTGACGATAGTTTTGGTGATTGGGAAACTAAACAAAAGCAACAAATGAGAAGAGATACTGGAGAGACTGAAGAGGAACGAGAAGATTCAACAGTTATAGATGAACAAATTATTAATCGAGAAGTTAGTATGGTTACTAATAGGGAAATAACTATGAATAATACAACTATTGATATTGAACAAGATAATAATAGAGAAATAATAACAGCGACAGGTGAAATCGATGAAAAACATAATCAGTCAGACTCATTTCGAATTCCTCCTTTCCTTTAAAATTATTATTAATAATAATAATTATGAATAGTAGTAATAGTAAATATGTAGTAGGGAATAAAAGTGAATATTTTTATTAGTTATATAGGTTAATTTAAAAGATTAATATTTCTATAGTTAAATTGTCATCTCATATATCTCTTTTTATGCTTACTTAGTGATCTACTTATATCATTTCAAATATATCTGGATGTTGTATTGATATTTCTTATTCTTTTGCCTTTCTGAATATCTTATAAAATTTTGAAGATAATCCAATTTAATAATAAGATAATTCTTTGTATGTTGGTCTTCACTTGTCAACGTGGCAAAAATCTACATAAATTTCTAGAGTACCCTTCGTAAACTTTCCTTTGATGATATATAACATAGCATTCTTAATTTATCTTTTCAATATATTAATTTATTTTTCTGTTTTCCAAGCATCTTTGAATTGTATTTTTATAATATAATTGAATGATGCTTATTTTTTATCATACGTTTTAATATGTATTAAAATATGAAATAAATTATGATCAAGAATTTATTGAATTTCGAAATGAACTTGAAATTTCTTTACAAAAGTTTTATTAAATAAAAGAATCAAATTTTAAATGCACTGATAATTAACATTATTGTATATAATATCCCTTATTTCTTCATTTAATAATTTTTTTTTCATTAATAATTTAATCTCATCCATTGTATATGTTCTTTGAAATTCCTATCGTTGGTGTTATTATTATTAAATAATTTTTTTTTTTTTGCTTTTTACTCTTCGGATCATTTTTTCCATGAATCTATTTGGATTAAATGTTTTAGGACTTTCTAATATAACTTGTGCTTTTGAACTCCATCAATATTTAATATCCTTGGACCATTTATAACTTTCTATATATTTCGGCATTGAATTTTGCTGAAGCAATTGAACAGAGTCTTGATGCTATAATTATGTAATGAATTTGACTTGCATATTCAAGTTTTGATAAATCTTCTAATGTAAATGAGGAAACTGGATCTTGCCAACACTCGTTGCTTTACTCTTGGATTATTTTCCAAAAAATAAACCATAAAGCACATGGAGTTTGAACTCTGTAAAAAATTTACTATATTTTTGGTTTCCGTCTTGTTATCAAATAGTATACAATATGAAAATTTAAATTTACTTTAGTAATAATCAATAAAGACTTTAAATAGATTATTATTTATTCTTACAATAATCAAATTAAATGTGATATTTGTGAAATAGAAATCAATGTAATCGTTTTATTATTTATCAGTTACCATTACTGTCTAACATGATATAACAGAAAATATATAAGTAAATGCTTGTTTTCTTGTTCGGTTGGAAATCAATTTTTTTTTATTATAATTTATTGAATTGTGATAATAATATCTTAACAATCAACAGTTAAAAATGAAAAATTAATAAGCAAATGATAAATATTAATAAGTGCTCTTTTGTTTTTTGGTTAGATAAACAATAAACTCATTGTATAAATAAAAATTTACTTGGCCTTAATTAATCTAAGTAATTATATTCTACACTATAATGTTGACCCATTATTTTAAGAATACCTAGAGTTAAATATATTTATAATGAGATTGTTTATTGTGAATTTTTTCATCATATTTGATTTTGCCCATGACATAAAACCCTTTTATTAACCTTCAACAATCTTATTCAATGTTAATTATTGTCAATTATTGTTACAATGACTGCCATTTCTGTTTATATTCAACAAGCATTATAAAAAGTGGGTTTATTTCTAAGTCTGGAAATTCTTCAGACTATACATGTTCCAACAATTGATTTCTGATTTTTGAGATCTTTGAGATTTTTGAGATATCTATTCTATATATGGAAATAAAAAAAATACCTAATTTATCAATTAATATTAATATATCAAAATTTAAAATAGAAGAATTTTGAATTGCCAGACTATGCTATATAAAGATTGACTTGTCAAATGTGCTTCAGAATGAATGGTTTCAGTATCAGATAATTCAGAATTTATATTTTGCACTATTGTTTGCTTCAGTTATCATAAAGTTACCCAGGATGAACCTTTAATTCTCTAATAAAAAGTTTCTCAAATTTCCATCTTTCATATTTCTTAGAACCAATACATATCCTTTTGTCATTCGATTCCAAAATTGGTAAAATATACTTATTTAGTTCTTTTTTTGTTCCAATTACATTTTGATAGAAATAACTTTATTCTGTTCATTACTACTCTGATTTCAAGTAACATTGAAATAATAACAATCTCTAAAATTAAATTGTGCATTTTTATTTTCTCCTTCAGCTGACTTCAAGTTCCACTGAAATGCCTTCTCTTTATATTTAGTGGTCTCAATATCATGTAGGTAACAATAACCAAGATTGCATTGCCCTTCACTATTCCCAGCTACAGCGGATTTTGAGTACCATTGAAATGCCTTTTTTTCATCTTTCATGATTCCATTCCAATAATAATCACAATCTCCAAGATTATTCTGCCCTTTACTATTTCTTCCTTTAGCTGATTTCAGATACAATTGAAATGCTTCTCTTCATAATTTGTTGTTTCAACTCCATGTTGATAACAATAACTAAGATTATACAGTCCATCATTATTTCCTTCTTCAGCTGCTTTCAAGTACCAATAAAATGCTTTCTGTTCATTTCTTGTGATTTCAATTCCATATTGATAACAATATCCAAGATTACATTATTCTTCTTTATCTCCCCTATAGCTGATTTCAAGTACCATTGAAATGCTTCCTCTTCATTTTTGTAATTCCAGTCCCATGGTAATAACATTCTCCCCATCACTATATCCTTAATATTGAAATGCATTTTTTTTTCATCTTTTATGGTTCCAGTACATAATAACAATCTCCAGATTATCCCTTTACTATATTTACATTGAAATGATATTTGTTCATCTTTGCAGTTCCAATTCCATATTGATAGCAATAACCAAGATTATTTTTCACACCACTAGTTGACTGTATACATAATAATATATATATTATGCTAAAATATAAAGTTTCTAACTAATTGATATGTATTATTAAAGACTTTAGTAATCTTTAGCTTCAAGGTGACTAGCACGGCAAAATTACCGTAAACCCTAAATTTCTCATTATAATCAAAATTGTTCTGTAAGAAACCTTTTCTGTGTGATAAATTAAATTTTTAAAAGCTGTTTAATCGATCATATGATTTATAACTAAAATATTTAATCATAGTAGGAAGTTATTGAGATAATTACAGAGGAGTCAATAATATTAGCAATCTAATTATTGAAGACTGCCATTTTTCAAAATATAAATTTTAGTATCGCAAGCTATATTTTTTTTTTGTGTTTCAATTTAAGGTTTTCGAAAGAACATTACTTCTGAAATTATTTGACACGGTTGTGGCAAATATTCCCTTAAACTCTTCATCTATTTTTTGATAAATTAACAATCTGTATCGGGCGTTTTCTGCACGCAACTATGATATCGATTCATGCCATGCAATCACACGGAAGAATTAAATAAAAACCTTTATTTAAAAATGATAAACTTGCTTCAGCAGGATAATGATAATTCAAGTTTTGTTGAGATAAGCAAAGATTTTTAATTATATAGTTAATTTGTTAATTATAAAGACTTTATAACTTGTAAGTTCAATCGATGAACAAATCATTGCTTAATTTTTGACATAAAATTTTTGTCACCATTAAAACAATTGAAATACCACATTATGATAATATTCATAACAAGGTGAATAAAAAATGAAAACTTTCTATATCGTGTTTTGAAATGTTATCATGTCATGTTAAAATATATTTATTTTTTTTTTTTACAAGTGATAAAAATACATTTATTAATTTTAATGGTTATAAAGAAAATCAGTAAGCATTATGATTACATCATATGATAACTTTTATTTTTAAATAAAAATATTGTTTAAAGTTGTAAATAATATAGAAGTTATGTCAAATATCCAATAGCGTCATTGAATTTCCATTTGTTATCCCAAAATCTATTAATTGAAAAAAAATAAAATAAGTGTAAAAATATATAAAAAATATTTTATATATTAAAAAGATAATATATATAAATTACCCAGCTCCAAGTAATCCGCCGACTCCTTTCCAAGAAGTTTCAGGACCAGTTATAATCCAATCAGGTATAGGCACTCCAGTTCTTTTTGGAAATAATCTGGTGACTTGATCCAAACCTTTTTCATCTGTTCCTGCTAATATCAATAGTAGTTGATTATTCTGGAAAGGACATAAAAATAATATTCCTATTATATATTTAAGATTGTGTATAAATATGTTTAAATAAGTTATAAACCATATATAAATTATAATATATTATATAGAAAATATTTTATATTTAAAAGTTATCAAAATATTTCTAAAATATTACCTATTTCTGGATCAGAAAATTTAACATGTTTCAAACTGAATGATCCATTTTTATAAAATTTGACTATTTAAATAAAGGGTAAGTAAATAATAATAATAAAAATAAATCAATTAAATCAATTGCAGTATTACCTTCACTTTTATTGTGCTTCAATAACAATCTAGTAACAAAATTTTCATATGTTGAACCCAATAATATTAAATTTCCTTTGTATTTATTAATAGGTCCATTATTTTTTATCTTATCAACCAATTCATGATCATAGACAATTTCTGAATCTCCTCCACCATAAAGATACCAGCTATGTGCAATTTCCTGAGCAATTTCTAAAAATTTGTTGGTTTTGCTTTTGACACCTGAAACATTTCTTGTTCCAATTACAATTATTATTATTTGCTTAGATTCAAGTATTTGATGAGCAGGTCCGTATGTCGATGGATTTTTTTCCTTTTGAATCCATTTGTTATCTTTACTAAACTATTTTTGAAAAAAAAAGTCATAAAAATTTTAATTTAATTATTTTTAATAGTAATAATGAGAATTTATAATAAATTATTACCTTCCAACTATTCTTTTTAGAGCTCTTTTTGAAATATCCATTTAAAAGTAAATTTTTAAAGTTAAACTCTGTATCGTCAATAACAATCTTTTTTATATCGTCAAAAATTGTTATAAATTTACTTTCATTATTGAACCTGAATCTTTTAATATTAGAGGTTTTTATTTTGTATATTCTATCACCGTTATTGTCAATTAATACCTTTAATTTACCAAGTCTATAATTAATATAATAATCAAAATTATTAATAATAACTAAAATAACAAATGAATTCGAATAAGAAATAAACTCGAAAATAAAGAAATAAAAAATTATACCGGAATGGGATCTTTAATTGTTCAACAAAAATACCATTCTTTCCTCCAAAACTTGCTGGATTATTTAATACAATGGTAAAATTCTTGGGATATTTTGATGTCAAAGAAGTTTCATTTTTATGTGAAATACTTAAATATTTATTTAAAAAGGCTTGCATCAATTCATCATTCATAATATTTTCAAACCAATGACCTTTCTCGGGTATCTCAGAAAGACTTTATATAAAAATAAAAGAAAAAATAAAATAAAATTCTTAATTACTAAATTACAATATTATCAAATAAACCATTTTTTGTTACTCACTTTACAGCATGAATATTACCAGAATGTTCATTAACTAATCTAACTAACATACGTGAATGTATGGGAGGCACATTATCATCATTTGATCCAACACGAGCCAATATTGGAATACCCACCTAATGAATAATAGAAGAAAATTGAAGAACAATTGAAAAATAATAGAATAATATAATAAAAATAAATAACAAGAAAATAAGTTTTTAATTTTTTTTTTTATGCATACCAAATTTGAAGAATAAAGATCATTATTGAATTCAGCTATTGAAGATTCTAAAATCTATTGTTATTATTTAAACAAAATAAATAAAATAAAACAAAATAAACTAAAATAAAATAAAATTCACACAACACAAATAATAAAATTAAATTACCCCTTTAAGAATTGGATCTATATGTGATTCACTATTCCAACAATAATAAGGTACATATTTTTGAATTTTTGAAAATCCTGCAGCAGGCATTCCTATTCAAGATGATGATTTAATAATATTAATTTGATTTAATTTGATTTAAAAAAAATTAAAAAAATAAAATAAAATTAATAAAAATTATTAATATAATTTTATTAAAAACTCACCAGCGATTATAGATTCTGGGAAATGTGACATAAAGAACCATGCACCTTGTCCTCCATTTGAATGACCTTATTGATCAAAAATATAAAGAATTAAATAAAAAATATATTTCATTAATAACTTTAAAAATAAAATTAATAATAACCTGAAATAAATAATTTGTCAGGATTCGGTAAAATTTCCAACTTTTTATTCACCGGAACTCCTGGCATATAAGTCACAAAATATTCTATTGCTTTCTGAATATTTTTTAAACTTGGTCCATGCCAATCATAACCCCATAGTGTTCTCCCGGTAGGAAATATAATCTTGTAGAAATAAATCAAGTATTATCATCGTTAGTTTAAGTATAATCCTTAGAATTGATAGATTTGAAATCTTCAAATTAAATACCCAAGCATTTTGTTGTCTCTTGAATGCAGATGTCCAAAACTCAGATTCAACTTCAACTCCTGAACCATGTAAAGCAACTAATATTGGACATTTTTCTGGATGACATGATTCTATTGGAGGTAATGCCATTGCTATTTGAAAATAATTACTATGTAAATAATTATATAATTTCCAAATAATAAATTCTAATTCTAATTCTAATTATTACCATACTGGACTGTTCCATCAAAATCTTCAAAGGTAAATTTATAAAATTCTCCAAAAGATTTATGATGAATTGTTATTAAATCTGTGGTCATTATCCAATAAGTAGTTTGTTTCTTGGATTTAGAAATTACAGTAAATTGTAGCCTAAATGATACCGGGTTCCCGATGATTACTGAAGAATTGATATTTAATAATATTTTGATATTTCGATGTTGTGATGGTGCAATTCTTACTCCCGATATTGAACCAACATTAGTATTAGTATCAACAATTGATGTTGTCATCTGCCCCGTAACAACAGCAGAATAAACGATAATATCAGATAATAAATAAATAAACATTATAAAAAAAATAAAATTCACAAAAAGATAAATTTTTTATTAAATAAAAAATCATACCTTAACATTACTATTGACTACAATAACTTTAGATATCGTGATCCATTCCTTCTCCAGAGTATTTAATATACCGATACTTATAAATCTTCCCGCTAAATGACCATTTACCAAATTTGGTACAATAATGGTTTGACTTAATATCATCATCACTTTTTCTTTTTCATTCAATTTTCTAATTTGACATTGAAACTTAAAATCTGGTGGAATCTTATCTCCAAATATTCTAATTTCATTTACCAAACGTACATTAATAACATGATTACCAGGTTGAAGATGTAATACATGCCATGACTTTTTATAATCATACCAATCTCCAAATAATCTACGATTATTAACATAAAAATCACCAATATTATGACATTGAATTAATACTGGAATTGTTTCTTTGATATCTGTTATATTTTTGATGTCTTTGATATTTATGATATCTTGTGATAATTCAAAATAACCTCTAGCCCACGTTTGAAATTGGTTGATGACCCATCCAAATGAATTTCTATTAAACTTCCATCTATTTCATAACAGATAATAACAGATAATAATTCATAATTATTCACAATATCAAATTAAAAATAAATATTATTAATTTTTAACCTTATATTCTCAAAATGTATTGGTCCAACTATTCCATCTCTATTAGTATCAATTCTTGACCATTTTACTGTATTATTATCTGCAAGTTCCGAAGGAAATGTCTGTGTTTCTGAGAAATTAAAATTTGCAAATCCACCTTCATTATAAATATTATAAATTAAATCATGGATTAAAAAGAAAAAATTAATTAATTAATTATTCCATTTTAAATAATTAATTAATTATTCCATTTTAAATAATCAATTAATTAAACTAAATAATAAAATCAATTAAATCATTAAATGTTAAATATTACCATAAGCTTCTAAAGGGTCTGCACCAAAATCTTGTTCACGTGTACCAGTAGGAAAGGGTCCTAACAACTATAAAAATAAAAATTATACATTTATTTTTAAACGTTAAAACGATGTTTATGTATATTTATTTGTATATTTTTCAACCTCCCAAACTTTTGGTATCAATTCATTTTCATAATTAATACAATAATTATTATGTCGGATGTGTTTAGAATTCTGAAAAGTTAAACGTTGTTGGGAAGCCAACACCCATTGACATAAAAATAGCGTCACAAAAATACAAGAAATAATAAATGTATATTCTCGAGCCATGAGAAAAATACAAAAAACGATTCACAAAAATTGCTACACACATTGTATAATGAAGTTTAGCCATGTGATATGTCGAAATTGGAATATCAGATATCGGAACTTCTGATTAAAATAGTTAATTTTTCATCTCAAAATATTATTTTTTTTATTATTGATGAATATATTAATTATGTAATCATGTATTAAAATGATGTACATCTCAGCACTTTTAATGAATCTACTTGTTTTAATAGTTAGTCAATCTTTTGATACCAGTTACTCACCTGAGCTAAACCATTACTGTTTTAGTAAAGCTCTTCCAACCAGGTGCCAACATCAGTAATTTGATAGAGCATGTCTTAAAGAACAAAATTACCAGTTTTTTTTTTTGGATTTTATTTTTTAAAGGTGTTAATAGTTTTTTAAATGCTACAATTTTATTGTTGAGTATAGACTTTTGACACCATCATCAAGAAATTTTCAAAACAGAGATTTTCACAATTGAAGATTTTCGGAAACCTCCACAAGTTAACATCTGTAGTATTTCAAGCCTTGCATACTGCTGTCGGATTAGCCGAAATATTTTCAAAATGTAAATCTCCGCAACAGCTGGAGTGTTTTGTCACCAGATGTCTTCAAAACAAGTATCGTGAAAATTTCCATTTTGAAAAATTAAATTATCGGAACTTCTTAATACCCTGCATACTATAAATCGGTAATTAAAGTGACTTTTCCCTATAGTATATAATATCAGGACTAACATATAAACTTACTATGATTTTAAAATTGAAAAACAATCATAAATATTAGTTAGAATCATTTTATTACATATTTAATATGCCATATACAAAGATTTAATACATATATTTAAAATAAATCTTTTGTCTGTAACTAATGTTTTATTTCTTTCCACTAGACTTTTATTGCACGCGCAACGATAATTGAAAAAACCTAACCCATACAAACAAAAAAAATTAACCAATAAATTTTTTCATCACAGATATCATGAACTGCATTTAGCGTTTTCGTTCTGTTTCTTAAAAAGACTTATCAAACAGTGTAAACAATCTTGAAAGAAATCGTACTTATTCAATTGTTTATTCTAAAAATAAAATTTTAAAATGGAAATTTTTTTCGAACTTTACATTTTCGCATCACTTTACGTTTATTTAAAGTTTCACTATAAAATATTTTTGATTTCTCAAGATTCCTGAAGCATATGTATTCTCTTATTAATAGTTTATATTTGAAACAACATTCTTTTTCCTTGTATGATAGATTGTCCATTGTGCATTAAATTAGAACAATAACATTTTTATCAGTCCGTTTTATTTTTTTCATAAATAAAGAATTTCGTTAATGAATTTCTGATTAATTCCATATAAGGGAATTACCCTATTATGTCCAAATTTGTAAACGTTTTGTTTCATACCAAAACAAAGTTCAATTTATTTAATTTATTTGGTTTCATTGGCCAAGAAATCGTTTATGTTTTTAATTTTTATTCGCGATGCATAATATAATATAATATAATATAATATAATATATACATTTTTTGATAAAATAAAAACAAATAACATATATAAATAATATATTGTCGAGAAATATAAATAACAGCTTTTGCGACTTCAATCTTCAAAGTTTTCGCTAGGTCGTAATTTCATAATAATAACGAATAATTTTGTTGACAAAATTATTCTTAAATTTTAATTTTCTCGTTGACCGAGTTAATCTATTAATTTGAATATATTATCATAAACTTTCGACATGGATTCTCACTCTCTTTATAATTCTCCTTTCCCAACTCACTTACGAAGCCCTACTTTATTGAATACATTCAAATCTTCCAAAATGTCCAATTCTCTCAAAACTATCAACTCTCTCAAATCCAGTACCTATGAAGAAACAAAACATCTACGTGGTGTTGCTAGATCGTCCCCAGAATTAGAAACTGATTATATAGCTATTGAAAATAGTTTAACAAGAATTTTAGCATTGACATTAGGTTGCAAAGATCATATTAAAATTATTGCCGAAATCAAACTTCTCATTAAAGTACATAGAGGACTGCTTTCGATAGCCAAAGATGTTTTTGAAAAGATTCCATTAGATTTTATCGATGAATATATGAAAATTCTTTGGGATATTAATGAAGCTTACATCAAAAAACAAAACGAAAGGAAAAGAAATGTAAATGATATCAAGTTATATGAGGAGAGTCGAGAAAAATTAAATGATACCGCAAAAAAATTCAAAGATTTAATTGAAAATGAAAAATTAAAGAAAAAAGATAATTGGAATCCGAGAACTTTAGCAAAAGTGAAAGCAATTGGAAAATGGATGAAAATTAAAAATAAAAATGAAGAAAGTGAAGAATTAGAGAACCAAATCATAGATTGTAAAGAGCCAATAAAAAGAGGAAAGATTACCCGTAAATGGCATAAAAAAGACAAAATCTTTATCGCTGTTAAAGAGGTAGAAATTTTAAAAGAAGACAGCATTTTGAAGTTAAAAAAAGAAATCAAATACCTTTTAAATATTTCCAAAGGTTGCGAATACATTCTTCCTTGGTATGTTTATATTCTTATTTATGCTTATTCATTTATTATTTTATTTTATTTATTAATAATTATTTGAATTATTAATTTTTTTATATCTAGTTATGGATATATATATCGAACTGGTTATTTCACTTTATTTAAATGGGGAGAATATAATCTTCGAGACTTTATTAATAGTAAACCAAATTTAATGTGGCATAGAAAAATTTCAATTGCACGTAACATTGCTATGGCTTTAAACCATGTTCATAAACAAAAAGAACTTCATTATGAAGTTACAAGGTTAGTAAAAATAAAAATAATTTAATACGTGTTTATATAATCACTTTGAATATCTCTTTTTAATTAAAACATTATTATATCTTTATAGCAAGAATATATTGTTAACAGAAGACCTAGTCCCAATGCTTTATAATTTCCGTGAAGTAACATATAATCCGGTCTTAACGAAATATTATGGAAATACTCCAAAGTCCAGGTACAATTTATTGAATATTTTTTACTATTTAAATTTAATTTGTTACTAATATATTTATGATATTTTTTAATATTTTCTTAGATGGTCGGCTCCAGAAATATTTAAAGGTGTAGATTATACGGAAAAATGTGAAGTTTATAGTTTTGCCATTATTCTCTGGGAATTAGCTACCGAAGAAATTCCCTTTAAAAATGTTCCTGATACAAGTATATGGGTACAAGTATTAAGAAGTAAGCGTCCCGAACCAGAAAAATTAGTTGGAGCTCCTATAAAATATCAGAAAATTATGGAAAAAGGATGGAGTCAAGATCCAAAAAATCGTCCAACTATGGCTGAAATGTTTGAGTATTTAGACGAGTTGGATAATAATTTTCATCATACCAAGATAGAAACTGATTCTGATCGATCGGATTATTCAAGTCAGACGGGTGATTCGAATCGAACTAGTGTAGATGAAGCTAATAATCAGACCGTTATAACTCAATCCGACGAATGTAGTGAATCCGACGAATATAGTGAGTTAGGTGAATCCGACGAATATAATGAGTTGGATGAGTCTTACGATTCTGAGGATTCTTATGATTCTTTTCGTTCTTTCGAAAATTTGGATATTACAAAAGATACCGCCGATGATTTTTCCGCAAAAGATACCAACAATGATTTCTTGGAACCTGAAGAAACTATTGAAACCATTGAATCTAACGAAACCATTGAATCTAACGAAACCATTGAATCTAACGAAACCATTGAATCTAACGAAACTATTGAATCTAACGAAACAATCGAATCTAACGAAACAATCGAATATAACGAAACAATCGAATCTAACGAAACAATCGAATCTAACGAAACAATAGAATTTAACAAAACCAGTGAATCTAACGAAACAATAGAATTTAACGAAACCAGTGAATCTAACGAAACAATCGAATTTAACGAAATCAGTGAATCTGATGAAACAATTGAATTCAATGAATCCAACAGATCTATCGAATCTGTTGAATTTGATGAATCTAATAAATCCAATAAATCCAATGAATTTATCGAGTCTGTTGAATCTAATGAAATAATTGAGTCCAATGAAACGATTGAATCCTCTAAATTCGATGAATATAGTGAATCCAATAAATCCACTGAATCAAATGAAACAATTGAATCCGATGAACCCGACAAATGCATTGAATTGAATGTAGCCATTATATTCAAGGAAAAATCTAAAGATTCAGCAGTTTTAACAACTAATCCCCAGAAAACAGAATACTTTACTCGATCTGCAATTGGACCAACAACTGATTATCTCTCACCAGCTGCAATGACATCTTCATCCTTTGTGAACGAATTAAGTACCAATATTGATAGTTTACAAGGAATTTTTAATAAAATTAAAACAATGGGAAGAAAGAGTTCTTTGAATTTTGAAGAAGCTATCAAATATCATAACAGAAAACAATATAAAAAAGCATGGAATATTTTCAAAGCTTACAGTAAAGTTGAAAATCTACCAGTATACAATTTCTGGGTGGGATATTATTATTTCAAAGGTTTTTATAAAGGACTTAACGGAAAACCTAATCCTAAACTTAGCGTGAAATATTTATACAAAGCAGCTAAAGAAGATCATCCAGATGGACAATTTTGGTATGCCAAACTTATATTAGATAAAGGCTTAGCGGCGGAAGAACATTCGAAAAAACGATTTTATTTTGCTATTGAGTATTTACGTAAAGCAGTAAGTCATAATCATTCACAAGCGATGATACTCTTGGGAAAAATCATTTCTCGAGGTCAATATGGTGTACGTGCTGATTCTGAGAAAGGAAAAGCATTGAGGAAAAAAGGTATTCTTATGAGCAGTAATATTAATATTAATCATCCAGGAAATAGCAATAATAATATTATTAATAGTGATAGTAGTAGTAGAAAAAATAGATTTGAAGTTGAGACAAGCAATTTAAAGAATACCAGACCTAGAGCTGTTAGCGAACCTACTATTGCATTACGAAGAGCATTAAAATTAAATGATAATCAGAATGTAAAAATTCCAACTAATATTAATACTTCCAGAAAATATACCACAATTCGTCCGCAATCAGTAGTTTATAATAAAAAGTATATAGTGTAATCAATAGAGTCAATAGAATGTACATAATATTGTACTGAATATTCAATATTCAATCACTTAATCACTTATTTATATATATATTAGAATTCAATTCTTTTTTTTTTTTCAAGTAAAAAGTTGTTTTTCCTCAAATAATACAATGTCTCTGTCTCTTATGCTACATGATTAAAATTATATATAATAGTTTTTATAATTAAAGTATTGTTTTGTTAAATTGTAATATTTATTCATTTTAATAATGATCCAGGTGTTCTAGGACCTAATGGTCTTCCACCATTTCCTGGTGTCATTACTCTTTGAGGTGGTAAGTTTTGACCTGGTGACATTGTCTTAGGAGGTGGTGAAGGTCCAGTTCTTAATGTAGATTCATCAGATGATGGAATTTGTTGATGATTTATCGTAGAATTTTGATTGAAATTTCCCGTTTTTAATGTATCCGATTTCCATTCATCCCAACGTTTCATTGGTATGTCACCACGATTAAATTTATCTTTATTTCCTCCTCCATGACCATTATCTTCTCCAGCAATTTTACGTGTAGCACCCCATGAAAAATCTATTTAGAATACGTCATTATTATTATTATTATTATTATATAATTTATATAATGTAATGAAAATATTAATAATAATAATAAAACTTACCATCAAAATGCCAAAATGCATATATAGGTAATATGAAATTCCATATTGGTGTAGCAATTATAAAAATTAACATCCATACCACATAAATCAGTTTATGTGAAGTAAAGATAACTAAAAATGCTTGCAAGAAATATGTTGCAGTAATAAATATTAATGGCAAAATTACTGAAGCTCCTTGTATGCCGGAATATATCAAATATATTATAAACACAAGTGATGAAGGTAATACCACTGTTCCTACCAATTCAAGGAAAATCACAAATTGCATAGAACAACAAAATATACCACAAAGTTGAGGAACTAAAATAAGTTCCATCAAATTATGTATAGTCGAATTAATCCATCGACGACGTTGAGATAACAAAACTTGAAATTCATCAGGTACTACAGTCTTACAAATAGCTTTAGGAACATAAATCATTTTACGTTTTGTAAATGTTCTTAACATTAATGTGGTGAGATAACGATCCTCTCCAAGAAGTAAAAGATTTTTTTGATGTAAAGTTTCCACACTATTCGAAGAGTACATCTCAACAATATCTGGATTGACAAGAATTGGTACTGAATATCCAGTATATTTAGGTGCTTTGATACGATACATACAAAAACAACCTGGCAAACAAGTTACACCTCCAAAGATTGATTCAAATGATTTTCCAAGATGATGTGATATATAGTATTCAAAAACCTTTTGAAATATATATATATATATATAATATAAAATATATATAATATAATATATTAATAAGAATCTTATTTAAATAATAAAATTTAAGCTTACTTGAATCATTGTTATCCAATTAGCAGTTTTATTTGCTATCTTTGTTTCACCACAAAGTCCCATAACTTTAGGATCACGTTCCATAGCAGCTACCATCCGACCAACGCTATCAGGTTTAACAAGTGTATCTGCATCCACCATTAAAACCATTTCATATTTATCAGGGGTAATACCCGTTAATTTACGAACTTTTTCAAATAATTCAAATTCTAAAGGACTCATCCGATCATTGAAACAAATGTGACTAAGCCATTTCATCAATATAAGTTGAGAATCTCGTTTTCCACGATTACCAGCTTTGGAACCTTTTCTTTCTTTTGGTGTACCAACTTTATTAATAAAAACCATTGGAACTCGATGATTAGAGACATTATAATAACCTATTACAACTTTTGCCATATTATGTTGTTTCAATCCATCACCAATTGCAAAATAAGATTTAGGTACTGGTTTAGGTTCATTAGGATTAAAAGGTTCCATTAAATCTTCACATATTTGTGGAGTAGATCTATCATTCTCCGAACCAGTGATATCTCCATCAGAAATTACAAATAATAATTTATGTTTATCAGAATAATTTGTTCCAGCTAATGAATCAAGTGTGGTACGAATTGAATGTTCACCTTCGGAATAACATGTAACCAATAATATAATATGTGAAGTGAGATCATCTTTTTTTGGTTTACTTGAAATTTTACCTAGTTGCCATGATAAAAACCAATCAAAGACTATAGCTGAAACAAACTTGATGAGTGTAATTGCAGTAAATACAACTATCATTATAATAAGAACTGAATTAGTAGAAAAACATCCAATAGTTGTACCATCAATTTGTCCAACCAAAAAATAATTGAAACATTTTGCAATCTCTTTTGATCTTTTATCATGTACGATATCCTTCGTAGAATCTTTACCAACAAGACTGGTAAGCCAAGCGGTAACTTTTGCATCTCCAAGCCACTGATCACTAGCAGGTAATTCAAGGTAATCTGTTATATCATATACATTTGAATTATATACAAACATTTTACGTTGACCATTGGTAACATTATTCCATGTGTAAAAGACAAACAAATTCATATCAAGAGATTGTAAAGCTTTAAGTGAGGCAAGTGAAGTGTGACAGTGAAATTTTTTATCAGTAAGTCCTTGAGCGCAAATTGTTCCATTATCTTTTGGAGTCATTCCACATCCTGAAACTCTATTATCTGGAGGAAAGAAACCAGAAATATCTCTACCAAATAATGGTGTAATAATAGGATCCAAATCTGAATCATTAAGTGGAGCTATAGGTCGATGACCGCCACTTGAAAAATAAACGCCTGTATTATAAAGTTTTCCACGGATAATATGTGCTTTTATACCAGGTACTTGAGGACCATATAATACAGGAATCTCTTCTGGATATAAAGGATTTATTTTTACGCAAGCAAAGGTTGAGAAACCGAAAGTTATGAATCCCATGAAACCTGAAATACACAATATGATAAAACATAAAGCTACTTTTTCACGCCATGCTTGTCTAACACTAGCATCATTCATTTTCCCAAAAAACGATAAACAAGGATTAAAGAAACATGCTGTGACTATTAAAGAAAAGATAACCCATGGAGTTCGTTCCTTTCTTGGTGCCATATCATGCTTAACGTGAGGTGCAGTGATTAAACGATTTGGTGCATTGCTCAATGCTTCACCGCTCAAACTTAAATATTGAGATCTACGTCGTTCAGCATTTTTAGGTTGAATTGTTCTTCTTTTTGGTGATGCCGAATGATCAAGAGGCATCATAAATCCCCTAGGTGCTGCATTAGGATCCTCAGAATTTAAAACAGGAATTTCAAAACCAATGCGGTTATAAGCTTGATAATTATTTAAATTTGTTCGTGGAGGTGTATTCATTTGTGGAAGTATGTTCATTCGTGAAGGTGTATTCATTTGTGGTGGTGGATTATTGTTAGTTGTTTGCAATGTGGGAGTTCGAGTTGGAAGAATTCGAGGAAAAGGGGGAACACGAGAAGGAGGGACACCTGGTACAAAATTTTCAATTGAATTTGCAATAGCAAGATAACCACCTTCCCTAGCAAGAATAATAGCAGTTTTTCCATTATTAGTCATTGTATTTTTATCGGCGTTATGTATTAATAATAATCGACAAACTTCTCCTCGACCTGCGAATGCAGCAAGCATTAAAGGTGTCCAACCAAACTATTACATATTAAAAGACATTTCAGAAAATTTCAGAAAATGTTTAAATTATTTAAGATTATTAAGAAAAAAAATTATAAAAATAAATACATGTGAATAAATTAATAAATAAAATATCAGATATGTACTCCATCTTTAATGTTGACATTTGCACCTCGGGCTAACAAAACTTCTGCAGTTTTATGGTGTCCTTCGTAAGCAGCTAGAGCCAAAGCTGATTTATTTGAATTATCTTGAAAATCCACATTCGCGTAACCAATATCGATAAGTACACGACACACATCAGCATGACCATTATAAGCAGCGATTATAAGTGGTGTAATGTTTTCCTATAATGAATTAATAATTTAATAAATGAAATAAATAATTAATGCTATGGTTAAGAAATAATTCAAACCTTGTTCCCAATCTCAACATAAGCATGCGATTTAATCAATATTTCAACGATTTCAGCATTTCCTGCTGCGGCTGCTTGATAAAGTGCAGTCTCTCCCTCAATATCTAGTGAATAATTAAAATAATTAATTAATCAATTTTAAACCTAAAAAACCTAAATATTTGAATGGTATTTAAATATGCCAACCTTGTAAATCGACATTCATTGTACCAATGCTGCATAAATAACTAACAACATCTGGACAATTATGACTCGATGCTGCCATTAATGGAGTTTTACCATCTTTATTTCTCAAATTATTGAGATCGTAATTGGTTTGATTCAATATAGACCGAATAAGACGTAAATTATTTTGTAGGATAGCATTAAATATAACGGCTACAGGATTTGGAGGAGCATCTTCTGGTGGAGGAGGAGTACGAGTTGTTGGTATTATTGTAGAATCCGATGAATAAGGCGGCCTATAGAATTCATTATTATTACCAGACATTTTAAAAAAAAACAACGAAAAAAAAAAAGTAAATTTTAATTCTTTAGAGAATTCAGTTTTTGTATAATTTGATTTTTTACAATTACGTTTTATTATGGAGTTGAACGAAAGATAAATTGTAGTACGAAACTAAAAATAGATAACTTAATTCTTTATAAAAAGTTTTTTGTGAGTCGAAAAATAATAGTAGGGGGGTGAACTTCGAATGAAGTTTAGAAGAAAACAAAGAATAATAGGAATTAATGGAATAGATAGGGAAAAGGGGGACAGGGGATATTAAAGTTGTCTTTAATTGTCGTTGAGATGTTTACGTGAAACATATTTTCATTATTTTCAATTCATTTAGGCCAATAGAATTTATACGACAAAATTAAGAATTTCTTAAAAGAGTTAATGACATAAACAACAACAGTAGAAAATGGACGAATTTTGCAATCACGAGTCATCGGATCAAAGAATGAGGGGAAAAAATTTCCTTTATTGTATGAATTAATAAAAATAAAAAACTGCGCCATGTGCGCGGTGCTACCAAAATGCAATATATCTTGTGTCCACTTTATCCCCCTAATATATTTAATAAAATACCAAACTAATATTTTCCTGTTGATAATGGATCGGCATCATCATCCTGATGTCTTGGTTTCTATGAAAATAAAATATTAGATTTCTCATATACAAATAAAAAAAAAATAAATAAGTAAAAAAGGGTGTATAGATACTTTAATGAATTTTTTGAATATAAACCAAAATGCAGAAGCCAATAAAGCACCGAGGATGGGTCCAGCATAATAAATCCAATTAGCAGTTCCAAAGTCTCCTGTAATTATGGAAGGTCCAAATGTTCTTGCTGGATTTAAACTTTATACATCATAATTAAGAAATTGAGTAATTGAAATTTCTTTATTAAATAAATTTTTGACAACAAATAAATACAGACGAAATTACCTGCCACCAGTATATGGTCCAGCTGAATTAAAGCAGAAAATTATTTGTATTATACGTATTATGTATTATATAAAAAAATGTAAAATATAAATACAATACCAGCAATTGCAGAAATGAATAAAGCCCATCCAATTCCAAGAGCTGCAGTAAACTGAGCAGTTTTTTCAACGGCAAGGATGAATACTGAAAGTGTCAATAATGAAGTACAAATAGCTTCCAGTAATAAACCTTGAAATATTGATGTTCCTTCGGCCTAAATACAATATAGTAAATAAAATATAATATATTCAAAAATAAAATTCACATATATAACATAAGAATAATACTTACCAAAGTGGTAGCACCACCTTCTGACCCAGGTAGAGCAATATCGATTAAATATGCTCCCAAAAGGGCACCCAAAAATTCTGCAACAATATAAAGAATTCCTCTAAAGATTCCAATATTTCTGGTGACCATCAATGCTATGGTGATAGCAGGGTTAAGCACTAAAAACATATATTTGAAATTATTTTTATGAACGATACAATTTCTTTGGTGGAAAAAAAAGAGAGAAATATGAAACTAACATCCATCAGAAATTTGAATCCAAAGCCATACATTTACCAATAGAGAAAATCCCCAAGCAAGTGGTCCTGCAATTAACGCGCTGAATAGCAGTAAATATTTGTAAATCTATTTTATTATTTCTGTTTATTTTTTTTTACAAAGTTAACAAAAAAAGTAGATCATACATACACACCAGCGTCGGAATCTATAATATTATTGGAAAGTGCCACATTTCCTCCAACACCTAAAACAAAAAAAGAAGGACAATAAAAAATATATACAAAAAAAAATTCTTTTTAAATATTTAAATATTGTTGATAATGCAATTTACCAAAAAATACAAAGTAAGCAGTTCCAATGAACTCGCCAAGACTCTTAGTTAAATCGTTTCTAGAATTACTGGCCCAACTCATAATTAATTAATAAATCGGTATGAGTGTATTCGTTTTTTCTTTAAAAAAAATTTTTTGAATCAAAGAATAGATGATAAAGAAGATTAAAAATTAGAAAATTTAATATACAAGAAATCTTTTTTTTTTGTCGAAAATGGAAAATTTTTGGTTAAGGCGAGTTATTTTATAAATCTTAAATCCTTTTCGACTTACAAAAAGAAAAAAAAAAAATTCATACACAATTCGAAATTTCTTTGAAATGCGCGTCATATTTCTATTAATATTTCTATTTATTGATATTTACTGTATATTTTTGAAAACAAATAAGACGACAAAGCCATGAAACATGTTAAAAAAAAAAACCGCGTGTATTTTTACTAAAGAAAAATACATTGATTACATTAAGAACAGATTTTTTTTACAAAAAGAAAAAAAAAAAAATTCATACACAGTTCGAAATTTCTTTGAAATGCGTCATATTTCTATTTATTGATATTTATTGTATTGTATATTTCTGAAAATAAATAAGACGACAAAGCCATGAAACATGTGTTAAATGTATTTTTACTAAAGAAAATTACATTGATTACATTAAGAACAGATTTTTTTTTTCCAAGTTGTTTAAGCGAAAACAAAGTATCTAAAAAACAAATTTGCCATAAACTAAGCCATTATTAAAATTAAAGGCTGAGTTATTACTAAGGATTATTAATATATATGCATCGATTTATCATCGATTTATCGTTTCACATACGCAGACTTTATACTTTAGGCTTAAATTTTGCAAATTTAAAACAAATACATATTATCATAACACTAGAAAAGCAATTCAGCCTCACTTTAACGAATATTGACAAGGATTGATTTCTCTTAGCATTCTTTAACAAAAAAATAATAACTGATAAGTATACTCTATTTAATATTTATTGGATTTTTTTTTATGTTAAATAAACTTAACGAAATTTAAAATATTTACAATTTAAAGAATAAAATAATTCTTAAATTAATAAATTTTATAAAAACAAAAAATATTATCTGTAATAAAATTCTATATAAAATTTTTATAAACAAGATAATGTTGACTACGTCGGAATAGGTAAAGAATAAATTGTAAAATGTTCAGAAGTACCATAAATTCTTGGATAACCTTGAGTATAAACTTTGGCAAAAAATATATTTAAATATGACCAATGACCAACAACAAATTTTACTTGTCCGTCACTTACTCTCTGTTATTTTACAGTATAATATGTATATTATTTGTGAAAGGATGAATATAATATAAAAAATTGAATATAACATTTAAGATATATGAAGTGTGAACAATATGAATATAAATGTGAAAATAAATTTAAAAGAGAAGGCAAAAAGTGAATGATAAGATACTAACAGCAGTTGTTTTCCAAACCATTTCTGGAGGATTTAATTCAAATCTTGGGGAAGATAATATTTCAATCACTACTTCAGCTATGAAATATTATCATCAAAATATATTGTTATTTTTTATTTTATTATTAAATATTATTATCTTTAATAATAATAATAATAATAATAACAATACATACTGTCAGCTGGTAAAGTACTTTTCCATTTAACTATTTGAGTCGATCCAATATTAAATTGACTACTTTCTACTGGTGTTTGAACTATGATAGATCTAAACCCTGGAGGTTTTATTGATCCTTGTATTACAGGGAACCCCCATACAAATGGGACAAGGAAGCTTAGGGTTATTACGATGAGTATTATCGTTAGTTTCGGTAGTGGTATTATTGATAATTCCAAGTGTAAGGATTCTAATAATTTCATTTCTTCTCGAAGCAGGAAAATATCCGTCACAGATTGAACAATTTTCTTTATTAGCATGAACTTTATTATAATTTTCTTTATCTTGTTTTTGCTTGGACGGAGTACGAATTTGACGACTTAATCTTCTAGGATTTTTGACTTTTGATGAATTATTATTATTGTTATTTTTATAAGAGAAATAATTTGATTTTGAATTTAGTTCGGAAGTAGAAGTATTTGATGATGATGAATTGTTTTCTTTAAATGATTTTTTAAAACATGGGAAACAAGAAAGTCTCAAAAGAAATCGATAAATCTTGTATTTTATAATAGAACAACGTTTAAAAAATTTCTGTAGCATTTTTTATAATCTGATTTGTCAAAAACGAGTATGTGAATTTGTATTTTCTTGAAATATTTAAATACTGTATCACATCAATTATCAAAATTATTTCAATGGAATTTTTGTATAATGATAGAAAAATCTTGGTCAAACATGAAATATATAAAATATTTATATAAAAAAATTGATCAAGGTAATTTACGGTAACTAATTGTATTATGCAAAGGCTTGTATATAAAGAATGTAAATAATATAATTTCGTGGAGTTTAAAAAAAAACTTGGGAGGCTTTACAGTTTAAATTTAAACAAAATGGCTTAGATATGATGATAAATAACAATAAGTTACCCGAGTTTTTTTATTTTATGTATGAACAGTTATTATTTACTATTATTTTATTATTATTTATTTTATTCTTGTTTATTTTCGTTTATAAAATATTAAAATATTTATATTGTTCTCTTGTGTAATACATTGTTGGCTTAGAATTATGATGGTGATGAGAAGGGCTGAATTACTGGCTATTTCAGTATTGTTATTTACCCCTTCGTTCCTAGTTCGTTCAAACGACAAAATAAACAAATAAAAAAAATAATAGAACGAGACGCAGTAGATAATAATTTGTTTGATTTAATAGATTAAGTTTAATTGTACTGTTAAATTGAAATAATTGAAATAATTGAAATAATTGAAATGATTTTTAATACGGGGTGATAAACTCGACTTTAAATAAAAGAGTTCATGACAACAATTTATGACAATAATGACAATAAATTAAGTAAATTATAATTTCAACAGAATTTCTTGAATAACACGTGAAGAATCTATTGTGTTTTAATTACACGTGAACTTTACACCCAACGCGTGAACTTTAAATTCTTTACTATTAATTATTGGTAAATTTTAATTTTAATTTTAAATTTTTTATTTTTAGCCCAATAATTTTTTTTTAAAAATAATATTTATCATCATCATTATCATTGAGTGTAATATAAATGGAAACTATTTCTACATTTTATACTAGACAGAACTAAAATAAATATGTGCTGCGGAATAATTGAAATTAATTGGCGAAAATCCTAATTAGTATCAATTCGAATACAAAAGCATTTTTACTCTTTATTGACCCAATAATAATAGTGTAATCAAATACCATTGTTAAGATTGATTTTTTGGAAAGGATAATAATCATTCTCTATTGTTTTCCCAACTGAATAAACAATGTGTGTTTTATGGATATTTGATAATGCAAATTTGATAGTCCAATAATGGATAACTTTGAACTTTGAATATTTGATAGTCCAATAATGGATAACTTTGAACTTTGAATAAATTACTCTCGTTGAATATTATTTTCTTTGGAAATGATAAGAATAAATTTATAAATTTGGATTAACTAATCGAATAATCTCTGGATCTCTGGATGAAAAAACCTATGACAATTACATGTAAATTTCCTTAATAACTTATTAAATTTATTCATTATAAATGTACACTCATTCGAATTAAGGTTCTTGGCAAGGAACCTTAATAATTCTTTAATGAGATTATATCATTTTCCCAACATTTCGTTAAATGCTGATTTATTAATACTAATACTGTATCAGATATTTTTCTAGTTCAGATATAAAGGATTATTTCATCTCTACGTAATGAACGAATTTCTGATGTTTATCACCTCGCTTCACACCCTTCGAATATCGATTTTTATAAAAACCTTATTCATCACAAAGGATATTTTGTCACATGACCGTCACAAAAAATTAATATTTAATAAATGATTGACTTTCTCAACTCTTTTAAAAATGTCTGCACCTAAAGTAATTTTAGTAACTGGTGCCGTAAGTAGAAAAAATAGAAAAAAGACATTTATGAGATGAAAATCATTAACAATAGTTTCTTTTAATTTAAGAATAAAGGAATTGGTTATGCAATTGTTCGTAACTTGGCATTAAAGTATTCCGCAACATCAAATTCCCAACCACTTACAATCATTCTAACAGCTCGAGATCAAAATCGCGGTCAAACATCACTTAATGAACTTGAGAATGAATTGAAACCAAAGAAAATTTTAAAACATGATGGTGGAATTATTGATTTGAAATTTATACAATTGGATTTATTAGATGAAAATAGCATTAAGAAAACTGAAGAAACAATTTCAAAGGATTGTAATGGTACATTTGATGAAATTTCATTTAATGCGATCTCATTTAATGCAATCTTTGCAAATTATACTATATTGAAACTTATAAATATTTAATTTATATATTGTCAAAAAAGGTCTCGACATATTGATTAATAATGCAGGAATGGGTAAGTTCTTTTTCTTTTCTAAAGAAAATTTTAAAATTATTCAATATTGTTTGTAAAAGGAAACTAAAATTCTTCTATTAAATATATTTTTATTAGCATTCAAAGGAGATTCTTTTGATATAAACGTAGTTCGCACTACATTCGCTACTAATTTTTATGGTACACTCAATGTATCAAATCATTTATTCCCCCTAATCCGTCCTAATGGACGTTTAATCAACATTTCAAGTGGTGTTGGAAGATTAAGTATTATAAGTAATAAATGGAAAAAAGAATTTAGTAAAGAAGACTTGGATATAGATGGTTTAATTGAATTAATGAAGAAATATGAGGTATATTTCATTATTTTTTTTTATTTTTATTTTTATTTTTATTATTTTTATTATTTTTATTTCATTTCTTATTTTATTGTTTTATAGAATGCTGTTGAAAAAGGAACTTATCAAAATGAAGGATGGCCTCAACAAGGCAATTTCAGTTATTGTAATATCTAATTGATAATTTTTTAATTGAAATTATTAATAATTATCTTCATTATAATTATTCAGCTTATGGTATGTCAAAACTTGGATTAACTGTGATGACAAATATATTCGCTCGTCGCGCTGATAAAGAGGGAAAAGGCGTTTTAGTTTTTTCTTGTTGTCCTGGTTGGGTATGCATCATCTTATCTTTCTTCAATATTTTAACATTTAATATTATAATATTATCATTTCATTTTTTTTAAATTTGTATTTTTTCTAGGTGAGAACTGATATGGCTGGTCCAAACGCTGTTAAATCTCCAGGTACATTTTTAAATATATTATTATCATGATTCAACAATTTATATTACGAAATTAATTCTCTTTTCTTTTAAAAGATCAAGGTGCAGAAACTCCAGTCTTCCTTGCAGTGAATGACGATGTTGTTCCAAAAGCGCCGGTAAACCTTTTTTTTTAAAAAAAAAAATTAATAATTTTGATTCAACTGAACAAAGAAATAAGTATTATTTATATCCTTTTTTTTTTGGTATAATGAATAGAATGGATCATATTGGAAAGATTGCAAAGTTAAAGAATGGTACAGTGCTCCCAGTCTATAACCAAGAATTTTACCCTTAAAATAAGGTAAGGCTTGTGAAACATTCTTGAAATAGAAAATTTAACTAATAATTATGATAGATATTAACTTGTTCTTTCAAAATTATCAGTTTATATTTTATAATATTTATTTTTGACAGAGCTATAAGCATTTTAAAATTAGATATATTTATATATAAAATAAAAAAAATTGGAAATATATAAAAACATAAAAAAGATTATTTTTATTAAATTTATTTATTCAAAAGGAATCATTTAATTCATTAAAAAATTTCATTAGGTATTCTTCGATAAGATTTATATTTTTTTATTGTATATTCTACCAATTTTTCTGTTAAACCTTTTCTATATGCATCCATATATCTTGTATATATTCGTGTGGGGTATTTGGGTGTGCAAAAAAATAAAAAAAATAGATATATACGATCACCTGGTCACGTTCATGAAATTTAATTGGCTTAAAATCACGTGGAAACCCGTCCAAAATTGTATTCGTTTAATCGATTCCTTTTAATCTTAGGAATCCGAAAATACAATTTTTTTAAAGGTTTTTGGTTAAATTTAAGAAAATCAAATTTTTGGTTGTAGACTGGGCGCACTGTAAAAAAAATGGAGAGAAAATTGAAGATGTACTGTAGTATTGGAATTTAATTATTGGATGAAGCCATACTTCGATACTATTTTTATTATTACTACCAGTAAACCTGCCTATGCATTAGTAAATTATTTTAATAAGAAACTTCAAATGAAGAATTAAATGTATCAGAAAACATTCTTAAAGGAAGTGATATGTTTATAGAATCAGTGGAGGCATTTAGCTGGTAAATTATTTAATCCTCCCGGTAATAATTTATTTTCTTTTTTTTACAGAGTACAAGTAATTTATTGGAAGAAATTGAATGTGTTCTTTCGAATTTACATTTAAAGATTTATGTTGAAGCTATTATAAAAGATAATTTACGTGTCAAATTCTTAATATTGCTGTTGTTGTAACAGTATTATGATAAAAATAACATTGGTTTTTCAAAATATTTCATAATTATAGCATTAAAACTATGTTCAATTGTCACTATAATTTTTAGAAAAAAATACATACCAGATGTTATAGGAGATTATGAATAGTCTAATAATATTAATTTCTTATTAATATTGATGAAATTCATATTTGATATCTTTAGTCAAAATAGATTCATGGTTAAAGGTAATTTTGAGGGTAAAAATCAGGTTCATATGTTTGGAGGTTTGAGAAAGTGTAATAAAGTATAGTATATTAAATTAAAAAAAATTAATTACCATCATTTCCTTACTGAATATACAACATTAAACTGAAGGGACCATTAAAAGAATATAGAATTAAAAGTTAAATTGAAAATAATTCTGTTATCATGGTTTTTTTTTCAAAAAAAAAAGGCTATGTAAATCTTTTTTTTTTTTGCAGTTATTAATTGTAATAAATAAAATCAATAAAAATATGATTGAAAAGCTATATTATGTATTCCAATGACAAATTTATATTTTCGAGAAATATTAATTTAAAAAATTAATATTTACCTGGCCATTCCATCATTAAATCATCATCTTTGAAAATAATTTTATAACATTTGTATAATATGTTTGCTTATAATTGTTTTCCATTTCTTTCATCAATCTTTATGAATATCTAAGAAATTGCCGAACTACCATCATAAATAGGTAGAATACCATATGTCATATATTTCTTTAATGGTCTTTTAGATTTTCCAATATGATTCGTTAATTTCAATGCAGTCATAACAGTCGACAATTGCTACAACACTTAATTTATTATTAACGTATATTTATTTTATTTTAAATATTACATAACAATACGCAAGTAGATATAAATAGAAATATATGAATGTACTTCATAGGTAATAAGAATAGCATAAAATATTCTTATTATTGTTTTCTATCACTCTTTTCCTCTTTTAAAAATAATAATTTTTCTCTTTTGTTATTGAATTAAAATTTTTTTCTGCAAAATATTCTGAAATTTTCAAAGGTAGTTTTATATTCATCAAATTCCATTGAAACAACTTTTATAAATTCTTCATGTTCATTATCAGATATTAATTTCGCAAAAGAATTTAACGAACGGCGACTCATTTTATAGTTTTCTAACATCTACAAAAGAATTTCAAAAGTGAGCAATAATTACTAATTATTTAATTTAAATTAAATAATAATTTCATTTCAATTTACCAAACTTCCAAATTCTCCACCCCAATTTCCTATTGGACCTTTCTTCTCTAATTGATAAAAATTTGTCAAGCAAGGAGAATCCTGAATCAATTGAGGTATCATGTTAATATTCATTTCTGAGTATATTCCTTTTTTTCTCAAGTAATCTAATACTGTACATTTATAACATTGTTATTTTTTAAGAAATAAATTAAGTTAGTAATGATGATGATAAAAAGAAGGTATTTCTATTTAAGTGTTTATTTACCTTGATCATTCCCAGATTTTGTTATAGGGCCATAATTTTCATAACCTATTCGAAATTCCATTAACTAAAAATTAAATTATTTATTTATATATTTATGAAATAATATTAATAATATTTGAAATTATTTTTTTTTCATAAAAGATAATAAATGATGCTTACTTCAATCCATCCTCCAGGTTTCAATACACGACACATTTCATTGAACAAGAGTCTACACTCAGAATTCGTTGATGCATATATGAGAAATCGTTCAGACACGAAATCAAAAGTCTCATTCTTTAAAAAAAACAAAAAATAAAAAATAAAATAAAAAAATAAAAGATAAAATAAAAAAAAAATAAATAAATAAATAAAAGAACTTACAGGAAATGGAATTACATTTAACACATCTGATTGCATAAATCCTGTATTTGGTAAACGTTGACCTTCAGTAAGAAATATAGGTGAAGTATCAAGACCTAAAAATGTACATTTTGGATATTCGGTTGCCATATCCATAACCCAAGCGCAAGTACCAGAACTTTTTTAAATAGAATACAAATATTAGAATTCTCGCAATTCCCGTAGTCGTAATTCTCGTAATTCTTATATATTAAAAAAAAAGAGATCATAATAAATACTAACCCAATATTAAGAACTTGCATCTTTCCTTCTTTTAATTGTTGTTCAATTGGTGACGAAAAATTTCCTTGCCATTGGTATCGATAAAGACAGTGTTCTAAGTTTAAGCGTCCAAATTCTATATTTGCATATTTCGAATAATGTGACTTGTTACCGAAATTAGAAGTGGAAGTGGAAGTAGAAGTAGAAGTAGTATTTGATAAAGCAGTAGAAGATGAAGATGATGACGAATTAGAAGAAAAAATAGATGAATAATTTAAATCATATATTATTGAAATGGAAGGAAGAGAATAAGTTTGTTGTTGTATTGGTTTATTGTCATTAGAAGAACCTCTATTGTTATTAAAATTTGGTAATGATAATTTTTTACGGATAAAATGAATCTTGCCAGAATTTTTATTATCTTCTTTACTCGGGTTATAATTATCTTCAATTTGTTTAGACATATTTGAATTATTATTATTATTATTATTATTATTATTATTATTATTAATTGGTTCTATAGTTGACTTTGAATTTTTCTCCTGACTTTTGTTTTTACGGATAAAATGAACCTTGCCAGGATTTTTATTATCTTTACATTTTTTATCTTCTTTATTCGCGTTGTTTTGTTTAGACATATTATTTGAATTATTATTATTAATTGATTCTGTAGCCAACTTTGAATTTTCTCCTGACTTTTGTTTTTATTTAGAATGAAAGGTAACAAATTATTATTATTTTTAAAATTATTTCTGTTATTATTACTATTATTATTATTGTTGTTATTACACCAGCATATTTCTACTTTTATTTCTACTTTTATTTCTACTTTTATTTCTACTTTTATTTCTACTTTATTTTCTACCTTTTTTTCACTGCTATTTTTATTGATATTTTTACTGTTATTTTTACTATTATTTTTGCTATTATTTTCTGTTATTATTGTTACGGCAACAAGAAAGACAATTAAAAAATTTTTATAACTCTAATTAAAGTATGAAGTATGAATTTCTAAATATAAACGAATATAAAATAGTAAGTACAAAAAATAAACAAATAATTGCGTAAAAATTTAAATTCTTTTTATTAAAATAATTATGATATTGTAATAATTAAATATGTAAATAAATTTCATTATTTTTTCCATTTTAGAAATTATAATTTTTTTTTCAATTTCGAAGAATATCAACCCATGGGAACACCCGCATATGTCAATCATAAATAATCAACATTCGATCACATATTAATTATTAATAATTAAACAATCTTATATTATATGATGATTAAATATTTATCATTATTTATAATGAAAAATTAAAGTTTTTACATATCTGATATGCGTTGTGAGATGCTGCTGCATGCATTAAAAATTTAAGCACCATTAATATGAATTGCTAATTATCATGTGATGTCATTTAGTCGCTCATATTATATTATATTAAAGTACCAAAATTTTTTTCTCCATTACTCTGTACAACAACCTTTCTTGGCGGTAACACCCGATGATATGAGTTGCAAAACAACGAAATTACTCTAATTACTTTTAGTTACGTTAAATAAGAAATATTTTCATTTTCAGTCGCAAAAATTTGTCAAAATACGTATATATTCAAATCAATAAAAGTTAAGCATTTTTAAATTTTAAATAGTCACAATACTTCCTTTAGTTCAGAAATAATTTTCATTATTATAATGTAAAATACAAAAATACAAAAATACAAAAATAAAAAAAAATACAATATAAATAAATAAAAATAAAATATTAAAAAGATTATAATATAAATTACTAAAATTTTATCAAAAAAACAATTTTTTTAAATTCAATTATATGAATAATAATAATTTTTTTTAAAGAAGAAGGTGACGAAGAAGAGACTAATGATTCAAACATCGTGAATGGAGTAAGAGTTTCTCTTGGAAATATTAAATTTGAAGGAGGATGATTATTCTTTAAATTAACTTTAGTTAAGAGTACTTTGATCACTTAAAATATCCATAATATTAGGTTGTGTTTCAAATTCTTTAATATATGATGGTTTAGTAGTGGTAACAATAGTTGTAAGAACTGTCGTTGTCGTTGTTGTTGAGTAATTTGATTTTAATTTTTGCTTTTGTGTGATATGATTATTCTCATTACTTATGAGAATAAGAATCAGGTGAAATTAATTTAGAAGAAGAAGTTTGGATATTAGTAGAAGGGTTGGCAAATTCGGAAGGAGAAAATGAGAAAGGTATTTTAGTTGGTAAAGGAGAAAAGATGGTATCTGTAGATAAACCATCTTCTAAACTTATTTGTGCGTTCGTTACCGCAATTACTACGAACAAATGATGATAGAAATAAAAATGAGATTTTAAATCTTTTTTTTTTTTATTTTATTTTAATGAAGAAAAGAAACAAAATATAATGAATCTCATATTTATATCACGAATTATTATCGATGATCCAAAATATTTATCATGTTTTTGATAATCGTTTACGGTGGGAAATTACGTAATTATGCAGTCTATGCAGGTTACTATGAAGTAGAAAATGGATAATTTACAGTACTACAGGTTGTAGAATGTTTGCGTGACGAGAGTTTAATATCGAGAAATCATCAGGAATTTCGAAAAAAAAAAAAAATTTTAAATGATGTGAAATTTTTTTACAAAAAAAAAAAAGGTTTATGTTTTTTCACTTTCTGTTTCCTTTGTTTTCTTTGAATTGAAAATTTTTTTTCATATGATTTTTCTTTTGATAGAGTTAATTTTTTATAATTAATAACCATTATATATATTTATTATACACATACATCCGAATTAATTTATAAATTTTCTCTTCAAAGAATTTTTATTCACATCTCTTTTTTTTCATATTTCCAAAAAATTAGAAAATGGGGCTCAACCGGGAATTGAACCCGGGACCTCTCCGACCCGAACGGAGAATCATACTACTAGACCATTGAGCCGTTATAGTGCTACACAAAACCTACTTCTTAAAAATTATAAAATCAAATTCGGATCAACCTTAGGTAATTAATCATTATACATTATGTAGATCATCAATCCTCCGATGGAGAATAAATACATATGTTCACCACAAAAATGAACTGTAAAATACTGTACACATGAAGCACATGTTACAAGTCAAAATATTTCATAGCCACGAGAACATAGCCACTATTTCAGATAATTATTAACTTGAGATGAAAAGGCAGATACTAGTTATACTTAATACAAAGCCATATGATTTGTATTTGTATATATGAAAATTTTCTTTTATAAAAAACTTGTAAAAAGAGTAAAACAAAAAAAAAATGGAATAGTATTTTTCTCGTTTGCTTATTATCTTTAACAAATAAATCACTCATATAAATATATTTGCATAGGCGTATTAAGATAGCAAAGCCATGTTGCTAATATCATATCATTCCGAATTTTTTTATCTTCACTTCGGAAATTTGTGCAGATTCGATTTTTTTTTATAAAAAAAAAAAAAAAAAAAAATTAAAAAAATAATATTTTATTTTAGTGAAGAGAGAACGTTACTGTGATATATATAGTATTAAAAGTAAAGAAATCAAAATTTTTTATCAAAAAAAAAAAAAAAAGAACGAAAGAACCATTTGAAATGCCATTTTTTGGGTCGACCAATAAGATCACATTTGTCGGTGGTATGACCGTATTAATATCGGCGATGATGGGACCAGGAATTGTAACGAGTGAGATTTATTATTATTATTACTATAATAATAGATAACATTATTTTATTATCTTATTTTATAAATTATTTATTTTATGTAAAAAAAAAAGTACCATTATTATTCCAGACAGCAGGATGGGTAACGTGAGTAATATTTTTTTAAATAAATCTTCTTGTTATTAACATTTACCAAAACAAAATAATATTTAAAATAAAAAAAGATCAATATTAATGTTCGTGATAGCAATAATGTTATCTGTATCATCATCATTATTATTATGTGAAGCAATAAGTTCAATACCAGGCAATAAAAGATTTTCGGTATAATTTCATATTTTCTCTCTCTAAAACACACTCTCTAATAATCCTTCTAATACTCTCTAATAATCTTTCTAATATTTTCTCTTTCAATTACTCTCCCTCCCCCTCCTAATACATTCTTATAAATTAGAAAAAAATCGAATACATCAAACTCTCACAAACATTAATTTCCAATCTATTTTTTCAACGACTGGTTGAATTTTTTCATTATGCATCTTTGGAATCCTTAACAATAGCCTCGATAATATTATCATCACAATCTATAGATACTTTATTTGTTGATTTAATCAATATCACATGTGGAATTGGTTTATATCCTGATTTTGGTTTCGTTTGTGTTCATAAAATAGGTTCGGAGAATAGTCCATTTGGAAATAGTTGGATGTTATTGACTATTGGATTAATAGTAAATAAATAAATATCATTATTATTATTATTATTATTATTATTATTATTGTTATTAATCATTTATTAATTATTTATTACTATTAATTGTAATTATTATTATTTTCAATTATTATTATAATAGATAACTTTAATTATTGTAATTCCAATGGCATTAATGAAACTCTCAAACAATGCTAAAATACAAATTGGTAAATATATAATTTTAATATTTCATTAGCTAAATAACATTCTGTAATATATATTTTTTTAATATATTTAATATATCAATATTTTTCATTATTTTATAGTATCATTCATGATAATGTCATCGATCGTGATAATATGGGTTGTGACATCTATACGTCATGGATTAAATTTCAATTATGTTCCAATCATTGGAGATGATCAAAGTCAGGTGGTAGGAACAGTATTGTTTAATTATGTTCTTACTCTTACTATTTCAAGTGTTGTCAGTGAACTGGTAAATAATTAATAATATATAATAAATAAGAATGAGGATAATATATATAAGAATAATATAAAGAATAATAATTATAATAATTAATTAATTATTCATTCCTTAGGAAAAAGATGTTCCAATCCGAAAATTGGTTTTGTCATCAACCTTAATAGTTACCATTTTTTATCTCGCTTTGGGAATATTTGGAGCTTTAGCCTATAAGTTTGAAACATCAGCTAATATAATATCCACTATTCATAGAATTGAAACAGATAATGAGATTGTTCAAATAGCAACTTATTTATTTCCACTTATATTAATTTTTAGTATGTCAATTAATGCTATTGTTATTAGATATAATTTGATTAGATCTGGAATATGTAAAAGTGGTAAATATATTCATTATTTATTATTTATTATTTATTATATTTATATTTATTACTATTGTAATATTTACTATTTATTATTAATATTTATATTATAATAAAGAAAAAATGGCAATATTCCTTACTTTACTTCCCTGGATTTTAGTGATTCCGTTTCAAACTGGATATTGGTTGGCTATATTCACTAATTGGACTTCAATAATATTTATATGTAGTTCAAATTTCATTATACCATTTTGGTTATATATCTTAAGTCAAAAAAGAAAATTAAAAATTATGGATGATTTTAAAGAAATTGATGTTAAATTAGAGAAAGAGATAGCTGAGAAAAAAAAAGAGGCAACCGATATTTTCCCTTTAAAAGATGTGACTGTTACAACATCATCATCATATTTATCCTCTCCTCAAAGTTCATTAACTCCAACAAAGAATGTAATAATAAGTACTAAAGCAGAAGGTGAACAAGATGAAGAAGAAGAAGAATATGATGAATTTTCTAAACTATTTCCATTTAAAGCATTTGGATGTTTTGAAGAAATGGATGATATGAAAAATGATAATGAAAATTTAAGAACATTAAGTGTAAGAATAGCATGGATTGCAAGTATTTTAAGTTTATTAATGATTTTTTGGATTTTAATTTATAATATTATAGAATTGATTTAATTATTTAAAATAAATGCCTTAGTTTGTAAATTAGAATAACTATTATTTTAAATTATTATTATAAATTATTATAATATAATAATTATTATTTCAGGATAGAGATTTTTATAGCTTAAAAACTTTAATGTTATTTATTAATTGTATTAAAATTTCTTATTTATTAATTTTAATGACCCAAATTTTTAAATTTTCAAATTCATCAAATTTATACAATTGATTATACAAATATCAATTATTTCCCTCCCATATTTGACTTGATACATTATATCCAATCATACATATCCTGACTTCTATTTAAATTTACATTATATAAATCTTTATTTCCCTTTTTTCCTTTGTTGTTTTTCTTTGATAATTTTTTCATCGCCTTATGTTTTTGATAATCTCGAAGCGATGGATTATTGCTATTATTATCATCATTATATGCCGTGAATGGATTGTTTTTGTTGTTATTATATGCAATAAATGGATTATTATTATTATTATATGCTATAAAAGGGTTATTATTATTGTTATTATTATTATGTGCAGATTCAACATCAATCATTTCAAATGATCCTATTGATGATGAACGCGATCTTGATAATGGTTCGGGTGACGATGATTTTGGTGATGATTTTGAATGAGATTTTTTAGGTTTAGATAATTGTTTTGTTACTGGTGGAAAAAGTTCTTTCATTTTATTCCTTACATCATTTCCATCAATGTTCTTTGCAAACTCTTCGGTTTTTCTTTGTCGTCTTTTAACCGCACAATATCTAATTAATACTAATAATAAAATCATTGCAATCACTATTAAAATTATTACTAATAATATTTGCCACCATTCTAATTTCTTTGAATACCCAGGAATTGTGTCATTAGAATTAACTTCCAAATTATTATTATTTAAATTATAACAAATCTTTTCTTTGATTAATATATTATTAGGACTAGTATTATTACAATTACTGCAAGTACCATTCACTAAAAATTTAGTTTTCTCTGCACATCCAAAACATTTTTGAGATCCAATACATGAAGAACATGATGAATGACATGGTTCACATTTTCCTGAACTATCAACGAATTTTCCTTTAGGGCAAGTTTCCACACAAAAATTATCTTGAGTTAATATTGGACGAGAAGGTGGACATTTTTTACATTGATTTGATTTAATTCCTGAACATTCTAAACATTCTGGATGACATTTGGTACAAGTTGTATTCACTAAAAAATAAGATGAAGGACAAGGAGTTGTTGAACATGTACCATTATACGCAGATTGTTTTGGGTCAGCGCAGGATAAACATTGTTCGGATGATGGACCGTTACATGTATTACAAGCTTGATCACAAGCTAAAAAATATAAAAAATAAATATATAAAAATAAATAAATATAATAAATATAAAATAATTTAAAATTTAATATAAATTAAAATATTTACCTGAACAAATAGTTTGATTTTTAAATTTTCCGTCCGGACAAGTTTTAACACATTTTTCTTCATCCAGAATATATCCCTCGAAACATTTTGAACATTTCCCCTCGGAATGACAACTCTGACATCCATTCGAACATGCTAAATTAATATAATTATTTATTAAATATTTTAATTGTAAATAATCACACAAAAATAATTTACACACAAAAATAATACTTACGATTACAAAAGGTTTTGTTAGAGTTAACGAAAGTCTCATTCACACATTCAGCGGGCTTAACGCAACGACCATTAGAGTAAACACGTCCATTAGAACAAGATAAACAGCCAAATTCACCACCACTAAAACAACTAACACAAGAACTATCACACGGAGCGCAACCAGTTCTATCATAAAATTCACCGAGTGTACAATTATTATTATTACTATCATTAACTACACATTTGGAGGGGTCATCGTTGGAAATAATTAACCCCGATTTACATTCATTGCATTTTCCGTCCCCATCACAAGTTTCACAACCATATGGACATGATATACAATCATTCTCAAATAAATGAAATCCTTTGTCACATTCTGTACATTTTCCTTCGGTACCAGTTTTCCAACCTTTTTTACATTTACAATTATTATTTTCACGAGTACCATTTTCACATACTATAAAAAAAAAATTAAAAAAAAAAATTAATATTTAATATTTTAAAATAAATAAATTAATATTAAATAAAATAAAATTACCAGTATCATTAATGCATTTACCAGTTCCAGTTATTTTATCATCGCAAGTAGAATTTCCACAAGAACAAGCTAAACAAATAAATAAAATAAATAAAATAAATAAATGAATAAAATTCAATATATCTCGTACAATTATATAGTGCTATATATATATCCAACCTGTACAGTTTGGTCCCCAAAAACCTGGTTGACATTGATCACATCGTTTACCATCACCATCAAAACCGAAACCGGCATAGCATTCACAAACATTATTGGATCCACAAAATCCACCAAATCCACAACCTCCACTAATTTGGCATGTAGCTATAAATAAATATAATATAAATGTAAATGTAAATGATAAATATAATAAATATACATAAAAATATATTATAATAATAATAATACCTGAAGAAACTTCCAAACTATCACCGTAAACATACCCATCTACATTATTTCCAAAGAAATTAGGAATTGCTTCAAAAAATACCGTATTACTCCCGGAAAAATTAGAATTGGACCATAATACACCACGAAAATCATTGTCTATCATAATAGATCCGATTTTAGAAGAAATTAAATGTCTACCGTAATAAAATTTACTGGCCCCAAAATAATTAGGTTGTTCATAAACAATCATTCCTGGTAAAAGTTTAATAATAATTGTTGTTGATAAATCATTAATCTTATCAACAAATGCCAAGTCTGAAGTGTAAATTGATGAATTATTATTATTTCTTTGTATTATAAATTGAAATCCGGTCGGTATTTCGATGGAAAATGGTGATGAGAATATTGAATAAGGAAGGTCTTGAGAAGTATAATTATTGACGAGAAGTAATGTATAATTGCCAGAGAATGATGGATTTGCGTAAATCTTAATTGCATCTAATAAATAAATAAATAATAATATAATGGATTATATTTTAATTTTTAATTTTAATTTTAATTTAAATTAATTCATTATTTATAATAAAGAAAATAAAGAAAAATAAAAGTTATCTTACTTGGAACAACATCATATATATTCCAAGATTGAGAATCAGAGTTATTTTGACATTCGTTTAACTCGAAACGATTATCAATCCTCGTCAAACATCGATTAGCATTATTGGTTAACTTTGACTTTTCTTGATCAAATGACCATTTTTGATTGATATTATTATTATCACAAGGACAAACTTGAATTTCACCACCGTTGTTATTCGAAAGACAAAATTGATTATCAAATGATTTAATAAAAATTTCAGCTTTTATTGTTGATGTATCATTAATATGATAAGTGGAATTAATAGAAGTAGATTTAGTAGTAAGTGGTAATTTAGGATTGGTTTGAATTATATTCCAAAAAGTGGAATTGGAAAGTTGAGAAAATCTTTCTGTTGGACAAGGAGTAGAAGAAAGAGAAAAACATGATGATGATGATGATGATGTTAAATATTCCAAACATTCTTGATCATTTCTTATAAATTTGGCTATATCAAAAAAAAAAAAAGCAAATTTAAAATAATGTAATTAGTAAATCGCGAATGAGAATATTCATAAGTTTATTATAAAAAAAAAGATTTTAATAGAATACCTGCGTGAATATTTTGAATAATAGCAATAATACAAAAAAATACAATATTGTAAACAAACACGTGAATTTTCATAATTAAACAAGTTCGAAGTTGTCTATAGTAAATATAATAATTTAGTATTTGGGTAAATTTACTAATTAATTATGTAATGCGGAAGAAAACGTCAGTCCTGCTGTTATTAATTAAGGCCAGCCTTAGTCGTTTAGTACTTTAATTTGTATAAAAAAGTACAAATTGTGAGAAAAAAAAAATGAAAAATTTGGGTGAGAAAAAGTAATCAAGAAGATATAACCATTTTTTATACAATTTTATTTTATTTAATTCTAAATAATAATAAAAAGAAACAAGGCAATTCGTTACAAACAAAAAGATTTCAAAAAAATAATTGGTGATAAAAATTGAATTGATATTAATAGTTTTTATTATATAACAATTGTAGGCAACAAGAAATTATACATAATGCCTCGTATATATTGTTCTAATTTTTGTACGCCAAAAGAATTTATTCAACAATTTTTAAGCAGGAAACAAAGTATTGAACCTTTTCATACCTAGTTTTAGTTATGATTGTTATTTATTCATTCAAAAAAATCCCGAGTTTTAAATTAGTTTTAGGTTTAGTTACAAATTAATTTTAGTTCACATTTTATACAATATATATATATTTATTTATATTTATATAGTATAGTTTATGTTTTTTTTTGCATCACGGAATAATTAATAAATTATAATACTGACAAGACAGTGAACAGAAAACAGAAAAAATAAAATAACGAAATAACGAAACAAACGAAATAACAAGGATGACGATATACCAAAATAGATATATTTGGTATATTAGAGTCTTTATATTGAAAAATAGAAGAAAGGTAATTTTAATCTTTGTTATTGTTTTTTGTTATTATGTGTTACGTAACTGAGAAATCACAAACAAAGAATTCGTCTGATGTTGTTACACAATATAAATTATATTATAAAAATAACATTTTGAACCCCCATAAGGGGAAATGTCATATGACTGTTATAGAATTTAACAATAGTTATATCACGTGAATTTTACTTTAACATTTATATGGGATCTAGACCTGGGTCTATTTTTTTTGAATCAGCTGCAAAAAAAAAAATGAATGAATACTCGATAGCTTTTCTAAATAATGCCTTAGCCCCCTCCTTTATTTTTAGAACAATTATAAATATTTCTGCTATCAGAATGTATGTTGATGCAAAGAAAGGAAAATACTAATAAATTGATTTCTTATTCAAAGATTATTAGGTAATAGATAAGTAGTATCTAACAATTACGTAAATGAGAAAATTGAAAGAGATTTTTATATTTTTTCAAGAAGTTTTGACACCTGAAATCTTTCATAATCACGTCCCTTGGATGGTGTAAGAGCCTATATAGGGGTGTCTTTAAAAATGAAATGATATTGTAATAAATAACTGATAATAAATTATATTAAAAATAGTTTCAAAAAAATTTTGGCAGATTACAAATTTAAATGATTCTGAAAAATGAAAGTAAAAATATAAAAGACTGTATCGGACTTTGATTACATTGTCCATTATATTTTACTATTTTATTTTTATAATATTTTGATAAAGCTTGATATATTGAAAACTTGTCCTTTTTTGGGAGGAATAATTATTTTAAATATAATGATAAAGAAAAGTAATATTGTTTTGTATATAACATAAATCCATAAAATATTTGAAATTAAACCAGTCCCAATATGAGTCGTGTAACAATCAAATCAATCAAATGTACCCAGCAATAAAAGGTTAGTAATAATAATAATAATAATAATCAATATTTAGTTAGGTCTGTCTAACCGAAACCGAATTAACAATATATAAAAAACATAATCATTATTAATACGATATACGTGATTATCAGATTATATCATAATTGGAAATTTTCTTTATTCACAGATCTTTTATTTCCATTTTGGGGGGATAGGCTAAAGCGGAGTAGAATCATGTGAGATGATTTCAGGTTAAAACGTAAACGTGATCCGAACACATTGTTATCAAACTTTTCTATTAGTCAAGATCAACTAACAATAGGATCTTAACTATTTTAACCAATAGAAAAATTTTCAGGTACATGTGATTTGATCACTCTTCCGAAACCACTCCACATGATTCTACTCCGCTTTAATGTTAACTAGTTTTTAGACTAAGCCGGCTTTAAAATAACTGCATAACCTAACCGGTTATTTTATAGATTGGCTTGGCTTGGGAACCTACAATTAAAATAGTGATTTTAATATTACTCAAACTTAAAAAGTCAACTTTTACCAATTTCGGAGGTGGCCCAAGGTTTCGGCGTTATTTTCCCAAATTGGAAAATTTTTGCCTTTTTCCTGAAAAGGGAAAATGAATGTAAAAGTATAATAAATGATAATCATAATCATAATAATACAAATACTTTATTATCACATGAGTGTATAATTTTGGTTTAATTTCATTTATTTACGCATCAGTTCTTGCAGATAAATAAAATTGGGTATAAATACAATGATCAAACAACACTTTTATTTATTTATTAAGATTTTTTGATAACATTAGTTGATTAAAGGTTATCTATTTTTATAAAAGTTAACGAGGAATTAAAAAGTACCTGACTCTTTAATAATTATGTAATCCATTTTGTGAAACTTTACTATTTTTTTAAATACTCATCATCCACAATTTTTTTTGAGAACGTTTTTTTTATTTTTTTTTATGGTTATGAAAAAAATGTACAAAAATAATAATTACTTTCCGGTTTTAAAAAAGGAAAAAAATAACGCTATCGCCGATGATGATGATTTATTTGCAGATAAAAGAGATGCGAGAGAAGGAATTTGTTCATATTGCCATCGATTTAATACTCAAACCTCTTGGTGCCAATCATGTGATCCTCAACGAGTTAACAATCCGAGACTTATGAGTGAAAACGAGAAATTAAATAATTTCATTAATAAAATTCAATATAAAATTTCAGAATATCATCGAGCTTTTGAATGGATTCCATTTGATAGATTTAAAAATATTGAAAAAATAGGAGAAGGATATTTTAATGAAATTTATTCAGCGACTTGGATCGATGGATATCGACAATTGCAATGGGATAAATCTAAAACATTAAGAGGGACGAGAAAATCCAATGGATTAGTCGCTTTGAGATGTATAAAAAGGAATGAAAATAAAATTGATATTATAAAAGAGGTAGATAATCATTATAATTTAGAATATTTTTATTATTACTTTTATTATTAACTGTTTACATATTACATATAACATACTCATACTCTCTATTATTATATTCTTTATTACAATTATACTCTACTACTACTATTATTATTATTATTATTATTATTATTATTATTATTATTATTATACTCTCCGTTAATACTCTCCATTATATTTCTTAAACTATAAACTATATATTAATTAAACTATTACACCTAAATTCATATTAATAAAAAAAAAAAATTGAAGTTTAAAATTCATTGTCGTTGTCAAGTAAATAATAACCATTTAAGAATTTATGGCATAACTCTAAATCCGTATACTATGGATTATATGACAGTAACTAAATATGCGGAATTTGGAAATCTTCGTAATTATTTATCATTAAACTTTTATCAATTAAAATGGTCAGAAAAATTAGGTTTTTTAAGAAGGATTACCGAGGATTTAGCAACGATTCATACAGCGGGATATATGCACTTAAATTTGCACAGTGGAAATATTTTACAAACGAATGACGGAAAAGGGAGAATTTTTAGTGCAATTTCGGATTTTAGATTTGCTAAAAAAATTGATGGACGAAAGAATTTAAAGAAAGAAAAGAAAGAAGAACGTGAAGAAATAAATGGAGAAACGAATGGAGAGGAAAAGAAAGAAATAAGTGGAGTAATACCGTATATTGCTCCAGAAGTAATAATTAATCAACAATATAGTCCAGCAGTTGATATATATAGTTTTGGAGTAATCATGGCAGAAATGTCAACGGGATTTCCACCATTTTATAATTGTGCACATGATCTTGAATTGGCACGTAAAATTTGTAATGGATTAAGACCAGAATTTGGAGAAGGTACACCGGAATATTATATTCAATTTGCACGAAAATGTATGAGACATAATCCATTAGATCGACCGAATAGTACGACATGTAAAAATGTAATTTCACGAATGTGGAATATATCAAATGGTGCGGAAGAATTTCTATTGCCCGAACAACTTAAAATTAGATATGAATTTGATAAAGCAGATGATAAAATTCAGAGAAGATTATATAGTAATAATAGTAGTAATAATAATAATAATAATAATAATAATCATAATCATAATAATATAAGTTATCATCCACAAGCTATTTATTCATGTAGATTATTGGAATTTTGGAAATAATTACCTAATCATTAATTAAATATATATTTTTGAGATTATTTTTATTTATTTATTTATTTATTATTGTTTTAAAATGATTTTAGAATTATTTATTTTTAAATCTTTATTATTTATTTATTATTTATTATTATAAAATATAAAATATTTGGATATAAAATAAATTTGATAAATTATTATTATTATACATATTAAAATTTAGATTATTGTGATCGTATTAACTAAATCCATGGTGTCCAGCCTTCATACATAACACATAGGTTATCAATATTTGTGGCCTGCTCAATAATTTTATCGATCTACCAAAAGATAAGCATAATTAATATAACAACAACAATATTGATGATATTAATATAATTATAATAATTAATATATATATATATATATATACTCACTTGTTCTTGCGCAGTCATTTTAACGTTGGAATCGAAATCCTTTCCTTCTAATTTGGCCTTTATTTGACGAATAATTCCTACCGCAAATGCATTTCGTGCTTGAGCATTTCCAATAATATTATGTTGATGATGTTGTTGATGTTGTTGTTCTTCTATTGCTATTTCCACTACGTTATCTTTAATTTTTTTATCATTATTTGTATTTGAATGTTGCTGTTCATTATTAATTTGTTCATCACGAGTAAATGATATTACTGGATTATTATATATAGTTTGTTGTCTATCATCGTCATCTTCATCATCCTCTTCATCATCATCATCATCATCATCATCTTGTTCTTGTTCTTCATTATCAACAATAATACTTAATTTATTATTATTATTATTATCATCATCATCATCATTATTAATATTTTTACTCGGAATAATAGATGATGATAATTGATCATCTACAACTCCTGATCTAATGGATGTTTGAATAAATTCACCTGGTGGATAAGATGATGATTTATGTTGTTCAATACTATTATTACTATTATTATTATTACTATTATTATTATTACTATTATTATTACAATTATTATTACTATTATTATTACTTTTATCATTAATATTATTATTACTATTATTACTATCATTATTATTGTTATCTCCTAAAGCAAATAGTTTTTCAAATACTTTTGTCATTGTTTCTGATAAATGATAAATTGCTCTCTCCTAATATTAACATAAATAATATATTAAGTTATTAAAGAGAGATAGAAAAGACTGAAAAATTGAAGATATTGGAGAGATTAAAGAGAAATACATACAGTTTCTTGTCGCGTATTTTCTAAAATTGAAATTGAATCTGGATTCCATACAGAATCAGATGTTTCATTATTATATTTTAGATGCCCACCGACAACACTAATTGTATTATTTAATCCATTATCTATAGCGAAATCAAGATTTGACCATTCACGCATGAATTCCTAATATAAAACAATAATAATTTAATATTACCGAATATTATAGAATATTATCGAAAATTACCGAATATACTGTATATTTTAACTATAAATATTTATGTCTATAAAACAATAAATAATAAAATAATACCTTTGCTTTTGATTTTATATCTTTCCCTCCATTAATATCTTCAGTATCAATTTCTGTATTGGCAATAGATTCAATTAATGGAATTAAATCTATTACTAAACTTTTAATTTCATCAATTTTATTCTTTAAATCTTTAGTTAGATTTTCAAGATTTCGTGGTAATCCCGAATCATCAACCTTAATATATTTATTATAAATAAAATAATAAATAAATAAATAAATAAATATTATAAAAATATAATAATAAAATATAAATAATTAACAATAAATATTATACCGTCAAATTAGATAATTGTTGGGTAATATCCAATTGTAAATCTTGGAGTGGATTTCGTCTTTAATGCAAATTATAATAATAAATAATAATATAAAATAAATTTAAATAATGGAAAAATGATAATAAGTGAAAGATAAGAAAGAAAGAAACTTTTATTAGATAAATTACCCAATAACGGCAGATTGAAGCCTTTTAACTAAATGAAGAGTATCAGCATCCATTACAAATGTTTTGTCTGTTGTCCGGAATGTTTCCAAATGTAAAATTGAATTACATAAACTAACGACATGTTTTATCTAAATATTATTATTATTATTATTATTATTATTATTTCAAATGTTAATATGATTATAATAATTATTATTATTTAGATAAATAAATAAATTTTAAAATTTATCTTACTCTTTCAAATTCTTGAGCAAAAATTATTTGTTGATTTGCTACGGCCTCACCAAATGAATGTAATATTTCATTTGAATTTTCTGATATCAAATGTATCGTCATAAATTCAGCAATTTCGGAATCAATTGTTCGATATCGAACTGATAATTCTTGAAGAAGGTTTTCCAATATAGCAAATCGATTAACATCTTGAGTTAAATTCTGCATAAACTATATAATTCAAATGATAATTCTAGTTAATTCTAATATTATTTAATCATCATAATAATATTATTTAATTATTTAAATATAAATAATTAATTACCTGTTGTCTAATTAAACTCTTTTCAGTAATTGAAGATTCATTAATCCATTCAAATCTCAATAATTCCATTTCTCGATGTTGCAATTCCATTTCAATTTGAGCTTTACGTAAATTAATCATTCCCACATATTTCATCTTACTTCCGTGAAAACAATATTGTTTAACTTTATGTTTTTGAATTTGAATTTCTTCAGTTGAAAATATGGATTTTTCAATTATTTTATCAATAATATCTTCGTGATTTCCGATGTCCTTAACATTTAAATCTGTTTTAATTAAAGTATCGATTCTATTTATAACAAGATTATAAAGTAATTTCACGTTCGGAATGAAAAATTCGAAAACACTCCAATCAATTATTCTCCAAAGTTTTTGAAATGAATCAGGTGAACTTGTCTTAAATGAATCAGCTAATGATATTGATGAAATCCAGATGGTATTATTATTACTTTGATGTGATTGTTGATTTTCTTTAGAATATTTTTCACAAGCTATTAATATATTAGTTATAACATCAAGTTTGTATACAGTGAAATCATCCATTAAAAATTCACTAATTGAATATTGATTTTCTTGTAATAATAAATTTGATTCTTTAAATAAAATCTATTAAAAAAAATAATTCTATTAGTCGAGATAATAGTCGAGATAATAGTCAAGAATGATAAGAATAATAAGAATAATAGAATATAGAAATGATAGAATATAGAAATAATAAGATATAGAAATAATAAAATATAAAAATAGAAATATATTATTACCTGAATTTTATATATTGAATTTTTTAATTCATTAAATAATTCATCAAATTCATTTATAAATAGAGAAATTCCATGTGCAGATGAATCATTAAAAATAATTCCACTAATTTGTGAAAATAAATGATTCTATAAATAATAATAAATTTTAATATTAATAATAATAATAATTTTAATGATAATAATAATAATAATAATAACAATAATTACCATAGCAATTACGATAGAATGATCTTTTGTATTCCAATAATTATAAATTTTATTCGATAAATCGAAAAGAATGGAATGAAATGATTTTATGGAATGAGGAAAGTTATTAAGTAGTAAAAAAATTTTAGGTAAAATTATAATTTCAAAATGATGTTGTAAATTAGGAATTATTCGAATCATTTGTAATAATTCAGTTATAATCTTGGTAATTGATTGTTGCTGTATCACTTCATCATTCTTATTATTTATAATAATATTAATTATATTCATATGATCATATAAAGTAAATAATGCTCCCCCAAATTTTAAGAAGATTTTCTTATTTTGTATTATTTCATTAGATGGTGACGATGACGATGATGATGATGATGATGATGACGACGATGATGATGGTGATAATGTTTTTTCAATTGTAAATATAAAATTATCATCAAAACCAATTTGATGATATATATTTGGTATATCATTATTGGATTCTATTAATAAACATTTATCATAAAGTTCTCTTAATGATGATAATATACTTGTTAAATAAAGATATTGTTGTCTATCACTATTATTATTTGTTCCAATTTCATTATTATTATTGTTGTTGTTGTTGTTATTGTTATTGTTATTATTATTTATTCCAATTTCATTAATTATTAAATTTAACATTCCATGTAAAGCTGAATCACTTATTATCGAATTTTCAGTAGTAAGATTTAACAATATATCTGATAATGAATTACTTTCTTGTAATAATGATGAATGTGAGATTTTGAGATTTTCCAAAATAAAATTAAATTTATTATTATTAATATTATTAATATTGTTGTTATTATTAATGTCTTTATTATTATTATCATCATCATTATTATTATTATCAACATTATTATTATTATTATCAACATTATCATTATCGTTATTATTATTATTATTATTATTATTATTATTATCATTATCATTATCAAGATTATTATCATTAATGAAATTAAATGCAACTTGAAAATCATGACTTGTTAATGAAGAATTTAATAAAGAATATAATATTGGCGGCCATTTAACATAATAATCTTGTGATAATAATACTTGAGTTACGGGAATTATTAATGCTCGATAAAATTGTAATCTTTCTAAACAATTCTTAAATGTTGAATTACGTTCATTCATCCATCCCATAAAATCTTGTTCAATTTTACTACATTGTTGAAGAATGAATTCATTTTTTGAAAGGATTTGTAAATATGGATTAAATATTGATGAAGATAATCCAATTTGTGGTGATGAAGAAAATACTTCATTAAAAATTACTTGAAGTAATGGTCCTTGAATTGATTGAATGGTTTTTTCATGTTGAGCATTCCATAATGCACATTCATTAGCTCGTTGTGAAAGTGCCGATTTATAATTTTCTATTTCAATATTTTTTTCGATATTAAATTCTCGATTACTATATTCTCCTCCAAATTCTCCATATTCTCGAGTATTAAATTCTAGATTATTGTATTCTCGAATATTGAATTCTAAATTATTATATTCTCGATTACCATATTCTCCTCGATTACCACTTTCTCGATTATTATATTCTCGTGTTTCAGTTTGTAAATTCATTATATTCACATATTGTTTCCATACTTGTTCGAATTTTGATAATAATTTTGAAAGGTGTTCTCGATTATTCTCAATAGGCATTCTTAATTCAGCTAAAAAATTAATAATGTAGAGTTTTAAAAAGTTTAAAAAATATAATAGAATTTAAAAATGTAAAGTTTAAATAAATAATACCAACCTATCCTAGAAGTTAATAATCCAAAATTTTCTTCTAATTCCATAAATTGTTTATTACGATCTTCTGATAAATCTACATGCCAATCAATTAATGGATCATATACAAATGCTTCTAATAATGTAATTAAAATTTCTTTATTCTTTCTTAATACCCCTAAAACTATTTCACTTGCTATTCTAAATACTCCTTCAACACCAGTAACTCCTAATGCTGTCACTATATTTTGAGTTAATCTAAATGGTACAGTTTCTGGTACTTTTAATTTTTTCCCTTTTTCAAAACATACATTATAATCAATATGAATTACTTCACCATATTCAAAATCTATTAATATATTATCTAAATGTCGATCTCCTAATCCTATTATATATCCAATAACTGACATAACTGCTAATGATCTTGATAATGATGTTGATTTTGTTATCCATTCAATTGGTGTGGTACATGATGCCCAAATTTCTTTTTCTAATAAATTTGATGGAGTTTCTGATAATAATTCTAAAAAAACTGATTTAAGAACGATATGTGGCCAATTACGTCGAGATGTTGTAGAATTCCATCCTTCCTTTTTTAAATTTTTCGCAATTTTTTCAAAAAACATATCACTTGGTCTTTGAGGATGAGTAATTGAAGAATATTCAATTGGATTATTCCCAGGATTAACAGAATTAATCGGATTAACCGAATTAATTGAATTAATTGAATTATTATTATTAACAGGATTATTATTTTGTAACATATTTGCAAAATGTTCATGTAATTGCCATTTCTTATATAACGTAAACATTTGTGCGGCATTTTCTACCCATTGAATCATTCCAGAATGATCTCCTAATGGAATAACTGCATAATTTCTAGATCTTAAATTACGTTTACATGAATCTTTATCACGTAAAAGTAAATTATTGGTAATTTGTAATAATTGCATTATTCTTTCATCCAGGTGAAGATCTTCTAATCCTTTAAACAAATAACCATATTGTTTTCCATCCGAACCACGAAGAAATAATTTTTTAGGTTTCGTTTTCGTAGGTAAAATGATAACTATTTCATCAAATGATTGAATTGTTACTGATGTATTTAAACCATTTAAACCTGGCATTGTTATTTGGGATGAATTAATTGAATTTAAGAATGGACTAATGTCAGATAATTTTATTGATCGATTTGTTTGAAGAACTTTGGATAATTCTTTCTGAATCTATAAATAAAAAATATAAATAAAAAATATAAATAATAAATAAATTAATAATAAATTATCAATAAATAAATTAATAATAAATAATAAATAAATTTATCAATAAATAAATTAATAATAAATAATAAATAAATTAATAATAAATTCTAAATAAATTAATAATAAATAATAAATAAATTATAAATAATTAATAATAAATTATCAATAAATTTTATAATAATAATAATAATAATAAATAATTATTCGCTTACATTCCGTAATAAATCCCAACCATCTTTATATCCTTCTATTGAACGTGGGGATCTTAATAATTCAAGTGATTCATGAATTCGATTACCAAATTTATTAAGGAACCATTTTTCATGTGGAGTTGAAGTAATCAAAATAGTATTATTATATAAACGTTCAATAGAAGAAATTACAGGTTTCACGATAGTATCATAACTTTCTTTCATAAATTTGATTCTTTGATCAGATGAAAGATTCAGATTATCATTAATTCTTTCAAATTCTTTTTCAATTTTAAGAAATCGTTTATTAATATCAAGTTGTAATCCATTTAATTTATTAAACCATAATTCTTCCCATAAAACCGTTAAATGTTTTAATTCCTCAATCACATGTCTAATTTCAGCAATAAGTGCACCATTAGAATTATCCAAACTATCCGCAATCCTCTTAAGTAATTGTTTACTTTGTTCACTAGTTCCATGAGAATTTAAAGCCACCAAAGTATTATAAACTACGAGTTGAGGGGAATTTGTCGCAATTTTACATAATAATTTACAAAGTTGTTGTTGAACGAAATAATCGGGATGATCTAATCGTGAGAATAATTGTGGAATAATATTTTCCCATGAACGAACATCCATATTATTGTTATTAAATCCAATATTAAATGAGGACTCCAAATCGGATCCATATTTAACTAACAATCTTAATATTCTTAATGTGGCGGTAATTTTATCGGATTCTTCAATAAGTTTATTATGTACTACAAACTACAATATTTATGAATTAAATATATATATAAATATATATTAAATTAAATTAAATAAATAATAAAATAAATAATAAATAAATTATTTAATAATAATTATAACTAATTAATAAAAATAGATTAAAAAATATATACAATTACCTTATCGGATCTCTTAAATTTATAATCATTTCTATAATTAGCAAATTGTAAGAATTTGAAATAACCATCAACAGAAAGTTTATATGAATTAAAAATATCATCATGTAAATTTTGTAAAATTCTTATAATTTCATTAATGGAATTTTGTGAAATCCATGGTAAAATATTTTTAAATTCATTAATATCTTGATTATTATTATTAAAATCTCCTCCCGAAATATTAAATTGATTATTATTATTATTATCAAATTTTAATCGATGATTAAATTTATGTAAAAATAATTGAAATATATTTTTAATTATTATATCCCAATTATCTTCAACATTTTTGATATTTTTGACATTCTCAATATTTTCATCATCACCATTACCATCATCATCAATATTATCATCATCATCAATATTATTATCATTATTATTATCATTATTATTATTATTATTATTATTATTATTATTATCATTATTTAAATCTTTCGTTAAAATTTCTTTAATATTATGACAAATAGTATTTAAAAATTTAATCGATATTTTATTATTACTCATTTCATCCAATATTTGCCTTCCTCTTCGATAATGATAAGATGCATTTGCGAACCAAGCTTTAGCACAAGAAGGATAATCATCTTCTTCAACAGTAATTGCAAGTGATAAACATTTTTCAATTAAATTTTCCTTGACAATTTCATAATCACCATTCTTAATAATAATATCATTATTATTGTTATTATCCTCATTATTCTTAATATTAAGATTAAAAGATAATTCACTCTTTGATTCATTAAATAAAATTTTGATTTGAGTCAAAACTTCTTGATTTAATCTTAATTCCGGATTTTGCAACCATTTTGATAGTTTTAAATAAACCATTTTCTTAAATAAGGAAATATTCGTAATTTGAGTAATTTGAGAGTAATCATTATTATTATCATTAATAATATTATTATTATTGATATTAATATTATTATTGATATTAATATTATTATTATTATTATTATTATTATTTATAATATTATTATTATTTTCTACTAGAAATTCGCAAACTCGTAAAATTGCTTCTTGATATGAACCTCTAGAATATAATAATTTTGAATATTCAAATATTACTTCAGCTGACATTTCTTTTTGTTGTTGATTCCAATGATTATTAAGAATATTAAATGCATTTTTTAATGCCAAACTCTTTCTTGATAATTTAATTAATATAAGTTTAAATGAGTCAATGTGAGATGATAATGATGATGATGATAATAATGATTCTTTAGAATTGTCATGAATTAATTGATCGACGGATGAATTTAATGTATTCAAAATTGTTAAATCATTAACAAATGAATTAGTAAATGAAATTTGTTGATTTTCTAAAGAATTAATAGAATAAATATAATTCACAAATTCCGTTAAAAATTTTGGTAGATTTGAAATATCTGATTTAATTGTTATTATATTTACTATAGTATGAAGGAAATCTTGAAATGATGATGATGATGATGATGATGATGATGAATTAATATCAGATTTAAATAAAGTTATTAATGATTTTTGTTCCACATTTGATGAATTATTATTCGTTATCATTGTTGAAGAAAATTCATTGGCGGATCGAATTAAAATATTTCGAAATTTACTTAAAGATGATATAATTTCAATTCCACGGTGATAAAAATTATTTTGATTTAATTTTAAAGGAATTCCATCAATTAATTCCCAAGCTTCCAAATATCGATTTTCATTATAATTTTCAATTGAATTAAAATATTCTAAATTCATATGAACCAATGGATCAACAATAAATTCTGTTGCATTATAAGAACTCAACCATTTTGCAAGAGATGACCAATCATTCATCTTACAATAACTATCAATAATCTACAATTAATTAATTATTTATTAAATATTTAATATAATATAAATAAAACATAAAAAATATTTAAAAATTAATTTTCTTACTTGAGAACTAAGAAATTGTAATTGTGGAGATGATTTTAAGATTTCATTATTATCATCTTTAAGAAAGAAATTCAAAGAATCAATTCCTTCTTTTGCTGCTAATTCATATTTTGATTCAGCAAAATATCGTGAACAAGTCATCCATGAAAAATATTTTTCTGATAATAATATAGCTATATTATTATTATTATTATTATTATTATACGAATAATAGGCATTAACAAAAATTATTAATAAAATCATTTAATAATAAAATGTAAAATGTATTAATAAATCACTTACAAGATAAATCTGAAGTTTCTTCAGATTCGATTTGTTCAGATTGAGAAATTTCTTTAGATTCAATAATAAGTGAATAAATATTCTTTGACCATGCCAATAATCCAGATATAGAATCAGATGAATTTAACTTTTGAAGACAAGAAACTAAATAATTTAAATTAATATAATTAATTTAATATATTTATAATTAATAGAATATATTTATAATTAATAGAATAATATTATAATTAATAGAATATATTTATAATTAATAGAATATTTACCAACATCAACCAGAATTTGTTCAAAATCTGATAACCAAACTAATTTATTCTTAACTGATCCTTGTTTTAATTCATTTACTCGTTCTGATAGAAACTAACAATAATAATAAAATCAAATATAATATTAATTTATTAATTCATTCAAGAAAAATAAAAATGAAAAAATAAAATAAAGACAAAAAAATAAAAAAATGAAAATAAAAATGAAATACCTGATAACCATGCCTAATAGCCATAGCATTATCTCCAACAATTATTGCACCTTTAACAATATTTTTTCTAATACGAGAAAACCAATCATCACAAACTTTTCGATTAGTTCGAAAGAACATAATACTAGCTCTAGGTGATTGAGGTATTGATCCTAATGCTGTTCCTATTGTTGCATTATATATTTGAAGTTCCAAACGATCGAAAATATTTAAAATTTCTCGAAGTTGTCTCATATTTGTAACACTAAAATAAATTAAATTATATATAATTTATTAATTATAGTAATAATAATAATAATAATAATAATAATAATAATAATAAATATATGCATAAATAAAATTATATTAAATTTACCTATTTTTTATAGCATACTTTATTCCTTCAGGTTCAATGGAAATTGGGAAATTTTCTTCCAACAAATCAACAAGTCTTTTTTCAAATGCATCAAATGTCTAAATTGAATAATATATTTAAATAGATTGAATAAATAAGAAATTATTAAAAAAATTATAAATTATTTAAAAAAAATAACTTACTTGCTTTGGTCCTCCAAAAGGTGTTCTTAATCTTGATAACATACAATAACGAGATACTTCCCATACCGTCCAAAATGTAAGTAAATCATTGGAATTTGAAATAATTGTCGCAATATCGGAAATATCAGAATTGGAATATGTTAAATTCTGATTATTCATTTCACCAACTTGATTCATTCTTTCAAATATATCAACTGATCCACAAGAATAAAATAATCGAGATTTCCATTCCTTTTCATTATTACAATATGAAGTATTATCGGATGCATCTTGTATAGATAAAAAATCATTCATTCCGAGATGATTCATAACAATTTGAAAGTGTGGTGGTCGAAAACTTCCTGAATGTGGAGTGATAACCAAATCTTTCTAAAAATATATAAAAAAATAATATCAATAAATATAATATCAATAAATATAATAATAATAAATCTAATAATAATAAATCTAATATTAATAAATCTAATAATAATAGATCTAATAATAATAAATCTAATAATAATAAATCTAATATTATTACCTTAAACTTTTTAATTAATTGATCAATTGAAAGATTTAATCGAAAAGAGAATAAAAATGGATTCAATCCAAATATTAAATTTGAAAATTCGGATTTAACTTTAGAATCAATGTCATTTATTCTAAACATTATTTGTGAAATCATATTTTTATTTATACAGAGAGTTCCAAAAATATCAAAATAATGTCTAATAATTTTGGGAATTTGTGCTCTAATATTTCCAATTTTAGTTGTTCCTGAAAAATTTAATGAATAAATAATAACATCATTATTATTTTTAAAATGAAAAAAAAAATGAAATGAAAATAGAAATAAAAAAAAAAATAAATAAAAAAAGAAATGAGAATTACTTGAAATATCAAAAAGAACATCAATAACTTGTCCAATTTCTTTCTGAATCATTTTATTAAATTCTTTTGAATAAAATTGTTGATTATCTTTACAAAAATCCAAGATATCTTGCAACCATTCAATAATCAATGAAAGAGAATTCAATGACAAATCATTTGAATTCTTTAATAATTCCAAAATAAGTGATATCATTGAATGAAAAGTGAAAGAAATTAAATCATTCTTCTCATTTTCATCATTATCATCATCACCATCATCATCATCATTGATAAAATAATTTTCACTAATTAATTAATTAATTAATTAATTATTTAAAATAATAAAAAACAATTAAATTAAAATTAAATTAAATTATTTAAAATAAATAAAATAAAAATAAAAATAAAAAAATAACATTTACTTTTTACAAACTTGACGTAAAGTACTCATCATAGTTCCCATTATGATAGTATCAAAATAATCATATTTTCCCATCTTATCAATCAATAAGCAAAGAATCCAAAATATTTCTTTAGATTGACCAAATGAATGTGAAATTTCGGATAACAATAAAATATCAAAAGTAAGAATCAATGTGGCCGATTTTTGATCAAGTAAATGATGATGATTATTATTTTTTAAATCTATATCTTTATCTTTATCATCATCATCTTCATCATCATCATCTTCTTCAAATAATGATTGTAATTTATCAATAAATGAATTAAGTTTTGAATCTTTTTGATTAATAATCATCATGTTGATTAAAGAATGATTAGATTTTGTTGTAGATGATAACATAAAAGTAAGTATATGACTAATCTCAATTGTTATTTGATGAATTAAAGTTTTGATTTTTTCTTGATTATTAGATGATGGTGATAAATTTTTTGTTGAAGAATAATTATTTAAAAGTATATAAATCATATCCATAACATCTGAATGTAATCGAGAATTAAGAGGATAAATCCAACGTAATTTCATTAAAGGTGAATTGGGATTTAATAAAATATTTATAACATCTGGATGAATATTTGGAATCCATTGTGCAAGAATTTGAAGGAAAAAATCGAACCAATCATCAAATGTAGTTATGGTAAGTTCTTTTTGAAATCCATGTTTTACTTGAAACATCCAAAATTTAGTTGCTTGAACTTGGTGATGAATAAAGGTCTCCTTTCTTATCATACTAAGAGTAAGTATGAGTTGATTACCTATTTATACAATAAAATATATATATATATATTATTATTAAAAATTAAATTCGTTTAGAAAAAAATAAAATAATTAAATAATAAAATTCTTTAATAATAAAATTTTTAATAAAATTCATTATCTTGACCTTTCTCAAACCATTCCGAATCCATATATAATTCAGCAATATTTAATATAAAATCTATAATCCTACTTCTTAAATTATCAAATGGATGTTTGTTATTGGTATTATTCATATCTTCTTCTTTTGAAATAAATTGACCAACAGCTGCAGCAACTGCTTGAAAACAACTTAATAAAGATTTTAAATTCACTGGTATTGATTTTTCTTTTTCTTCTTCTTCATCATTATTACTATTACTTTTAATCTTTTCTACTTGTGTCCGTCCTTCGTTATGGTCATTATTCTGTTCATTATTATGATTATCTGAAATAGTCACACCAGAAAGTGCTTCCATATCAGCCAAGAAATGACTCATCAATTCATATGCAAAATTCAAATTTTGTGACCAAAAAGATCGAAATCGTTTAAATGTTTCTAAATAAATATATAAATATTTTAAATAAATAAGAACTCAAATTTTTTTTTTCTTCACTTTTTTTTCCTTTTTCAGTTTTATTCACTTTAATTGAAATATAATTAATAAAAATAATGAAATAAATAAAATAATGAAAATAATAAATAATAATGAAATAAATAATAAATAAATAAATAAATATCAAAAAATATCAATAATAAAATGAAAATAATTTTATTATAATAAATTTACCAGCAATTTGAGAATGCAGGGAATCCGAAACGGAGATATCAATATACCATCCTACTAATAAATCAATTATATCTTGAAATCGTTCTCCAAATTCAACTGAATATTTTTCGGCAATTCTATCTAATACATCTATGATACCAGGAAAATAATCTGAACTATCCATTGAATCAAGTAATCCTTCTAAATCATGAAGAAGTCCTGGAATATGTTGTTGAATATTTTGAGATATTGAATTGGTTTGATTACGTGAAAATATCTTTAAATATTTATAATAATAAATTAATTAATCTTTAATTATAATTAATTAATTAATTAGAAATTTAAAAAATAATTATAATTCTACCTCTCTTAATGAAGTTAATAACCATATCTTTCGTTCTTTTTCTTTTTCTTTTGAACTTATCCCTGATGCCCGTAATCTTTCAAATACCCAACGAAAATATAAATTTATTTCAGTGTTCATTATAATAGCCATCTGTGCAAGACATTTTGCTATAGCTAATTTGAATGTATGTGGTGCTCTACAAAAAAAAATAATAACAATAATAATTTAATCTTAATCTCAATGAAAATCTAATGAAAATCACAAAGAAAGAAAGAAATAATAACGTTCATTACCTTAAATCTTCAAATATTGCATCAAGACCTGGTGAAATATCAGATCCTTGGGTAATAGCTTCGAAAATTTGCGTTTTTTCCCAAGGTGTATATGGTTCTCCCAATAAAGCAACAAGCTGATTAACATTCGATGTTTTTCTAGTATACCCTGAATCACTTTCATCCCTTATTCGTGAAAGAAATGAATTTATTCGTGAAAGTTTTATTGAATCTAAAGAAATAAAAAAAAATTATTTATGAACCAAGGATTATTATTACAAAATAAAATTGTAAATACCTCTATGTTCTTGACTGTGATGTTGTCGAGTATGAGGTTGTAATTGGTGTGGGCGATGTTGGTAAGACGTACGTCTGCTGTAACGGTTTCGTGATCCACTCATTTTCTCTGTTATCAATTGTCTAGCAGATGAAGATTTGATTCACGAAAATCAGGTGAAAATCTTTGTTTTTTTTTAAAAAAAAAATCAAAATTTCTTTTTTTATTTTTGTTTATATCTTTAAAGGAATTAAGGAATTAGCTTTATTAGTTAATTATATATATCTCTCTATATAACAAAATACATGCAAAGAGGAACTATCCTATATATATTAAAGAACTAGATTATTTCCCTTTGTATAATTTGACGGCTCTAAAGAGTTTGAATTTTATCCAAGTACAAAATATTCAATAAATTATTAAATAATACAATATGTCATAAATTAAAGAAGAATATTCCCCCTCCCTTATTTTTTTTTTTTGATTATTTATAATTGTAATCGGTCACAAAGATATGAATTTCATTTGGATTAGGGCGACTTGGAAAATAATAAGAAATCTTGACTTTCGGATCCATCTTTGTATGATAAGATAAATCACGCCTAATCTTATTACCATGATTCCGATGAAGATATAATAGAGTAGAAGAAATATCATTAAAACGAGGTGACAATCGTTCTTTTATTATGGGTCTAAGAAAGTCAACACTTTTTTCTTTGGGAGCTTCAATTACAAAAACTTCATTATCAATATCTTCGGCATCGTTGACACAAAGGTGAAGTGTATAAATTTCAACTTCCATTTTCACTCTTATTTTTATAAATATTAATAAATGATAAAAAAATAATACTGTTAAATAATATTAATAATAACTAATCTTAATAATGATAAATACGTACAATATTTGTATTTTTTAATACCATACCTTAAAAAAGAGATTTAGATGTAAGATGAACTCGTGTTTTTAATATTTAATCTTCAGCGAACGTAAAAAAAAATAAACTATATTTAAAAGGAAATTGTCTAAATGAAATTTAATTGTTGTATTCTGTGTCTTTAATTGGGTCAAATTAATTAATTACACGAGGTAATTCGGATAATTAAATTTATCAAATAATTGGTACCCTTGAATAACAGCTTCGAAAATTTGCGTTTTTTCCAAGGTGTATATGGTTCCTCCAATAAAGAAACAAGCTGATTAACATTCGACGTTTTTTCTAGTATACCCTGAATCACTTTCATCCTTTATTCGTGAAAGTTTTATTGAATCTAAAGAAATAAAAAAAAAATTATTTATGAACCAAGGATTATTATTACAAAATAAAATTGTAAATACCTCTATGTTCTTGACTGTGATGTTGTCGAGTATGAGGTTGTAATTGGTGTGGGCGATGTTGGTAAGACGAACGTCTGCTGTAACGGTTTCGTAATCCACTCATTCTTTCTATTATCTATTTTTTTTTTCTGTCTAGCAGATGAAGATGTGATTCACGAAAATCTTTCTTCAATTGTTTTTTTAAAAGAAAAATCAAATTTCTTTTTTTGTTATTTTTTGTTTATAACTTTAAAGGAATTAGCTTTATTAGTTAACTATATATATCTCTATCTCTATATAACAGAATACATGCAAAGAGAAACTATCCTAAATATATTAAAAAACTAGATTATTTCTCTTTGTATAATTTGACGGCTCTAGGATTTAATTACATTTTTACAATATTATATTTTATCCAAGTACAAAATATTCAATAAATTATTAAATAATACAATATATCGTAAATTAAAGAAGAATTTTCCCCCTCCCCCAGGTTTCCTTATTTTTTTTTGATTACCTAATAATCTTTCACAAAGATATGAATTTCATTTGGATTAGAGCGACTTGGAAAATAATAACAAATCTGGCCTTTCGGATCCATCTTTGTATGATAAGATAAATCACGACTCATCACATTAACCTGATTCCGATAAAGATATAATAGAGTAGAAGGAATATCATTAAAACGAGGTGACAATCGTTCTTTTATTATGGGTCTAAGAAAGTCAACACTTTTTTCTTTGTGAACTTCAATTACAAAAACTTCATTATTAATATCTTCGGCATCGTTGACACAAAGGTGAAGTGTATAAATTTCAACTTCCATTTTCACTCTTTCTTTTTATAAATATTAATAAATGATAAAAAAATAATACTGTTAAATAATAATAATAACTAATCTTAATAATGATAAATACGTACAATATTTGTATTTTTTAATACCATACCTTAAAAATAAAAAGAGATTTAGATGTAAAATGAACTCGTGTTTTAATATTTAATAATTGTTGTTGTAACATTAAAAAATTTATTTTAAAAAGGATTCCTTGCAAATTTCCTAATTCCTATGATTTATATTAGATTACTTAACTTTGTTTATTAATTGTACCAAAATTCATTGATTGTTCGCCATGAAATGTATTCACTTCTTCACCCCCATCATTGAAATCACCTTATTAAATGAAGATAAAGTTTTCAAGAGGTAAATAATATTTTTATACTTGGTAAGTTGCTATTCTCTGTTCTAATAAATAACTTATGTATGTGCAAATAATGAGATTGCAATGAGATACGAAGTTGCATACAGAGTCAACGTCTCATGAATCGTCCACTAAACGAAAATACCGTATTTTGCAGTCTATAGTACATATGTGGGTCTTTAACAAATTTCAGAATTTTTGCCTTATACTCGTGGTACTTTACACCGAAACGAAAAGTGCGGATATTGTAAACAAGTAATAAAAATTAAAGTAAGGCAATATATTTTATACCATGTAAAATATCTGGGTATTAAAAGGGGTACTTTGGTACTATGGCCTGAAAAATTACAGTAATGTATTAAACCTTATAACCTCAACCTGAATATATAATTATTATCCAATGGATACAAAATCCGGATAAAATTGATATATGGATATCTATGGATTTTTGCAGATATATGTTATCATAAAACGTAGTGACTAAAAAATGTCCAGAAGGCCAGAAAATCTTTAAATTTTGGCAAAAAAATCCGTTAACAAACCAAATTTATTATCCGGATTTATTGAATTTTTTCACATATCCGCTAAGGATATCAGGATCAGACCACTAACCAATGTACGGTGTTCATTTACTGATATATAGTTGATAAATCTTGAAGCAATAAACTTCAGTATCATCAATTTTGAAAAGGCTAAAAACTGAAAAAATTAAAATTACTCATCAAAATGTCAATTCTTATTTTAAGAACCAAGAGAAACCAAAGAAGATCGATATTCTCTCCTTTATTCACTATTCAATACGTAATTGGAGATGTTTTATTAATTGGATATGGATTCCGAATTATAGTAATGAATAAGCTTAATTCAAATACCTGATTGAAATGCAGTCATAACAACAAAACTAACTGATCATCAAATAATAATAATTTAAAATTCTTTAATGTCAATTTTTATAAGAAAATTGGTTCTAAAATATTTTTTATTTTAATATATAAATCTTTAAACAAAACTTTAGATCAGTGATCATTTGTTAACATTATAATTTTTTTATTATAAGAACATTACATAAATAAGGTGGTTAAGATATTTAAAGGTATGCAAGTTTACAAACAAAATTTTAAAATCAAGATTTATAATTTCTATTATTTTTATTATTTTCATTATTTTGATTGACTTATTTAATTGAATTCTAATTTATCTTTTATCTTAGATAATAAAATAAATAATTTCAATAATTCTAATTTTATTTAGAGAAGAATTATGGTTGTTACTTCGCAATTAGATGTTCTGACAAAGCAAAACTGATATAAAAAAGTGTCGTCAATAAACTTCTTTTATTTATAAATTTATTTTTATTTTGTTTAAATTTTTTGAGCAATTCTATAAGTTAAATTATTTAATATTAAGATCTAGGAGAAGACGAAATTGAAAGCATTGATAATTAGGAAAAATCCTTCTTGTTTCTTTTTAATTTATTTTTTTCACAAATTTAAATTTAAATTCAATTTCTAACTATATTATTATATTTTCATGACATGGTTAGATCTTCTATTTTTATTATTTTTTTTTAATTATTAAAATTATTAATTAAAATACTTTAGAAAATGGTTCTATAGAACATCTAACAATGTCGGAATAATGGACGTTTTCAATTAATTTATTTACCGATTTGTATATTTACTTTATCACTTTACTTTTATTTACTTAATACAATGACATTAAATTTTTTAGCTTGTAATAGTGATGATGAACTGGCAATTGGATATCATTTTTATTCTTTTAATTATATATTATTTCTTTCAATCTGGATAATGTGAGGTCCAAAGATGCAAATTAGTACATTTTACGAATATTAAAAGATCAACTTGTAACAAAAAAAAAAAAAAAAAAACTTCTGACATCAACACGTATTTAAATTTAAATTGGAAAGGTAAATAAAATAAATTAAACAAAAATAAGGTTTAGATTTTTGTAATATATATTTTAATTAAAAATTCTTTAATTTTAATTAGCTGTTAGAGGAAGGAACAGTACGGAAAAATTTTATAGAATATTTATGCATGAATTAATAACGCATATGCATACAGATAATCCGTACTTTTTTATTTATAATAAATTATAGATATTTGATAAATAATATACAGTAAATTTTAATAAATTACAGGATTCCTTTTCAGGCACATAGGAAATGATTTTCAACTAACTAGAAATACACCAAAATACATTAACTCGTGACATCTCACTCATTTTCTATTTTATTGCAGATAAGCAAAAATATCATTTTTAATACACTTGTTATTTTTTTTTGATATGTATTAATAAACACATAATTGATTTTAGGGCGTATCAAAAAGACAACCTTAGATGTATCAAAAAACGAGAAGATAAAGGTGAAAATCTTCAATCGTTTTTTATTTTTGTTGTTTTGGAAGGAATTAGCTTTATTAGTTGATTATATATATCTATCTATCTATCTATTTATCTATATGAATATAACAGAATAAAGAAATATCCTACAATTAACATTGAAGACATAACCGGAATATAAATTTACATATATATTAAAGAACATGATTATTTCTCTTTGTATAATTTGACAACTCTAAGGAGCCTTTAATTACATTTGAATAACATTTTTACAATATTATATTTTATCCAAGTACAAATATTCAATAAATTATTAAATAATACAATATATCATAAATCAAAGAAGAATATGTTTCTTTATTATTTTTTTTATGATTACATATAATTGCAATTTGTCACAAAAGATATGAATTTCATTTGGACTAGGACAACGTGGAAAATAATAAGAAATCTTGACTTTCGGATCCATCTTTGTATGATAAGATAAATCATGCCTAATCTTATTACCTTGATTTCGATAAAAGATATAATCTTTGAGGGGGGGCTTCAATTACAAAAAATTTCATTATCCTCTTTGGCATCATTGACACGAAGGTAAAGTGTATAAAAATAATATTAATAATGGTAAATAAATAATATTAATAATATTAATAATGATAAATAAATTATATTATTAATGATAAATAAATAATATTAATAATGGTAAATAAATAATTATCCGCTAGTCAACTTTTTAATTTTTGTGCTTTGATTTTATATAAAACTTTTTTATATAATCTTTATTATAACAATTCTGACATTTATTATTAAAATTACTTAAAAAATATTGAATATAAAAAATATGTTTACTGCGTCACAGGTCTCACATATACTTTAAAACCTGTATTTTAATTTCACATTAATAATTATAAAATATTACGAAATTTAAATTTAAAGTAACAAATCTAAGAAAATTATATTTTTTTAAATAAATGAAAAACTTGGTCGAAATTTACTGCGTCGATATTAAAGCAAATATATATTATATATAGAAAAAATTTAGTTGACTCGTGAATCATCAATTAAAAATGATATTTTACCTTAAAAAAAAGTAAAATAAACTCGTGTTTTAATATCTAATCTTAGACTTTATATTAAAAGGAAATTGTTGTTTCAAGGATACCGGCTGTATCTTTAATTGGGTGGTAATATTAAAACCTTATTTTAATAACCCAAAAAGGATTAGAATTTTATTATTAGAATTTTTATTATTGTAATTTTAAATAAAGGGAGTTTAAATTCCTTTGCAAATTTCCTAATTTTTATTATTTCTATTAGAAAAATAATTATTCATTCATTATTCGCTATGAAATATATTCTATGATTGAATAAAAAAAAATTTCCAAAAGAGGTTAAGTAAATATATTTTGTAGTCATAGCATAAATAATTATCCATAGTTTATCCTCAGTTTATCCTCGATAAACGTTAGTGTTACAATACGACATACTTTTATAATTTTATATAAAGGCGACTTTTTTCTGATATGAAAAAAAAAAAGATAAAATAAAATAAAAAATGTTTATCATCTATGGAGTTTATTTTTGTCTCTTCTACTCTTTATATTACATCGTTAAGAAATTTTTCATTATTTCACCTGAACTTCATCAAATTCCCTCTCTTCCTTTAATTCAAAATATCAAACTTAATTTAAGTTATATGAAAAAAGGAGAAACTTTACTTGACGGGATTAGAAATTATTTAATTGAGCCAATTAATAAACAAGGGATACTTAAAGTAATTATTTATTTAAATTCATAACATAATCGTTTTATTATTATATTATTATTATTTATTATTGATATTTCTTATTTTTAATAAATAAAGTATTTTGATTTATTACCTGGAAAATGGATAATCGTTGTTTCAAACCCTGAATTAATGAAAGAAATTTTTCAAAGAGCAGGTAAAGCAAGTAATAATGAAATATCAATTTGAACTTTAATTTGTCTTCTATCCTGATCCTAATTCTAATATTCCTTATATATATCTATATATATAAACATTCCTTATATTTACAAAGACGCGTTTCAAAAATCGGATCAACATGTAAGTATCGTTGTATTTTAAGCTACATCAAATAGTGATAAATAATGACTTTATTTATTTAAAAACTAGGAACGAAAAGGTTCATTAGCAGAATTTAAATTTATTGGATATAATAATATTTTATATGAAATTAAAGAGGTAATTAAATAGTTTCTTTATACTTATTTATTCTTATTTTACAATTATTTACGCTTATATATATATTCTCTCTTATATAGGCACATTTAAGACATCGAAGAGTATCAAATCCAGCATTCTCTCATAGTTGGCCACCAGAATTATTTGGTAATTTGGCCATAGAATTGTTTGAAGTAATGGATAAAGCATCTGAAAAAAGTTCTGCTTTAGATGTTTTTCATTTTACTAAGAGGTACGTATATTTATTAATTTTCATACATTTCTATATTTCTATAATTTATTTATTTAATTTATTTATTTATTTTATTTATTTAATTTATTTATTTAATTTATTTATTTAATTTATTTATTTAATTTATTTATTTAATTTATTTATTTAATTTATTTATATTTAATTTATTTATTTAATTTATTTACTTAATTTATTTATTATATTATGTATTTATGAATTATTAAACATGAAAATAGCTTTACTTTAGACGCACTTGGTTTGGCCGCATTTGGTTATAACTTTGGGGTAATTCGAAATACTGGGAATGAATTAGAAAAAGCTTATCTTACGGCAGTTGACGGATTGTCCGATATGAAATACGTTATCTATCCTATTCTGGAAAAAATTCCCGGATTTAAACGTCCTGAACTTATGAATCGAATTGATTATTTAAATGATGTTATTCTTGATATTATAAAAGAACGAAAACAAAATTTGAAATTTAAAAAAGTAAATAATGACAATGATGATGATAATGATTATGACGGACCTAAAGATTTACTTTATTATATGTTAAAAGCTGAAGAAACCCAAGATAATTTGAAATCACGATTAACTACCGAAGAATTATTAAATGATATGAAAGTATTTTTGGTAGCAGGACATGATACAACAGCAATAGCTTTAGCAGCTGCAATTTATTTTTTAGGAATGAATCAAGAATGTCAAGAAAAAGCTCGAGAAGAAGCTATTAGAATTATGGGAGATGAAAAGAAAAATATTGTACCAAATTCTGAACAAATTAAAGAATTGAAATATATTAATATGGTAATTAAAGAAACTTTAAGAAGTCATCCACCAGCTCCAGTAACCAATTTTCGAAGAGCTCAGAAAGATACGAGATTAGGCGAATATGCAATAAAGAAAGGTAAATAATTCTTAATATTGTATATTTATATTTTAAACTATATATTATATTCTTTATTTTTATTCTTATTTTTTATTTACATTTTATTCTTTGCTTTCTACTCTTTACACATCTATAGACACAATATTAGTTCCACAAATTTATGCTTTACATCATTCAGAAGAATTTTGGGAAGAGCCGTATAAATTTAAACCAGAAAGATTTACCAATGAAAAAGATACGGCTAATAAGTATCTTCCATTCGGTGGTGGAAATCGAATTTGTGTTGGGATGAATTTTTCATATGCTGAACAAAAAGTTTTCTTGGCTATGCTCGGTAAGTTTTTTAGTCATATGTATGTATTTATATATTTATCAATATTATTTAATAATATTTTAATTCGTTTTCTTTGGTCTTTTAGTTCGAAAATATTCATGGAAAATTACCGAACCGAGTATACATAAAGACGAATTACAAGTTAACCGAACATTATTTGGTTTAGCAGTTCCTAAAAATTTGGAAGTCGATTTTGAACGAAGATTTTAAGATATTATTGTATTTACTGTTAATATTACATCTGTTACATCACATGTATTAAATTTAAATTATTATAATAAACAAATTATATTTATATGATTATAAAACTATGAGCAATTATGGTTTTTGGTTATTGTTGTTTTTTTTTATATTTGGAACAAGAAGTCCGATTCCTTTTTTTCATTCTTTGCTGCCATTTTAAACAAACATAAAATTTCATGCATTGCAAATGGTTAACTTTTTTTTTTAATTAAAAATATTTGTATATAATTAAATAATTAATATAGAAAAAACTTTACAAGCGGAATTATTAAAGCATAAAGTTAACAGGATTTATGAGTTTCAATATAAAAGTATATAATAATATAATAAAAGAAATATTTAATTAGAATAGACTATACTATTTATATTTTCCAGGATTTGATATGGCAATGCTTTCTTTGTGACTGATGTAAAAATCGATATTCGAGGGTGTTATTAGCAACCTCTGAAATTTGTTCATTTATAGAAATTTACGTAGAAAATCTTTGGAGGATAGTAATACAAACCCGATTAACATTCGAGAATTACTTCCCCTCTTGAAAGTTTTATTGAATCTAAGAAATAAAAAAAAAATAAATTATTATAAATAAAATTGTAAACATCTCTATGTTCTTGACGTGGTGTTGTGTATTTGATGTGGGCGCTGTTGGTAAGACGTACGTTTACTATAACGGTTTCATGACTCAATCGATTTTCCATTTTTTTTTGTTGTGATTCATGAAAGTCGGATGAAAAAAAATGAAAACCAACTTTATTTTTTTGTTATATCTTGGAAGGAAAGGCCTATTTTTAGCATTAATAGTTAATTATATATATATCTCTATATAAAAGAATACATACAAAGAGCAACTATCCTACAATTAACAGCAAAGACATAACCAGAAATGTCGTATATATATATATATATTAAAGAACAAGGTTATTTCTCTTTGTATAATTTGGCAACTCTAAGGAGCTTTAATTACATTTGAATAACATTTTTACAATATTATAGTTTATCCAAGTACAAAATATTCAATAAATTATTAAATAATACAATATATCATAAATTAAAGAAGAATATTTTCCTCCCGGATTTCCTTATTTTTTTTGATTACGTATAATTGAAATCTGTCACAAAGATATGAATTTCATTTGGATTAGGACAACCTGAAAAAATAATAAGAAATCTTGACTGCGCCTAACCTTATTACCTTGATTCCGATAAAGATATAATAGAGTAGAAGGAATATTATTATAGCGAGATGCCAATCGTTCTTTTATTATGGGTCTAAGAAAGCCAAACCTTTTTTTCATTGGGAGCTTCAATTACAAAAATTTCATTATCATCTTTTGCATCGTTGACAGACACGAAGGTGAAATGTATAAAATTTAACCATTTTCGTCCATTCTTTTTATAAATATTAATAAATGATAAAAAAAATAATAATGAATAAATAATGATAAATACGTATTTATACCATACCTTATATATAAAACGAAATCGTGTTTTTAATTTTAATATTAGCGAACATAAAAAATGGACTTTAAAGGAAATTTAGTCAACCCTGCACCTTCACGTGTCCATTTACTGACTAATTATTCTATAAAAATTTAGTTGATAAAATCTTGGTGAAAAAAATTAAAATTACTCATCGTAAATACGCAATGATAATCTTCACTCAGTTAAGTAAATTTATTTTGTAAGCATAAATAATTTATCCTAAATAATTTATCCATAATTTATCCTCAGTGCTACAATAAGACACGCTTTTATAATTTTTATATACTGTACACAGGCGGCTTTTTTTTTTTGATCTAAAAGAAATAAAATTAAATGAAATCATTATTTCATCTGAACCTTATAGCAAGATCCGCGTAATTAGAAATTAATTGAGTCAATTAATAAGCGGGAGATGCTAATTATTATTTATTATGATATTTCTTATTTTTTAATAAATAAAGTATTTTCCTGGAGAATGGAAAATCGTTGTTTCAAAACCCGAATTAGTGCAAAATATTAATTTGAACTTTAATTTGTTTTCCATCCTAATTCTAATATATATAAACATTCCTTATATTTACAAAGACGCGTTTCAAAAATCGGATCGATATGTAAGTATTGTTACATTTTAAGTCACATCAAAAATATTTAAAAATTAGCTTCAGAAGCATGACTTAAATTTATTGGATATGATAATATTCTATATGAAATTAGAGAGGTAGTAGTAGTTTCTCTATGTTCATTTCTTCTTATTTTACATTTATTACTCTTATCTATATATTTTCTTATATCTCTCTTATATATATAGTATCAATTCCAGCATTCTCTCATAGTTGGATACCAGAATTATTCGGTAATTTGGCATATAATTGAAGTAATGGATAAAACAGCTGAAAAAGTCCTGCTTTAAAAAAGTATTGACGGACCTAGAGATTTTATATGTTATAAGCTGAAGAAACCCAAGATAATTTGAAATCACAATTAATTACCGAAGAAATATTAAATGATATGAAAGTATTTTTGGTAGCAGCAGTTTAGGAATGAATCAAGAAGAGGCTATTAAGAATTATAGGAGATGAAAAGAAATATTATACCAAATTCTGAAAAAATTAAAGAATTGAAATATATTAATTCATCCACCAGCTCCAATAAACAATTTTTGAAGAGCTCAGAAAGATACGAAATTAGGGGAATATGCAATAAAGAAAGGTAAATAATTATTTTTATTTACTTTTTATTATTTGCTTTCTATTCTTTACATATCCATAGACACCATATTAGTTCCACACATTTAAGCTTCACATCATTCTTAAGAATTATGGGAAGAACCGTATAAATTTAAACCAGAAAGATTTACCAATAAAAAGATACAGCTAATAAATATCTTCCATTTCGTGGTGGGAAATTGAATTTGTATTGGGATGAATTTTTCATATGCTGTTTTCTTGACTATGCTCGGTAAGTTTTTTAGTCATATATATTTGTATATCTATCAATATTATCAATAATATTTTAATTCGTTTTCTTTGGTCTTTTAGTTCATGGAAAATTACTGAACCAAAAATTACAAGTTGTACCAACTTTATTTGATTTAATAGTTCCTAAAATTTGGAAATCGAAGATTTTAAATTTATTATAGTTCCATTGATGAAATGACTGATCATCAAATAATGATAAACTTAATATAGAAATTTTTTAGTTATCATAACATAAATAGATTTTTTTTACATACAAAAAATATATTGAATTCAAAATTTTTTTTATTATCCGGGGTAGATATTAAGTAATCGACCAAAACTAATAAAGTCGTGATTAAAATTTAAATATAGTAAATCTATCATGATTTTTTTTTTTTTTGAAACAAAATGGCATCTATCATTGATGTGAACGAACGAAAAATTCGACCAATTTATGGTATTATTATTATTATTCTTCTTCTTCTTCTTCTTATTATTATTCTAATTATTAATTATTGTTATTATTGTTATTATTGTTATTATTCTGTTTTTCGGTTTTTTTTTTTGTATACAAATAAAATATTCGTAAAAATCAAATTTTATCAGAGGCCATTGATAATAATAGTTTAAAGTCAGCATTACAACAATGTAATAAATTACTTAAAAAACAACCAGAAGCACTTATTCTAAAGGTTTATAAATAATTATCAATTATTTAGACTTAGTTATCATTCTTTCATTTAATTAAAAAAATAATATAATTTATTTATTTAAAGAATGATAAAATTTTATTTTATTTTATTTTATTTTATTTTATTTATTTATTATTTATTAATAGGCCTTAAAAGGATTAATATTAGAACGAACAGGTAAAACAGAAGAAGCATTAAAATTATGTGATCAAGTAAAAGAAAAAAAACCAATCGATGAACCTGTTTTACAAGCATTGACTATGGCTTATAAATCATTGGGAAAATGTTAGTGATAAATTTTATTAATTATAATATTTATTAAATTAATTAAAGTAAACTTCAATCTTTATAATAATAAAATAATTATGAATCTTTTATCTATTATAAAAAAGATGAAAAGATAGTTAAAATATATGAAAATGCAATTCTACTAAATCCCAATAATGAAGAAATTGGTAATCATTGGTTTATGGCAATGGTTCGAATAAATGATTTTAAAGGGCAACAGCAAGTAATTATTTATAATATATTTTTAAATAATTTATTTGATTTGATTTAATATTTAATTATAGTAATATTTATTTATCTATATTATATTATTTATCTATATTATTTTTATTATTTATTATTTATTATTTATTTATATTATTTACTTTTATTATTAGGCTGCTTTAAAGTTACATAAAACATTTAAATCAAATAAATATTTGTTCTGGGCTATTATAAGTTTATTATTGCAGGTTAAATATTTTATTATTTGTCTATTTATCTATTTATTTATTTGTTATTGTTTATTTTTTAGTATTTAATTATCTAATTAATTACAATTGATTAAAATTGATTATAGGCACAGTCTGGACCATCTAGGGAATCAGATATTTTGTTGTCCTTGGCTGAGAGAATGATGCTTAAAGCTGTGAAAGAAAAAGGATTAAAACATATAGAAGGTATTATAAAATAATAATAATAATAATAATAATAATAATAATAATAATAATAATAATAATAATGATAATAATAATGATAATAATAATATGATGATGATGATAATAATATTATAAATAGATGTTCATCTTTATTTAATCGTGCTATTAGCGCAAAAAAAATATAAAGAAATTTTGGAAGTTTTGGAAGATGAAGAACTGAATAACAAATGTAAAGATGATGTTGAAGTAATTCGAATTCGGAATGATTTACTTTTAAAAACTGAAAATTGGACTAAAGCTAATGAAATAAGCAAGAATTCGTTAACTGAAACAACGAAGTTGGTAGATTATTATATTATATTATATTATATTATATTATATTTATATTATATTTATACACAATATATATATGTATACATATATATATGTATGTATATATATGAAATAAAAATGGATTAAATATATAAATATATTAGAAGAAAAATATAATATATGTTTCAATTTTCAATTATTACAGTCTTGATGATTGGGGATACTATTTGATGTATTTGGAATCTTGTTTTCACCTAATTACTACAATTACTGCTACTGATAATTCTAAAAATGAGAATGAGAATGAGAATAATGATATAAGGTAAAATATGATTATTATTTGTTATTTATTTATTTATTATTATTATTTATTATTACTTATTATTTATTTATTTATTTATTTATTATTATTATTTATTATTACTTATTATTTATTTATTTATTTATTACTTATTATTTATCAATTTTTTTTATTTATCGTTATTTATGATAATTATTTATTTAGTACTAAAAGTATTGATTTGGATCAAGTACGTGGATTTTTACATTCTTTACAAGAAATTACAATAAAAAATTCGGAAATCAAACGAGGACCTTTTCTCGCTGAATTGAAACTGGAGAAACAGGCAAAAGAAGAAATCAAAGAATGTAAGTTATTAAATGACAAGAGTAAATTATGAATTAATTAAATTATTAATAACTTAAATGATTATTTAAGATAAACCCAAGACAGAAATAAATAAATTGATGGTTAATTATTTTAAGATATTTGGATCTAAATCATGTTGCTTTGAAGATTTACAACAATATTTGAAAGGAATTCCCCTTGATTTAGCTAAAAAAATAATAGAGGAATTTAAATCCACAATTAATTTATTGGATGATGACAAAAAGGTATTATATTTATAATATAATTATTTATAAATAGATTGTTTAATAATAATTACTTATTTATATTTTATTTATTAATAATGCAGTCCAAAATAACAAATATTCAAAAGAATGTTAATATATATAAGTTTGAAAGATTCCTGGGTTTACTTGAAGAATTAAGCGAAAATGAAATGTTATCATATGTTAATAATCTAATTAATTTATATAAAGATGCTCTTCAATATGGTAACATTAATTAATATTACATATTTAATTGGTACTATATATTATTGGATTTGATAAATTATTATATTACATTTAATCACAGGAAAAGAATTGCTAGAAACAGAGTATCAATATGGTGATGATTTTATTATAATAGGATCCCAAATTTTATTTGATCTTTATAAGAAAACCGGTAATTATTATTATTATTTAATTATTAATTATTATAATATTACATAATATTATTTAATTATCATATTAATATTAAATTCTTTTTAATTATTAATTATTTAATAGGACATAATTCATATATTTTCCAGGCAATTTTTATCTTAGAAAATGCATTAAAAAAAAGCAAGTACAATTTCCAGTTCAAATTATTTTTAATTCGTTTATATCAAAAAATTGGTTAGTAAAATATTTTTATTATTAATATTTAATAATAATATTGTTATTTAAAATTATATTTAAAATATGAAATTCTTTTATTTAACAAACAGGTATCTTTCATATACCATTGAATTTATATAAATCAATGGAAATTAAGCATGTGCAATTGGATACTTTGAGGTATCATTAATGTTTATTGAGTATTTATTATTATTTATTTATTATTATTCATTATTATTATTCCTTATTATTATATATTGGTATTTATTGATTATTTATATATTATCAATTATCTATTAATTATTATATTAGTCATTATTTGATAGAACGTTCATTTTCCCTTGGTGCATTTGAAGACGCAACTCAGGCTTGTTATGATAGTTTACCGATTTATCGTAGCAACGAAATAGAGGTGATATATTAATTATTGTAATACTATTATGATGATATTATTAATAGTTTGTATTTTTTATATAGACACCAGAAATGATTATTAGTGCATACAAGTTTGCTACTTTTTCTAAGGTATATTATATAATTAATATTTTTAATATGTTACTTGTTATATATAATTTCCTTATTTTATTTTATTTTTTTTTTTGTTAAAACAAAGATTCAAGATTTTATTGAATTTCAAAATGAACTTGAAAATTCTTTGCAAAAAGTTTTTATTGATCGTGAAATAATAAGACTTGAATTTTTAAATGCATCCAAAGTCGCAAAAAATGGAATTACATATCTTGAAGAATTGGATGTCGCAGATCTTAAATATGATGGTAAGTCATTATTATTGATTGTTGTCATCATTATTTATAACATTTTTATCATTATCGTTACTATTATTATTTTGTTTATAACTTTTGAAATTTAGATGAATATTGTGAGAATCGCCGTGACAATAGAGATTTTGCTGTCCTGTCCAATTTTAATCCGATTAATAAACCCAAGTTTGAAGAGATCATTAGAGTTTCACCAAAACTTGATGTAAGTAAATATTTTATATTTTAAATATTTTAAATATCTTAATATTAAAATATTAATGAATTTGTTATATATTTTATTTTAGTTAAATTGGCTGAAATTATTCACATTAATTCCACTCATATTAAAAAATATATGTGTCACTAAAGATATCGAAGTTATTAATTCATTGACTGAATCTTTGGAAAAGTTATTGAGTCAAGATTATCAAAGTGTATGAATATGTTGTTTAATAATAATAATTATTATTATTATAATAATAATAGTTATTCATATTAATTATATTACCATTTTATTATTTTATTATTTTTTAGATAACTTTAGAAGAAAAAAGACTTGGTGATGTAATTATAAAATCGAGTCAACTTTATTTAATTATAAAAGAAGTTCAATCTGGAAACAAAGGTATGTTTTGGTAATTTCATTTATATATGATTTTCAATAGAAGTAAGGATACTGATATTTCTTATCTCATATAAATTTCACATAAAATTTCGCACTCGTACACTCATATTTATACATAAGAATCTATTTCAAAGATAGATGCAGCTATGGATAATTTAATAAATTCATTAAAAGGTAAAGATATTATTTATTGTTTTCTTTATATTATGGTTTTATTTTAATAGTTATTTGATACATTTTATTTTTATTTAAGTCGCAGAACCTGAAGACATTTCTAATCATGCAATACAAGAATTATCTTGGATTCATTTTCACAAATTTTCATTATTCCTAGAAGTATGTTATTTCTATTTTTATTATTTTTATTAGAAATATTCTATTAATATTATTGATGATTTTTAGGCATGTAACTATTCCATGGTCACAATTGAAATTATAAACAATATAATTATTTCCAGAAATAAGAAATCAAAAAATAAAGAGCTGGTATATATTTTTCTATTACTCTTATTATATCTGTTATTATATTCACTACTTTTTACTTACTATTTACATTCATTATATTTTATTTTTTTATAACTCATTTTTCTACATTTAATTTTTTTTTTAAAGAGTCAAAATATTCAAAATCTGAATCTAACAGTAAAGAAACATCTTCAATATTTGAAAAAGCAATTGGATATTTTTAAATCTATTGTTGAAGGTGAAAAATCAGCTCCTCGTATTTTTGAATATATCAAGTCTGGATCTCATATTGATTTTTGTTCAGATGAGGTATGTTATGTATAAATAATAATATTACTTATCATATCTTTTTACATTAATTTTAATTTATTCAATTTCATTTTTTGTAATTGTTTAGGATAATGTCTGTGAAATTCTTTTCATATTAAACAAAATAGAAAACAATTGGATGGCAAGTTTACGAAATTTAATTCAACAAACTGATTGTAGAATTATTTAATATCACTATTTAAACAGTAAAATTACATACAGTAGTTTATGTACATTTCTTTGGTAAAAAAGGATTAATTTGGAAAAATATACAGTATATTTATATATTTTAGAGTTCTACAAAGTTTTTGTTTTTTTTTGCATGTATTTATATGTTTTTTCTTAAATAAAGATTAAAATTGTGAAATAAAATTTTATTTTATTATTGTATTGTTTATTTTTAAAAATGCATTTCTATATATATATATTTTTTTAATTAGAAATGTCCCTCTTTATTAAAAGTCAACAACTATAAAATTACAAAGGAATAAATACAATTGTATACAAGAATAAAGAGTGACAACTACTTAAGTTTACTTTACCTGACTTGGCATCACCTATTCAAATCAAAATAGTTTCATTCAATGATTTTATGCAATATAATTTTCTGGACCTGATAATAATTATGTATTGCTCGTCAAATTTCATAGCAATTTTTTTTTTTTTGTAACAAGGTGAAAAATCATGAAACACGATTCAATAGGACACATAAGATATAATATAATATTTATTACAAGTCCAATTTAACTTTTAATTCATCACAATATGTTCTTTCAATGATCCATAAATTGCTAAACTTATAATAATCACCAAATATGATTATAGTTATGGATATAGTATATATGAAGTACCTGATATAACTAAGAATTATCGAATCCTATATTAAAAGTATATAATTTGATTTTATACCTCAAACCATTAAAAATCAATAAAATATTTTTGGCATCTTCATTGGGATAATTGATCTAACAATATATATGTTGTATATATATAATAGACATTCCATATGTTTATTTTCGTATTGCAAAGGATTAATATAGGACATTTAACACCAGGTGTCTGTGAATTTAATAAATGTTGCGTTATGATTAATAAGGGAGTTCTATGTAATATCCAGCAGGGGTGGATTTGATGATGGATTGTAAAAAATCTCTCTCAGAGTTGGCTGGAAAGAATATTAGCTCTTTTTGGAGTCCCATTTTAAAAAGGTGTTGATTACAAGAAATATAAAATAAGATTTTTGCCCATAACATCTGTTTCGTTCCTTTGTTTATGGAAGTTAATACCCAATACATAACATATGTAAACTGGTAGCCACAACTAGGAGCAAGCAAATTGGAGATTACCCATCTTAACTACTATTCTTACACAAAAACTACCCTAATAAAGATATGGATGTCAAAAATCATACTTTGAAATGAATAGGATAATATGTTAATGCATTAAATTTAAGAAACGTTTATGTTGTTTAGTGGAGAATCCAGATGGAAAACAGTAGGTATTGATATGCGATTATAATGAACTAGAAAAGGATGTGAAAAATTATTTATTAAACTAAAAAACAAAATGACTTGAGGAAGCTCTCTTACGAGTATTACACCAACTATTATTGGATGATTATGAGCTGGAAAACCTTGGTTGGAAACATTAAAAAAAATACTCAATAATATAACAAGATTACTTACTCAGTTTTGAACATATCAATGGTAAATGTGTTGCTATTATCTTGAAGTTGATGCTTTTACAAGTACTTCCCACCTAGATGAGCTACTAACCATCTTCACTTCTTGAAGTAGATCAAGACATTTGAGAGAACATTTAAGAGAAAAAGACATTTGAAGAAGATTGAGATATTTGAGAGAAAGAAGGCAAGAAAACAAATATTGATGCTAACTTTACAATTATACAATTGAAGGTCATAAAATCTGTGAAATATTACATTGATATATTTATAACAAATGATTACTAATTTCAGAGAACTCACCATAAATTGAAGAGGCCTAAATTATCTATTACAAAAATTTTATAATAACCAGCAAAGCATTCCACATTTAAGTACTTATAACTGACAGTAAAGAATTATTTGTATATTGTATTAATAATTACATTATGTAAGAATTTTGTCACAATAAAGAAAAAGATTATGTTGCATATTGTATTAATGATTACTTGACTTATAAATCTGTTCCAGTATTCCAATAATTTGTCTAAAAAATTTTTCAATATCATTAGTAAACTCATCTCAGTTTTTTCCTTGGCATCATAAAGTTTTTCTTCTATGTGGGAAGCAACTATCAATACATTATGCAAAGAATTTTGGATGAGAAAATCCTTATTATCACTTTAAAATTTTTATTTTTTTTTTACAAATATTTACTTTTAAATTTATATTTTTGAATGATAATATTATTTAGATGCAAAGTATGTGTTCACTTGTTTAATCAGATCATCTTTTCTACTAGCTGGTTTAATTCCCACTCCACTAAGAAATTCTTTTAATTGAGCAACAGTTGCCTGCAAAAGAAATTATTATTTATTATAGTAGTTATTTATTATAGTAGTTGTTTAGCTGAGTTTCTTATAAATATTAAAAAAAGTTTTACCTTATTAAGCTAAAAATAATATAAAATAATGAAAGAGATGAATCAAAATTTATTAAAATTATTAAAAACTTAATATCAAATAAATATCCAAGACAGCTTACTTTGTCATCTGAATGTAAGGTCGATATATCAAATTGAGATTTTGGTCCTCTAGATCTAGTAGTAGATAACTGTTTTGGCGGAGATGATGGGAAATTTGTGTATAAATTATTCGCTTGTTCATTTGCCTCAACATTGAAGATTTTAATACATTCACCGACACGCTAAAATTAAAAATATATATACATTAATATTGACAATAATTTTTTTTAAAAAAAAAATTTAAAGAAAAAAAGATTGACCTTTTCAATTAACCCATATTTTGGTAAAGTTTCATCTTGGATTTCTTCTTTAATATCTTGATCAAGTGCCAAATCTATTAAAACATCATAAAACCTAGCCAATGCTATAAAAATATAATTCAAAATAATTAAATTTTATAATTAAAAGAATAAAATTATATTTGTTAAACATCTTACTAGGATTGGGAAATTTTATTGGATTATAACCCCCTTTAATTTGAAGTTTCTCAATTATAGGTTTAGTAAAATCAATCATGGTGTCAGGAGCTGTTTGGATGAAAAATATAAATAAATGATCAAAGTTTTTATTTATAATTTTATAACTTAAACAAATATATTATAAAAATAAATTACCTGGAGTAATGGTAGAATGAGGTGGAAGTGGTCGAAGATCATCTGCAAATGGCAATGTAAACATATAAAATCCGGGAGGATGAATTTGTTGTCCTTCATCATCAAGTACTTCAGGCTAGAAAACATGAAATATTAATAATAATTATAATTAATAATAATAATATTATTATTATATTATTATATTCTAAAAATTTACAAGATAAATACCTCAGCCTTTAATGCAACAAATTTCATTGATACTCCATGACGAAAATTAGCAACACAGATTGCAACTTTTTTCATTTCAATCATCTTCTGATGTAAAGCTGCAAAAGTTCTTCTGCTACCTTCATATTGCTGATATTATAAATAAAATGAAATTGATTTAGGCATTATTCATAATGATAAAATAATAATAATAATAATAATAATAAAATATATACCTCCTCATCAGGATATAGAAAATAGGGGTGCTCCATATTGTAATGAGGTTTCAATGAAGTCTCTGGTTTAAACCCAAGAAGAGTTATACCTGGAAATATAATATTTATCTTTAGACATTAATTTTAAAAATAATAAATAAAAAAATAATTATATTTTCTTTACCTTTTTCCCCAATTTCTTTAATCTTTTGTAATTCTTCGGTAGTAAAGACAATCTAATTGAATAAGTATATTATAAAAATATACAAAATTTGAATATAAAAATCACAATTATTAAACAATACCTTTTCACCACCATAATGAACATAATGTTTAATATCTTGAGGTAATAATTCTTGTGTTGTATCCTAAAATGAAAAATGAATAAATAAAAATATTTATCAATAAATATAATAAAATAATTGATATAAAATATAGAATATAACTTTAGATTAATAATTTACTGCACAAATCCACTTTGTTTTGGATTCAGCTATACGAGTAGTTTCACCCCTCATGTGAACCCATTTATAATTAGGTTTTTTTCGCTCCTGGACTAAAGAATATCTAAATAATAAATAATAAATAATATTAATGATGAATTCATCAAATTTATTATATTTACTGTATGAGTGAACATTCTAAAAATTAATATAAAATGTTAATATAGATATTAATATAAATAATATTCATAATATTCACCCTTTAACACCTATTGTCATACCTTCACCCTCAAACAAATGAAATGGTACAGAAAATATTGATCGTTTAGGAGATTCTTTGGATATAATTCGAGAACGTAAAGCTTCAAAGCTTTTGGATGTATTAATATGAGTGAAATCATCAAATTCATCATTCGTGGAAAGTATTTCCTATTTATATTGCAAAGATAATTTAAAAATTTTCTATACTTATATAATACTTTGTTCACTTTGTTTTAATGATAAACTTACCCAATAGAAGGAATGTAAATTAAAAGTTGAATCTGGCTTATCAATACTGAATAAATCTATCTCTATTTTCGATTCAATCAAATCCTTTAAAATAATAATAAAAAAATAATTTTTTGAAAATTGCATAATGAATTTATTCAATAATAATTATATATTTCATACCCTTGCACGAGTGATTGCTGCACTACGTAAAACAGGCTTAGTGGAATGCGGATTATCTTCATTTGTTATTAAAAATATTCTCTTTGTTCTTACAGTTGGGGAAGTTCTTTATATGAAAGTTAACATATAAAAGTATGATAAGAGTGAAAATAATCAATCATTTATTTTTCAAAAGATTGTTATACTTACACTGAATTAAATAATTCACTGCAAACCCAGAAAACGTCACCTAATGGATATTGTTCATCAGTAATTCCATATTCTTGCTTAAAATCAAATTCTTCTACAATTTATGAAAATTCATTGCATAATCATTTTAATATATCAATAAATTAATATCTTATAATTATTTAGATAGATAGATATATATATATATATAGATATATTTATATGTACCAGAAACAATATTATTTAATTCCATAACTCTATGGATATCTGATAAATCCATATTTTGAAGAACATAAATATGTTTTTTATCAAGAGGATTTTGATTTTTTTCCTGATTGAAAAATTATTAAAAATTATTAAATATTATTAACTATACATAAATAAAAAAGTTAAATATTAAAAAATTATTAAAATATTATTAACAATATAAAATAGTTAAATATATAATATAATGTACCGTTCCAATAAACATTACACCTAAAAAGTCAGAACTATTTTCACTAATGATTTTATTCATCATAATTGATGAAGCACATTGAATTGCTAAATGAAAAGCTGAATCTCCATTTTCATCTTTATTCATCATTGATGTTGAACAATCGATGACAAAAAGAACAGCATCCCTATTTCCTTTAGTAATCTATCATGAAAAATGAAACAAAAATTATTAAATTATTTTATTGATTAATAATAATAACTATAATTGATCTATAATGATCACATTATTTTCTTCGGCTTCGAAATCTTCTTCATCTAAATTATCACCTTGATCATCAACCGTTGATGACCAAGAACTCATTGTCGTGGATGAAGACATTTTTTAGGATTTTCTGATCAATTTTTTTCAATTTTTGTTTATTTATTTATAAAATCGCAATATCACGTGATTCTCCGTTTTTTGTTGTGGTAATAATATTGCTTTTTCTCTAGACCCGAATATTCATAAAACAATTGTTGGAGAAGAGGAATATCGAAAAAATTTCTTATTTAATGGATTACAGATATATTACAATGTAACAATTGACAGAATTGGCATCAAGCAACTCAATATTTTGAAAATTGTATATTTAGAAAATAATTTTGAAATTGGAATATCAATGTACGTTGGTATCAAAGAAGAAAGTTATCATTAATAATTTCTGTTTAATAATTATATATATTATTAATTACATACAATCGTTAGATATATTAATAATTACACTTGATAATACTTTTCAAAGTCATGCTAAATATTATGGATAAATGTTATCACAATAGAATTATTTACTTTATAATGCCAAGTTGAATAGCATTAACGAAAATCTCTCATATATTCACCATATTACACCTGTGATCGAATTAATACAACTATCCTGATTGTTGACTAAAATTTGCGAACTCATTATACAATAAATGGTAAAAAACAATCAATCTAAAAGTTTAAAATCAAAAAATTTTCTTTAAATTCTTTAAAATTAACAAAAAAATAAAGATAAGAAATAATTAATATTGTTTCCTAAAAATAATAATAGAATATAAATAATATAATAAAATATGATTATATAAATACTATAACTGTGTGTTAGATAATATAAAATTTCTAATCTTCGCTTTAATCAACTCTTTTTTCATTATATATTTTTCACTTTCCGGTTCACCACATTTGTCATCAAGACTTCGATATCTTTAAAATTATTTTTATCTCCAACTAAATCTGATCCTTGCTAAATCCGATTCTGTCTTGTATCATCATGTTTCTCGTTGTTTATCAAGTTCATGTTCTAATTTTTGTTTGTTTGTTCTCATTGTTCTAATTATTATTATTCACATTATTCACATCCTTATTATCGAAATAATGGTTGAATTTTCAACATGTAATTTTGGTCGCATATTGGACTCGTTAGATGTGTTAGATTCTGCTTTCGGCTATCATAAAACTCTCTTTATCAGGTCTTTTGTTGATGGAACTATGGAACTATAGATATACTAAATCTACTAGACTTATTACATTCGGATTTTTTTTTTTGAAGAATACTAAAAATGGTTGTTTTGTTACTGTTATTTGCTGTTATTTGTATGAACATTTTTGCGATACTTGGATATTATATCAGAATGTTCGTTAAATGAAAATGAGGAATAAGGAGAAGAAAAACCTGTCGTGAATTTGAAGGTAACGATAAGTTTTCGATTCTAGTAGTTGAATATCATAATGACTACGTTGCGAATTCGGACGTCAATAATCTCTAGGGTTCTGATTACCTCTTTTTTTCAATTAGATCATTTCTAGTATTTTTAATGTATTCATCCATTTGATCTTCCTCTTCAAAATTCCAAATCATTATCATTCTCCTGCGTGTCTCATTTGAACTTTTTCATGCAATAGTTGAACTTCAGAGTTGATCTTCTTTTCCTCTTCATTTTCGGGTTCTTCATATTCAGGTTCTTTCTATTATAGTATTTAACTTAAGTGAATCAAGTTAGATAAAAATAATTTTGTTCTTCTGGATCTTCAAAATTATTAGTTGGGTCTATTCCTGATGTCTGATGGATGAAATATTGTCGTTAATTCTAAATTTGATATATTGATAATATTATTAACTTCGCTTGTGAATCTTTATTTCTTGAGTATAAATTTATTATTTTGTAAAAATATGCTGGAGGTAAAATTTTACGCTGCATCAGTATTCAACGAATCATTTTCATTGATATTATCATCGACATTCTTCTAGCCATTTATATCGTCCTTTTTATCTCTACATAAAAATTTTCCAATGAATAATTATTTGAATATTTTTGTTAATGTATTATAATTTTTAAATTTATGACGTCAAATGCTTTGGATTGAAAGCATTGTCGTTAAAATAAATAGACAATTTTACAAGATTGTTGATGATCGCCAATTATTTTTCAATATCGATATGATTAAAATTCCGAATTACGTAATACAATTCAACGAGTATGAAAATCATAAATAATGTAACTATAGAGGAGGAAACTGGTTTTTTTTTATGGTTTATAATTTAAATTAAGAAAGAAATTAATATGATTATATTAAATTTGATAATATTAAACATTCAACTTATCGAAGAAAATGAATCTAAATATATGCTAATAAATGCTTAAGTTAGTCAATTACTAACTGAAGTATATCCTTTGCATATGCATAAATAAAATTATTATGTCATCGCATTTAAAACTTGTATACGTTGAAAATCTGGGGTATGCATTGCATATGTGGATAAATCAATATAATACACATATAAATAAGCTTAAATGTCATTATCATTTCTTGTTTTTGTTTTTTAATAGTATTACCAGAAAATTACATTCAATTTCACACATCTTTTTTTCTTTCTCATCTCCCTCGTTTTTAACCATGATACTATTTTTCAAAGGTTCACCCACAAAAGTAACTCCTGGAAATTTTTTATCTACATTATGCCCTTCAAGAAGAATTTCTGTAAATTTTATTTCTACATTATGCTCTTCGCAATCAAAAGAAATTGCAAAATACACAAATTAATCTATTACATTATCAAAGATATCCAATGAGCAAGAGAACATAATCATCCAATTAAAGTAAAATGTTTAATTATTTTAAATTCTTAATTAAAAGGATCCGAAATAATATCCATTTTTTTTTTAATTTAATTTAGAAAAGAATCAGATTCTATGCAAAAAAGTAATATCAAATTGCTTGAAGACAGTAAATTCTATAAAGGATTATGTGATAAATATGTAGTTGATCTTAACAGGCAACAAATTTTGTATAATGACCTTAAATCTGCTACTGACATCGAGCATCAAGAATACTTGGTAGGTTTGCCCTTTAGTTTAAAAGATTATTATATTGAGAGTGATAATTTTGTTAATAATTTATTTCTTTTGGATCACAATAAAGAACTTTCAGAAAGAAGTTCAACAATTAAAAGATAAGAACGATAGTTTTGCGACCTTAAATTCTCAAGAACAATACTTATATGAAGAATTAAAAAGACAAAGTATCTATATGAACAATCCGAATCAGCATGGAAAAATGAAAAGAAACATCTTGAAGAATCTTCATTAGGACCAGTGAAGTGATATCTTTGTTATTTTATTTTTTTTTTTTGATATTCTTGATATTACACTTGACGTTTTAAAAATTTAATATATATTTATTTAGCTTCAAAGAACTTGAGAACGAAAATAAAATCCTTCATGAATATATTAGCAATAAATCTTCTAAGAATGATCAAATTTACGTCAAGAAAAGGAAGTTTTTTCTAAACAGGCGAAAAAAATACAAAATCCAACTCATTCAAGCTCAGAAATCTTTAAATGAAGTTCGCTTATTGTTTAATAATGTATAAATAAAATAATATAAAATCTGTTATTTTTCATTAAAGCATTAACTGTATTTAATTGTAAATTTAATTATAATAGGAACGTGAATTTAATAAAAAGATTCAAATTGAATCTGCTGAACTTAATGCCAAAAATAAATATGTAAATGAAAACAATAGAATATCGAGAAGAATGCAAGAAAATGGAGAGAGTTGTGGCTGCTTTTCAATCTTCCAAAAATGAGTTTGAAGAAAAAATATCGAATTTAAAGGCCAAATTCAAGAATTGAAATTCGAGAAAGATAACGGTATACAGGAAATGAATATTATTCAAAAAAGAAAATGAACAATTAAAAGAACAATTAAGGAAATATGAAGTAAGTTTACATTTTTATTTTTTGACAATATTTTTTTCGATTATGTGAATGAATATTTTTTTATAATAGATTGAAAATTCCGCTGAACTACAAAAATTAAAATTAAATATAAAATACTTTGAAAGTGAAATTGAAAGGCTGAATGTGGAAAATACCAATTTTAAAATACAGGTAATTGGAATTTCTTAATTCTCTAGTTAAAGTTAAATGAGATACTTTTTAACTTTAATATTTTTCGTCTATTTATCGTTTAATGGTATTATAGATTCCGCAAATAAATTTAAAAATGAAAACGATGCACTCGAGATAAAGAATGACCAAATTGAGAATAAAAACTTGCGATTAATAGAAGAAAATTTAAAATTAGAGAATGAGATACAAAATCGGTTGATATATTACTTAGATCTTCAAGCAAATCACGATAAAGAATTAGAACAATTGAAACAACAATTAGAGAATTCTTGACAAAATAAAGAGATTACAAAGAATTTAGTTCAAGAACAAAAGGATGATCTCACGAATGAATTAAAAGAGATGAAAGATCAACTTTAAGTAACTAAAAAGAAATTGAAAAATGAAAAAGAACTAATGGTAGCATTTGTGAAGTTAAAAGTACAAGAATCAACGTATATAAGTACGGTTAAAAAGTTGGAAGCTGAAAGTCAAGGTTTGCAACAGAAATTGAAGTTTTCTTTAGAAAATACTGCTTCACAATCATCTTCGACTCGAGATAAACAAATCCAAACTAAAACTTCAAAACCAGATCTTCCAGAACCAGTCTCGGGAAAAAAACATTCACATGATGATGATAGTAAGTTTTAAATAATCAACTATATTTTATTTTTTATCGTTTAATTTAATTTCTTTTTTTCATTCCTTTTTTAATAAATTTACAGGAGAAATGGTTTCAAAAGCCAGAAGAATTAAGAAAAATAATATTTAAGATTTAGTCTTACGACATTGTTAAGACACCAGTAATTATTATCCAATAAAAATAAAGCACATGCTTTAATTTCAGACACATGATGTTTTCAGGTGATCGAAATTATTTCACGTGTTATAAAGTGCGGTGACAAATATGCTTTTCGCATGTAAAAAAAATTAGTCCCTAGGATATCTAATAAAAATTGATATTCGAAGGGTGTGACACACGGTGATAAATACCCTACCCTTGAAAACCCCTAACCCCTGCGGTATAGGTTATGGTGTTCAACACACTGGTGTGATATAAAGTTTTCATAGTTTTATGTACAATTGTTATCTCTATTTTATTTTTTTATTTATATGTTTATATATTTTATTATCTTATTTATTCATATCTGTATTATTTTATTAATTATTATATATTTTATCATTATAGTATTACAGTAGATCAATTTAATAGTCTGTAGTACAAATTAGAAATTATTACTTAAATTAGTAGATTCCTAAATTCTTGTTAATCTGTAACACTAGAACACAAAGTTAGAGTACAAGCCAGAGTACGAGTTAATATCTCAGTCAAAGTACAAGTTAAATTAACAGTTAAGGTACTAGTTAGGATATTAGCATAGTTACTAGTGAAGTTTACAGTCAGATTACAAGTCAGCTTAGCAGTTAAAATAATAATGTATATAAAGGCTGAGAATTTCCTTAACTCAGTCTTCAGTTTTCTAGTCAGTTTCTTAGTTTTCGAATTAGTTAGGATTTATTAAGTAATAAAGTAGTGGTATAAAAGCGAGTCTGAATCAGACTCGCTTTTATACCACTTAATATGAACTATAACCCACCTGAGAGTGACGTGCATTTTGCTTTTTAGGCTGCACTCGAGTATGTGACTTGACGACTGAAAGTGGCCACTGTTATCATGTGGTCTGATGACAAGAGTTGGTCACCATCGTTAGTGGCGTGATATATTTTTTAGGCCACACTCGAGCGGACATATATCAGGTCAGTAGTCTAGTTGATTTCTGCTGTCAGATTGCATATAACGTATTGTATACCAATTTGGTGTTCGCAGTTAGTTTTAAAACTAGTAAGCTTCCCGATTTAGGTTATGAAGTTGCGCGTGCGACTACTCTGTATAATGTTTTAAAGTTTCTAGATTTTTAAATTCGTTATCAAATCTCGTATAGTATATCGTGACTATATTTGATTTCGAATATAAGGAGCTTCCCAAGATAGGTTATGCTGGGAAAGAGTCGGCTGTAGGTTATTCCCGGTCAGATATGTGGTCTGATGACAAAAGTTAGCTACATGTTGTCAAGTATATCGCGAAAATGCTATCAGGTTGCTATCAAGGAATACTATCAACTATGCTATATGCACATTATCGAGTATGCTATCAGTTAGATATATATTCAAGAGTCCAATATGAAACAAGTGACAAAAAAAGTAAGTTAACTTCAAGCATATATGTAAGAAGGCAGATGTATATTACTGAAGTTACCTGCTCAAATAATCATCCAAACATACTGAAAACATATAATCAAAAAATGTAATGTTCTCCTATAATTATTATATAATATTACCAAAGATTATTATACTTTACCTATCTGAAAATATACTGAAAATATATCTGAAAACATGTCATTAAAAAGTGTAATGTTTTGCCATTTTATATATATAATAAATCTGCAGATTACTACACCCGACCATATACTTCAAAACATATTCGAAAGTATATATGCTAAAAGTGTAGTATTCTTCCATAATTATTATATAACATTACTGAAGATTACTACATCCTGACCTACCCGAAAACATGTTGTCAAAAGTATAGTGTTCTTCCAAATTTATATATAATATTTTCAAAAATTACTACACTTGAACTCAAAATTATTCATCTATCGAGTTTGCGATTTTTATTGTATATTCAAACTAAGAATCAATACATTTTTTTATATTACTGCGTACCAACTGAAAAAATTAATTTAAACTTTTGAAAATATATTGGGATAATATAACTTTGTTAACTAATAGAATCATAGCATAAAAAAACCAAATATCAAAATGAGTAAACAAAATGTACAAAGCACCAGGTACGAGGGCGAGAAAAGAATAGTTGGGATCCCAACTCGCAATGATTTTATTTCAGGATGCGATAATGGAATAACAAACATACTTCAACAAAGCTTATCCGATAAACAGTCCATATACTTTATGCCTAACGATGTGAAAGACGCTTTTGAATATGTAAATAATATACATACATATATTCTACGTATTTACAGCACTTTAATTAATGGGCAAAAAGCTAGGGTGAATATTACAGGCATCAAACCTTTCTTCGATATCGCTGTACCTGATAACGAACCTTTATCTGTATTCAAATCAAGATTGTGAAAATTATGTCAGAAGCGAAGAAAATTGACAAATCAAAATTTGGAATGAAGAACGTCTATGCATATCCAATTTGTGGCTATCATACTGAGAAAAAGGTATATATTCGTATTATTACGTGGAATCATTATGATAGGACACGAATTTTAAAAGAAGTTCGTAAGTATGGCGTTAGAACAGCATCAGATGATATCACTAATGATTATTATTATCGAAAGATAGCCCGTGAAGAAAGACTACCTCTCTCAGAGTAGGCCGTATTAAGTAATTATAGTCACTGTGTGATTGCTTTAAGTAATTGCATATCAAATACAGATTTACCACGTATTTATTTTCATGTATCTGTAAATAATTTTCAGCCTTTAGGGGGTAATAAGCCAGATGAACAGATATTATCTTCAGCTCTCATATATGATCGAACTCTTGTGCTCACCTGAGATATAGAAATATATAGTGGTTATAAGATGGGTGACTTACCTATGGCAAAATATAAAGATGACCGAGTTTTTATGATTTGTATGACCATACATTGGAAAGATGATCCAGTACCATTAAAGCAGATCTGTCTTGTTGATATTGAAATAATACCAGATCCACGTTGGATTACAGTTGTTTGTAGAACTCAAGAAAACTTATTAAAAGCTTTCGCCCTTTGTTGGAGAGCAATCATGCCAGATATACAAATCGGATTTAGTGATTCGCAATACGACTGGCTTTTTATTATAGAAAAAGCCAAAAGTTTAAGCATTCTTAAATGGATGTTTAATCATATGTCACCTAAACAATCCGATATTAAAGAAATTATAAAATGGAAATATCGAAAAAGTGAGATAAAGATAACTGATGAGAAATTTTACTCGAAGTATCTCAGAATCCCAGGATGTATACCTATTGATGTCCGTGCTTATTTTAAAAAGTTATACCAAAAATCAGAAGCAAGTTCACTGAAATATTATTTGGAAAAATGTGGATTGAGTAGCAAGATAGATATGCCAATAATTACTATGAATGAAATATATGAAGATACAATACTTTACCTCTCTAATATATCAGCTAAAAATATGTGCAAAGTTACAAATTATTGTATTATAGATGCATTACGGTACCAAGAGCTTATGGTTAAACATAATGTAATTAATGATTATCAGGAGGTATCATCTATTGCGTATGTTTCTCTTTCTGATTCTCATTATTTTGCGGGGGTATAAAAGTATATAATCTTTTGGGATCTGAAGCTTAGAGTAGTAATATGTTGTGTAGTATGATTGCTTCAGAAAATACAGAATCTAATAAGTACCCAGGGACTTATGTTATTGCACCGATAAAAGGTATCGAAAATAAATGCCCAGTAACAGGCTTAGATTTTGCTTCCCTATATCCAAGTCTTATGATGACTTACAACCTCTCACCCGATAAGATTATATTATCTCGTGGAGATGCGATAAATGCATTATGTAGTGGAAAGAAATTTCACAAGATTGAGTTTTCATTTAATGGTCGAACTATAGAAGCTTGGACTATTCACCACAATAATATACCTGAAGAAAAGGGTTTATATGCCAGGGTGTTAGAAAACCTATTTAATAAACGAAAGGAGATGAAAAAATGCCTTAATAAGTTGGATGAGAAAAGTTTCAAATATAGTTGCTTAGACTTAAAACAAAAGGCAGTAAAATTATATATGAATACATTTTATGGTGAAGCAAGTAATAATCTCTCTCCATTCTATCAACTTCAGTTAGCAGGTAGAGTTACTTCTGCTGGACAGCGTAATATTAAATTTGTTAGAAAATTCGTTGAGAATAAAGAGTTCAATGTCAAATATGGAGATACTGATTCTTTATACCTCACATGTTCAGGAGAGTATTTTCAAAAATGTGATCAAAAATATAAATTGAATCAACTCTCACGAGAAGAATACTGGGGAGAAATGGTAAAAATCTCTATGGGAGTAATGAAGAACCCCGTAACGATGTAAATACTGAGCTGGAAAAGGACAATGGAACACCTATACCTGCCATCCAAATTCAAAATCCAAATGCTGAAATCCCAAATACCAAAATCCCAAATCCCAAATCCCAAATTATGATTAGTATTTTTTGCCGAAATCTCAAATCCCAAATCTCAAATACTATTAATTTGGAATTTGGGCAACACGTATAGGAACACCTTACTTTAATATGGTATACGAGGAGGTCTTATTTCCCGTGATATTTACAAGAAAGAAAAAATACTATGGCCTGAAGCATAAAGATAAGCTAAACTTTAATTCAGGTAAACTTTTCATTAGAGGGGTGGATGTTGTGAAAAGAGGTCAATCTAAACTCTTTCGTAATATAGGTGAGGAGATTATGGATAGAACTTTGAAAGTCGATAATGAGGAAACGATGCATCAGATTGTTGAAAAAGTTCTTTGGGAAAATGTAGAAAAACTTTTCAAGTTAGATTATGATGAATTTATCCAGACATGTACATGGAGACCTAAAAAGAAGGATAAACAGATGAATATTTCTGTAGAATGGTTTGTTTCACAGATGGGGGTTAGATATGGTCACGAGGTATTGGAAAATCAATAGCTTATAAAGAAGGGTTTATTCGTCAATAAGTATTTATATAAAGTTT